ACTTTCATTCTAGAAGCCTCAGAACTTTTTTTGACTTGGATTTTCGTACTTCTGACGTCATTTCCAATCGATTGATGTAATAATCTAGGAAACTTTGGATTTGGAGAAAAATCGGAAAAAAAGTGCAGTCTAACCCCTTTGGTTTTTTTCGAGCTTCTCAGGTCATGGAAGCCGATCCGGACGAAATCTATATCAATCGATAGATCTCGACGAGAAAAATGACCTGAGACCAGGTTTGACCTCCGTAGGTCAACTAGGAACTGAGTTATGGACGATCAAACTGAGAGATCAAAAAAATTGGAAAAATGGGTCAAGTTTGGTATCAATCGATAGAAGAGATCAAGGAAACCAAGATAAACTAGGTCTCCAAGTTTCTACCCTCCTACGAATCGAGTGATGTATTTTCCAAATCTTCAAAAAATCATAACTTTCATTCTAGAAGCCTCAGAACTTTTTGACTTGGATTTTCGTACTTCTGACGTCATTTCCAATCGATTGATGTAATAATCTAGGAAACTTTGGATTTGGAGAAAATCGGAAAAAGTGCAGTCTAACCCCTTTGGTTTTTTTCGAGCTTCTGAGGTCATGGAAGCCGATCCGGACGAAATCTATATCAATCGATAGATCTCGACGAGAAAATGACCTGAGACCAGGTTTGACCTCCGTAGGTCAACTAGGAACTGAGTTATGGACGATCAAACTGAGAGATCAAAAATTGGAAAATGGGTCAAGTTTGGTATCAATCGATAGAAGAGATCAAGGAAACCAAGATAAACTAGGTCTCCAAGTTTCTACCCTCCTACGAATCGAGTGATGTATTTTCAAAATCTTCAAAAAATCATAACTTTCATTCTAGAAGCCTCAGAACTTTTTGACCTGGATTTTCGTACTTCTGACGTCATTTCCAATCGATTGATGTAATAATCTAGGAAACTTTGGATTTGGAGAAAATCGGAAAAAGTGCAGTCTAACCCCTTTGGTTTTTTCGAGCTTCTGAGGTCATGGAAGCCGATCCGGACGAAACCTATATCAATCGATAGATCTCGACGAGAAAAATGACCTGAGACCAGGTTTGACCTCCGTAGGTCAACTAGGAACTGAGTTATGGACGATCAAACTGAGAGATCAAAAAAATTGGAAAAATGGGTCAAGTTTGGTATCAATCGATAGAAGAGATCAAGGAAACCAAGATAAACTAGGTCTCCAAGTTTCTACCCTCCTACGAATCGAGTGATGTATTTTCAAAATCTTCAAAAAAATCATAACTTTCATTCTAGAAGCCTCAGAACTTTTTTTGACCTGGATTTTCGTACTTCTGACGTCATTTCCAATCGATTGATGTAATAATCTAGGAAACTTTGGATTTGGAGAAAAATCGGAAAAAAAGTGCAGTCTAACCCCTTTGGTTTTTTTCGAGCTTCTGAGGTCATGGAAGCCGATCCGGACGAAACCTATATCAATCGATAGATCTCGACGAGAAAATGACCTGAGACCAGGTTTGACCTCCGTAGGTCAACTAGGAACTGAGTTATGGACGATCAAACTGAGAGGTCAAAAATTGGAAGACAGGTCAAATCTGGTATCAATCGATAGAGAAGACCGAGGAGATCAAGAAAAACTAGGTCTCAAGTTCCTAACCTCCTACGAATCGTGTTATGATTTTTGAAAGTTTCAAAAATGAAGCTTTTGGATGAAGCTCATAATGTTGATAACCTATGTTGCAAAAAAGCTGGCAATGAGACAAATCGATTGATATAATCAGTTCTTCTATAACTTTTCAATGAACAAAGTTATGAAGCTTGAAAGTCCGAAAATTTAGGCCTTTTATTGACTTAATTTTCGAGCTTTTCCTTGGAAACTGATATGATAACAGTACTGTATAGATGCAGCTCCATCGATAAATCTTGAAAAAACTTGAAAAAGACGAACTTTTTTTTGAGCTTTTCCCTATTCGCGAGGAAACCACACCGATGAGAGCCTCAGACGAGCACCTGACCCGACGAGCAATCTCAGACAAGGCATTTTATCTGTCGCGCAATTTTATTTTTTGATGGATTTTTGGAGGCTCATATCTCGGCTCTCCGAGTAGTTACAGTGAAGTTGATTATACAGTACTGGCCATAAAGGTATTTCAAAGTGGTTATTCGAGCATAACTTCTTTGAAAGTGGCTCAAATGGCTTGAAACTTTGCAAAAATTTTTAAATAGCTACGCAGTAACTTTTTCCCAAGTAAAAATTGTTTGCTCAAGTCAGACCGGATTTGAGAGCAAAAAAACCAAAAAAATCGTGAAAAATCAAGATTTTTTTCTCTTGAGATTCGAAAAAAATCATATTTTCAAAGAAACTTCGTTTTCGAACCAGAAACTTTTTTTCCCCCAGTAAAACAAGTCTTCGGCTTTCCAAAAAAACCTAATCAGCCCCTCACCAACCCGATAGTAAGAGCGTAGTGACTTTTTCTTCGAAAGGCCCTTGCGTTTTGAAGCCTCCTCATTCAAATGGACTATACGAGGTCATTTTTGTTTGAGAACACCCTGTATCATGTTGAAAAATTTTGAAACACCCTCAAAAATAGTTTTACACTGATTTCTTCAGCTTTCTCACTTTATCTGCTCTCCAGAACTCACTAACTTCACTAGGACCGATTTTGAAACCTCTGATTTGAAGCGGTTATGCTCCTTTTTCAAAATCAGAACATTCTCGATTTCTCATTTCAGATTTCAGAGCTTCTTTAGAACCTTGATGAATAAAAATAAAAGAAGACCCACTGTGTTTTGCTTACTTATTCGAAAGATATAGTGAGTTATAATGAGTTTCTTAAAGTTCTCAAAACTTCGTTTCAGCAAGTGTTGCTTAGAGGGCTCCAAATCTTGTGGAAGATGATAAAAACCCCTTTTTTTCATATTTTTAAATGTTTTAGATCATGAGATAAATTTGTAACTCCTTTTTCTAGCTCTCAGATCAAAGATAGGCACTGTAAAAAGTTTCTTTAAACTTTATGGGAAAATAAGTTTTTGATCTTGTGAAACTAATGCTTCAGCAAAAAATTTAGCAGTCTTCAGGATGTAGGAGCCTGAAATTTAGCCATTAATTATTTTCAAATTCACGATTTAAAAGCGATTGACCAGATAAAAACTACTTTGAACGCCCGAAAGTCCAGAAAAACTGTTCAAATCAGAGGTTTCAAAATCGGTCCTAGTGAAGTTAGTGAGTTCTGGAGAGCAGATAAAGTGAGAAAGCTGAAGAAATCAGTGTAAAACTATTTTTTTGAGGGTGTTTCAAAATTTTTTTCAACATGATACAGGGTGTTCTCAAACAAAAAAATGACCTCGTATAGTCCATTTGAATGAGGAGGCTTCAAAAACGCAAGGGGCCTTTCGAAGAAAAAAAGTCACTACGCTCTTACTATCGGGTTGGTGAGGGGCTGATTAGGTTTTTGGAAAGCCGAAGACTTGTTTTACTGGGGAAAAAAGTTTCTGGTTCGAAAACGAAGTTTCTTTGAAAAATATGATTTTTTTCGAATCTCAAGAGAAAAAAATCTTGATTTTCACGATTTTTTTGGTTTTTTTGTTCTCAAATCCGGTCTGACTTGAGCAAACAAGTTTTGTTTTTTTGGGAAAAAGTTACTGCGTAGCTATTTAAAAATTTTTGCAAAGTTTCAAGCCATTTGAGCCACTTTTTAAAGAAGTTATGCTCGAATAACCACTTTGAAATACCTTTATGGCCAGTACTGTATCAAGCGATTCTTCTTGTCGTCATCTTTCGATTGATGTAGGTTATCCTCAGGTTGAGCTTCATCCGGAAGCTCCAGACTTCTCAGCTTACAAGTCAATTTAGTGATAAGTTATCAACGATTGTGATATATCATTGGATCCGTCTTATTAAGCTCTATCGATTGATTATGATATCACCTAATTTTAGGAAAAAGCTGAGATGTAAGCTGGAAAAGTCTATAACGTCATCACAGTTCGTGGCTTTCAAGTACAGAAAAGTGAGATTAGAAAAAAAAAATCATTCATTTGAGCAAAACGAAAAAAAATGGGACATTTCTTGGGAGGTTAGCACCAAAAATAACGAGAGATTCAGAATGGTTTTGGCAAGGGATGGCAAAATGTAACAAATGCAGTGTGAGACTCTGGAAAACTAACAAAAACTGGCCCTGAAGTGATCACTTGGGAGCATATAAGTGGCCCCTTGAGGGGTGCTTTTCCTGAAGCTATCACTTAAGTGAACACTCTTCTTTTAACCCTTAAGGGGCCACTTAAAAATCTCAATCAAAAAAAAAAAAATAGTGTACAAGTACTTTGAAAGTATCGAGAATTCTGGGACGGTTAGGAAAGAGCATGGGGAAAGTGGAGACGCCAGACATTCTTTGTTTGTCTGGTGGCTACACGTTTTCTGTACTCTATGGCATGATATGAAAATGGAAAAAGGCAAGGTGGCGAAATAGTATGAGAAAATGGAGAAGTTAGACATTCCTCATCTTAGGAGTTTTAGAGTGGTCGCTTTAGGGATTAAGGCCCCATAGGGACCGAAAAAGTGGCCCCTAAAGGGGTTTAGGATCTGATCCTTTAGCCTCATAAAGGTTTAGTGGTCCCTATAGGGGTTGTTCCCTTTTATTTTTTTAAAAAAAGGTTAGTTTTTTTTTCCAGTTTCCGCATGGTAATGCTTCTTCGTAAAGTTCTAAACCCCTCTAGGGACCACTTTTCAATTTTTGTGGACCCTAAAGGGGCTGGTAAAGTTCCCCTATAGGGATCACTCTAAAGTTTTTAAGATTCGACTGGCTCCTCCCATTTTTCTGTAAACTCTTATCATGAACAGATAGCATTAAAAACTTCTCTAACCGTCTGAACGTCCTCCTCTTTTCTCACACTCTCTCTTAATAATCTCAAGTTGTAACTGGCTCGGCAAAAATGTACAAGGAAACAAGTACACATCAAAAAAGTACAATTCAATAATTTTCTCTGGGATCTCCAGCTTCTGCACGCTCTCTCGCTATGACGTCATGACAAGGAGTTGGCGATGGTTTCGAACTCGTTTTCCATCTTTTTTATCGTCCAGAATAATTCGCGGTCGACGTCGAGGACAGGTGCAATGAATGAGTCTTTGTACCTGAAATTTCGTATTTTTTTCAGAATTTGAAATAATGGAAAACCAACCGCCAGTTCAAAAAAGCTTTGGGTCCTTTACAAATCGTAAGATTAAATGGATTATTGTAGACTAGAGGCGAGTGCCAAACTGCGAAACCACGACGATCCAGGCGTCTAAAAAAAAAAATGAAAACTCGTCGGAAACTTTTTTTTTTACATAGATTTAGGTATCAAAAACATGCCTTTTTACGTACACCCTCAAGTGGTCACTTGATACTTTCTTCAGAACTAAACTTGAAAATTTCTAAGCGATCTTAGGATCTCCAGAGTGGTCCCTATAGAGGTAACCTTAGGGTCTCTCGGAGGGACCACTTTACCAACCCCTATAGGGGCCACTAAAGCTTGAAAAAGTGGTCCCTATAGGGGTTTCAGTTAGTAGCCCCTATAGGGGTCATGCTAGTCGAAAATTGTTGTGCACATTTCCATGGAAAAACTAAATAAAGAAGCGTTTTTTGAATGAAATTGAAAGAACCCTATAGGGCCCACTTGCGCTTCAAGGGCTAAGGGGTCAGACCCTGAACCCCTCTAGGGACCACTTTTTCGGCCCCTGCAGGGGTTGTTTTCCACACTAACCCCTATAGGGACTCCTCTGGAATTCCTAATGAGAAGATTTTCTAATCACTACTTTTAAAAAATGTCTATTTTGTCCCTTTTTGATAATTTTTCATCACATTTTGCGGCGCAAAATCCAACTTTTTCTGCCATCCGTGGAAAATAAAGTCCCGATCGCTCCAAACCGAATTCGTCAGCCAACCGTCGCGCGCCCAAGCGTGTCGGCCCTTAAAAATTTGATTTTCAGAAATCGGTAAACTTCCTATAATCACAGTTCAATCAGTTCCAATAATAAAAATGCAATTGAATTTTTATTTTTGGGAAAAACTCTCCACTGTCCAGAGAATCAAAGGAGAAAGAGTTTTTGAAGGGCCTTCTATAGGAGGTACTTCAAGTTTCTCCCTTTAGGAGGCCCTTATACACTCCCTATAGGGCACACTAAATCTCAAACTCCCTTTAGGATACACTTCAGCTTGAAGAATTTCAAAAATCAAAATTTTATATCAAAATTCCTCTGTTCTGTATATACCGTTCACATTTTCTACGTCAATCGTCGCTCAAGCTCCGCCCATAATGGCGCGACAAACCAATCAGAGAGCGAGCCATGCACAGAGCGTTTTCGAATGACGTCATTGCTTTGCCATTCAAAATCAGAACATTCTGTACTTTTAACAATTTCGATAAACTTGTGAATAAAGTTCCAAAAAATGAATATAATAGTGACGTCACGGCGTTTTTTTTATGAAGCCCCGTCTATTTTTCGTAAAGTGTAGTGTGTCGTGTGCATGCACTGCACTGTGTTCAAAATATTATCCGCGAAATTCAAAATCATCTCTGAACCTCCGGAATTCATGCCGTGTTCAATGTAATTTCCGCGAAATGCAAAATGATCTCTGACTCTCCAAAATATAGTGATCTTTTCCTTTCTCTAACGGGTATTTTGCATTTCGCGGAAATTACTTTGAACACGGCATCAGTTATATTTTTCGCTCCCTGATGGCTATTTTTAATTTCGCGGGATCACTTTGAACACGGTAACCGAAAAATTGCGTTTTTCAAATGAGGAATTGATCCGTCTCATGACCCATTGGACATGCGCCTTTAATATTTCCTGTTTTTTACGCTTATATCCCGTGACGTCACGTCGAAACTCCTTCCCCTTCATTTTTGATTTCGTATTTTCTTCCAATAACAAAAACGCCGTCTGACACGAAAAAAACAATTTAAATACTTTTTTAAATAAGAAATCGATTCGTCTCATGACCCATTGGACATGCGCCTTTAATATTTTCTGTTTTTACGCTTGTTTCCCATGACGTCACGTCGAAACTCCGCCCCTTCCATTTTGGTTTCGCATTTTCTTCCAATAACAAAAACGCCGTGTGACACGAAAATAAGCAATATAGTCTTTTCAGATTTCAAATTTCAAGTTCTCGCTCAAGCTCCGCCCCCAAATGGCGTGATGAACCAATCAGAGAGCGTTTTCGAATGACGTCATTCTACTTTACATTCTGAACGGACTATACAAAAAGTGAACCTTTGGCAAGATGACAATTTCCGGAATCGTGTTGTTTTTCAAGATCCGCTGCATACACACTTCGTATCGCGATAAATCCGCGTAGTTTCTGGAAAATTTTCTATTTTCATCTAGAATTTCACAATGTTTGAATACTTTGAAGTTTTCCAATACTTTTCCTCGCACTTTTCCCGTTTCTCCTTGAGTTTCGGTAGAGCGAAATCGACAATAACGCTCTGGAAAACCTTCTTTTTCAGTTCAAAGGTACAAAATCGTACATGGATGGCTCCATTATCGGTCCCATGAAAGCTGTTGGGCAATTTCGATTCGTAGTTGGCCCAAAACATCAAGAAATCCCGGGCATATTGCTGGTTTCTGAAAAAATGGCTTAAAATCGTTTGAAGTTCATTAAAAATCAACAAAAAAACGACAGAAAAGTCGAAAAATCGATTTTTATGTCAAATTACGTATATATAATGTTAAAAATTTCATATATTCCCAATTTTTTCCTAGAAAATAATGTTTTCTCTTTTTTTTCACTGGAGTGAAGCTTCATTAAAAAGTTACGTTAGAGCTATAAAAAATCCAGAAAATTGTTATTTCTACCTCAACAGGTAGGATCCCGCCATAACCTCGTGGTTCATAATCCGATCGTAGAACACGATTTGGGCCTAAAATCCTGATTTTTTTTTTAAATAGAGCCAAATGGAAAAGATCCCTTGAGGTCCCCTCAGATGGAGCTGAAAAGGTTCCGCTAGTAGCTTTCAAAATGATAGGGGATTATTCCAGAATGGCCCCTCATTAGTGTAGAAATAGTCCCCCAGCAGCGCTTCCAAACGAGGGGGAGGAGCTTGAGATCTTTATTTCGAAGCTGGGATTCTAGAATGAGATATATGCCTACACATTTGATTCAGCCCCCCAAACAACAGGTCTCTAATATCACTCCCCCTTCTTAAGTCAAAAATTCGCCTTGGGGAAGGGGGAGGCGATTCTGGAATTTTTGATGCAACTCTCCCCCTCCCCAAGCACAAGGTCTCTAATATTCCCCTCATCTCTCCAATCAAAAATTTACCTTGGTGGGGGGTGTAGAGGGCTTGCAATCTTTATTTCAAAGCTTATATGCCTCCACATTTGATTGCTTCCCCTTCCAAACAAAAGGTTTCTAATATCACCCCCTCTTCAGTCGAAATCTGTCTGGGGGGCGATTCTGGAATTTTGATGCACTACTCCCCCTCCCAAGCAAAAGGTCTCTAAATATCTCCAATCAAAAATTTACCTTGGTGGAGGGGGCTTTTGGACAGGGGGGCTTTTTGGACGGAGGGGGAGGATTCTGGAATACTGATGCAATGATGGAGAAAAATTGTCTGAGCCATGAGAATGATGAAAAGTGGAAAAAAAAATGGCAATCTTCAAAATATTTTTCAGAACCTTCTGAGGACCCGAGAAACAGCTTCAAAATCGAAAACCTGAGGTTTCTTGGGGAGAAACTGCTCAACGAGGTGATTCGGATTCACAACGGCCATATCAGCGTCGAGAAATAGAACCCAATCGTATGGAATCGATGGGAGCATGACGGACAAGGCGCAGTGACGACGGAACATGAACTAGAAAAAAATTATATATCTATCCCGATAATTTATAATATTCAAGACAAGCCACCGCATAAATAATGCATATGGATTCACTAAAAGATTATTTTTTTGACTTGAAAAACCTTGCTTTTTCTTCGAGTTTACAAAGCAATGTGAATTTTGAAGTCTAAAAAAACTTAAAAAAACTTTCAAATTTCTGATTCCTCTGCAGAGTTTCGCGGAAGAGATTTGCTTCGAAATTTTTTTGAAAGAGAAAGTTTTTTTCATCGTAGAAAAGTTGATAATAGTGAAGTTATGTGCATTTGAAAGATAAATATCGAAAAAGTTATTTCTATGGAGGGTGCCATTATTCACGAAAAAGTCCAAAAAAACAGCTTCACGGAAGTCCGAAGAAAATGTTATTTTTGGATGCTATTAAACGATGTGAGCCTAATTAAAACAAATTCTTTGATTTCTACCTTCCAAAAACTCCTAGATTCACTATCATCAATGGTAAAAAAAAAATTGTATACTCCAGAAATTCAAGCACGGCATTTCTAATGGGGTGAGGGACGGTGAGCGAGGCGTCAAAGTTTCTGAATTTACAAAAAAAGTAAGTGCGCGCTTCGGATAAAGGACTGTGACGTCACAGCTACCTATCGTTGCAAATTAAACTGAGTATTCAACGGCATGAAGAATACATTTGGCTGCGTACTTGAGATTTAAAATTTCGCACCAAAATTTTTTTTCCGCAAATCTCTTCCGTGCAACCCCCTCTCGACTCACGTCTTTATGAGGACACTTTTCAACGAGCGTCGCGTTTTCCAGAACATTTATCAGGTAGAAACCGTAGTTGAAGTGCTCCGCATAACACTGAACCGTCTCCAAGGCGATTTTGTAGTTCAAATGTTCAGAGCGCCTCGCGACAAGCATAACCAAGGCGATGGAGACATTTTGCTCGCCTAGAAAGTCGATTTTAGTCAATTTTTTAAGTAAAACTTGAAAAATAGTATGTTAAACGTTTTTTTTATTCCAAATTTCGATGAAAAACTAGTTCATAACATCGAAATACAAAAGTTTGAAAATTATTGGAAAAACTACAAAAACGTGACTTTTTCCCTGCCCCTTCTCAATGAAATCTGGAATTCCTAATAAGAACTTTATAGTGATCCCTCTAGGGGTTAAGAGGATAAACAGCCCCTGCAGGGGTCGGAAAAGTGGCCCCTAGAGGGGTTAAATCAAGGCGGTCCACATAGAGGTTTAGGGTCTGACCCCCTAGAGCTCAAGTGGACCCTATAGGGGTCTTCCAATTTAATTCAAAAAACCGTTTCAGTCTTTTCCATGGAAATTATTCTTCGCTTAAAGTTCATAACAATTATCCTAGCATGTCCCCTATAGGAACCACTTTTGCAAGCTTTAGTGGCCCCTATAGGGGTTGATAAAGTAGTCCTAAGGGGGAGCCTTTAAAGGCCCCTATAGGGGCCACTGAGATAGCCAATGATAACAGTACAGAAAAGTTCAAAAAAATCGACATTTTCCCACCTCTCGAAACATTAATGGGCCGGAACTCCTCCTTCTGGTACTTATTGACAAAATAGACATATCCATGGCCGAGTTGGAGTTCTTCGAAAGTCACCACCAACAAAACTACAGAGGCTGTCAGTAGCACCAGTCGGCCCGACGCTTTCATGTCAACATCTTCAAAAAGATCATACGGTACTTTTAAAATGAACCAAAAATGCAAAAAAGCAACCCTTTTTAGGAAGGATATTTAATGAAAAACCAAAAAAATGAAATAAATAAGGGAAATTTTTTCAGACCAAGAAGAACCAAAGCGTCTCGAAACAGTCTTTTGAAGGCATAGGGGCAGTAAGAAACGTGGTTTCAGGTGAAAGCAGTACTTTGTAGAGTTTTTCATTGCGAATCGAACGGTGAACTTGAAAACGTACAGAAATTCCTAGTTTTGGAGAAAAAAATGATTTAAACTCGGAGAATAGAAAGTTTGAGTTCTCGCGAAAAGGACGCTTTGCAGTAAAGTTGCTCTATGGACAACAGGCTTCGCCACCTTCCGGATTTAAGAAGCAGATATCCGGTTATTTCTCACAAAATGCGAGTCTAATGAGACGTCCGCAACATCGCGTGCACGGCTACTGTAAACATTTGTCCGTAGGCCGATCCAAAGCTTTTTTCAAAATTAAAGGCGGGAAAGTAAAATCGCGTTTTTCTTTTAAAGTTGTCACATCTGTAATTTTTTTGAGTACACCATTCGATTCGCAAAGAAAAACTGTATAAGATACTGCTCTCACCTGAAACCCCATTTTTTACTGCCCCTATGCCTTTAAACTTTTTTTTTGGACAACTACGATATAAATTAGTTGAAAAATTACTCGGGCGAAGTCGGAATGATGAATAATGGCCGCTAAAAGGGCGAGGCTCAAAAAAGGCCGCCGAAAAGCAGCAAAAAGAGTTCCAATAATGAGTCTTTCATTTTTCTGGGATGTCAAAGGCTCAAGAAATGGTGAAAAAAGGAGAGGCAGCAAAAAGGAAGCATAAAAGCCCATAAAATGGCGCAAAAAGGCAACAAAAGAGGAGCCATTGTTCCATTCTTTCCGACTTCGCCTATGTTTGAAAGAGCAGAAAATCGGCTAAGCCTGAATAAACACAAAAAAACTGAAACTTGAAAAATCTGAAACCACGCATTCCAATGGCGCAAAAAGGCAGCAAAAAAGCTTTGAGAAATATAAAAGTGTAAGAAAATTGCAACTTACCTCCGATTCAGCATTGACAAAGATAAACTTTTTTCAAGTTTCCATGGCGACCAAAAAAAAAAAAAAAACAAATACAGCTTTAGAAAATTATGGCGTGACACCAATTTTACAAACACGAAAAAAACGCATAAAATTGGGTTTAAAATCATTTTGTTTTGTTCATGAAAACACGAAATATCACATGAAAACTATATGACCAGGAAATTCGGGGGAGAAAAAATATTCACAGGAACTTTGTATACATTTTCTAAATACACGTTAGTTCTTTTTGTTAGAAAAATCAAACGGTAAAAAGTAGAGAATAAAAAAATAAAGTTTGAAACTAATTTTTTTCAAAGAAAAATTGTAGAAAAAAAGTGAAGTTTGCGTTTCTAGACAAAAATCAAAAGAAAAAAATTTCCACAAGATTCACCACTTGGGGGAAAAATTAAAGCGCCAAAAACAACTCTTCGCTTCAAAACTCCAGACGGCGAGAAGAAGATGCGCCTTTAAATTTTTCTCCCATTTTTTTGATTATTTCCTCTCTAAAAAAATGATAAGAAATCAAAAAAATTCTGGCGCGTTAATCTTTCCCAATTCATTAATGAATCAAGTAATATACATAAATAGTTATTAAAAACGCTTTGGAAAGGTAATCTCCGAGAAAATTTCAAGAATGAAGTAAAAAATACACACTTGAACGATGGAAAATGACATGACAGTTCAATTTTGAAGCTTCAATCGCCTAAATCTATCGGAGAAAATTCGAAAAAAGAGACAACGAACGAGAAAATTTACAATATAGGTTAAAAATCAGTTTCGGAAGCGTTAACATACTAAAAAACGTTTAAAAACCATGGAGATTCAAAAAAATACAACAAAACTCTGAAAAAGGCCTGAAAAGTGTCTGGTATTGAAGTTTCAGCTGCTCATAATTATCAGGGAAGATTTCGAAATACACGAAACGCGACAAAATCCTTAAATGGCCACTGGCTTCCCTTTGACATTTTTCAGGACGTATTCGGTGAAGGTTCTCAGGAATTTCGGGTATTCCTTCTTGTAGACGTGTCTCAGGGCGGCTGTAGGTACCCATCCTCCAGGATGAACTGGAAATGGAAAAATGAGAATTCAAGAGTGGTCCCTATAGGGGTTAAAGGCAAAAAGGGCTCGCTATCGGGATAAAGCTTAAGTAATCCCTTCAAAGGTTAGGGGCGAAAAGTGCTCTTGTAGGGGTAAAAATCAAGTGATCTCTATAGGGGTTCGAGGCAAAAAAATGCTTCCTATAGGGGCGAAATTCGAGTGGTCCCTATAGGGGTTAGGGGAAAAAAAAATGCCGCCTATAGGAGTGAAACTTAAGTAATCCCTATAGGGGTCAGGGGAAAAAAGCGCTTCTTGAAGGGGTGAAAATCAAGTGATCCCTATGGGGGTAAGGGCTATAAAAAAAAGTGCTCCCTATAGGGATGAAAATTAAGTGATTCCTATAGGGGTCAGGGGAAAAAAGAACTTGCTATAAGGCTAAAACTTAAGTGATCCTTATAGGGGTTTAGAAAATGGGTTGATAAGTTTAATTTCGTTAAAAATAACTCGAAGAAGTTTTTTTTTTCAATTTCAACACACTGACCAAAAAATAATATCAAAACTTTGAATAAAATTTTTCTAACTTATTTTTTTGACTCAAAATGCTGAATTTCGTTCAAAATAAGTCAGAAACAAGTATTTTCTCAGCTTAAAGACCAAGAAGGTACCTTGAGAAACATAAATTATGTTGCAGGTGACGTCATCTCGTGTCAAAGGCCGATCATATTCATCATTTTTGACAATTGTCTCGCAAACCATGGAAACAGTCAGGCCAACGCGAACCGACGAAGAGGAGCCAAGCTAAAAAAAATTCATCAAAAAAAAAATCAGTCATCAAGCAAACGCGCTCCAGCGAACTAACTATCTAATCACGGACATTGGTAACGCAAAACGGACGTTTCTGCGCAATTCGAGGGATCCCTTAAAAGGGATGAAGCTGCTAAAGTGGTCACTAGAAATGCCCCGACACGTCCGTCTAATGTCCGTGAATCATTTGGATTTTCTCCGGGCTTTCTGAGTAATTTAGTGATTACTTTAGTAAACACAAAACACTCAAGTGATCCCTAAAGGGCTTGGAAACGTCCGGTTTGCGTTTCTCGTTGGTTGAGATAACCCAGAGAGCTTGAGCTTGTTTTTAAGAGGTCACTCTAGGGGCCGAAGGTTCGGAGAACTGGTAAAAATGTGTGAGTTTACAACCTACTTTTCTTCGTGGCCAAAACCTTTCGATAATGATTTTCCTCTTCAACTTGTTCGCTAGAGCGCAATTGCAGAATTTGAAAAAACCAATGAAATGATTTTTGAAACGAACCGGCACATCAGGTCGTTCTAGATTCCGATTGCAAACGATATAAAGATCGTGGGCCCCGTCTCTTTTGAAGTTATCGACCCGACGGATATGAGAAACGAAGAGCGATTCTCTGGGCGCCGCTGGCCAAACCTGGAAAAATTACTTGTAATTTATATAAACTCAACAAAATTCACTGATTGTTTAAAACAGCACTGAAAACGGCTCTAGGCTTCGAATTTTCTTTTAAAAATTAGTCTTTGTTCCTATAAGAGTATAAGCAAGTAAAAATTGATTTAGGGACCTAAAAAAAGGCTCGAAAAAGTCAAGAAACTGGGAAAGTTTTTTAGTGGCCTCTATAAAATTTTGACGTTTTAGTGGCTACTATAGTAGTCAAATTAATGGCCACTTAAGGGGTTAAAAATCAGTGGCCACTATAGAGGTCTAAGTGCTACTACTAGACCACTTAGTGGTCACTTTAGGGGTCAATGGATCAATTATCAGAGTTACTGGAAGGAATACTGGATGAAAAACTACTGAAGTGGTCACTAAATAGAGATCCTTTATCGTGGCCACTAAAACGGAAAATAGTGGCCACTATAGAAGTAGGTTTAGTGGCCACTTTAGTGTCCTCTCCAAGTAGCCCTTGGCGAGCTTCTATAGTGGTCACTAAAAATTTTCCAGAAAGTGGGCTCAATTGGCGCAACCTCTCACGTTACAGTAAAACATCTTATTTTTCAAAAAGCCGCCCCTAATAACCAGACAAACTTCATCGACAGTTATTCATGTAACGGACGGTTTCTAGACAAAAACGAGACAGTGAGAAAAAAGGAGAGAGTTTGGAGAAACCTGAGAGTTTTATTGCGGCACAATTTTTCTCCTTTATTTTATTTCTAATGTCTTATGTATAATACTAATGACTCATAGATTCCTAAAACTCAATGACTAATTTTTTTTTTTCGTACCGTTTTATGTTTCTGATGGAGTACTACGGTGTCCCGGGCGACGACTTCAACTATCGACATCGAGTCCAACGTGTGGTCCCAGTCTTTCTTGTACCTCGCGTCGAAGAAATAGTGCATGAATTCCAACGCCGTGACTCCCTGAGAACGTCAAAATTTGTTGGAATCAACACTTTTTTCTACTTTGACTTGATGAACGGCCTTCAAGGGATCCACAGGCAGGCCGCCTTCCTCGATTTCCCTCGTGTACATTTTCATGGCGCCGTCTTCTGCGAACAGCGTCCAGACGTTGTCTTCGACGCCGGCCAGGGCGTGTCTTAACAGAACTTCGTGAAATTTTCGAAAAACCGCAATATTTGACTCGTTTTTTTCCCGTCTCTGTTGGTTGGAGGATATTTTTGAAAACAAATAAAATTTTATCAAAAAGCTCCCATTAGCCCCAAGTTCTGTTTCGCCACAAAAACGTCTGGGAATGAAAGCCTTGAAACGACAAAAAAAAAGCCGATATTAGGCTCAAAAATACACTAAAAATCGAAGCAAAACTCAAACAAATGCTACTAATTTTTTGACAATATTTGAAAAAATTTAATTTCAAAAAAATTACATTTTTCAAAAAAACTTTTTCCAGGATTTTTTTAAAGCGCAAAACCCTTTGTTATTTTGGTAAAAATGACTTTTTTTCATCCATAACTCTTCAAATTAATATATTTACCCTTCAGAGCCTCAAAAAAATTATTTCTTTTTTTAAAAAAATGGGCAAAGATAATCCTCTAATCTTAAACTTTAAATCAAACTAAATTTCAATTTTCAATAGGAAACTTTGAGATTTTATCAACTTCCAACAAAAAAACAGGACTTTATTGATTATTTAAAAAAATACCATTAAGAAAAAAATTCAAAAAAATCTACAACTTTCTGAGAAATTTCCAGTGCAAATTTTAACGTAAAATCGCGTTTCTTTTTTCATTCATAACTCTTTAAATTAGTATATTTACCCTTGAGAACCGCAAAAATAATTAGTTCTTTTTAAGAAAATGCCTAGAATAAATAATAAATTTAAAAATCCAAGTTCAAGGGGGCGGCATAGCTCAGCTGGCATAACTCATTTCTAACGTCCGCGAGGTCGTAGGTTCGAGTTCCCCCGAGGTCGACCAAGCCTTTCATCCCTCCGGGGCAGATAAAATTGGGAGCTGCATGCAGCGAAAAGGCTCAATCTCTGCCATCGGCCTTTGGAAAGCCGGCACCGTACTTCTTCCTACGACCTCTCTTGTACCTGATGTTCTACGAGCGAAATTTACAACTTCTCTGCCTAAGCCACAGCTCCTGCCGCCGTTTAAACACAGTTGAAATCAATAAAAGTCGATTGCACATGTATTCTTACATTGAAGATGCAATAAACAGTTTTTTTAAAAGTTCAAGTTCAAGCTATTATAAATTTCAATTTTCAATACGAGAGCGAGCTATTCACAGAGTGTTTTTGAATGACGTCGTTGCACTTGACATTCAAAATATGAACAGACTACATTTCAATTATGAAAAAAACCCCATTAAGAAAAATTCAAAAAATCTCCTAGTTCCTGAGCATTTTCCCATTCAAATTTCAACGAAAAATCGCGTTTCACGACATTTTTTTGCTCCCAAACTCACTTCAACTGTTCCTCGGCCAACGTGTCCACAAAGGGGAACAAATTGCTGGTCGTTTCGATTTCCATGATATCATAATGGCCGAAGGGAAGGTCTTTTTCAGAGTTCTGCAGGAAATTCTTGGGAAACTCATGTTTTTTCTCAATTCTTACAGGTCGGAATTTCTTCTGCGGGGCTGGAGTTTCCGTATTTTCTTGGGCCACTGAAACGGGAGTATCAGCTCGGGATTCCATGGCTTCTTCGCCGCTGTCGACAGAGAGTTTGAAATCGTCCGCGTCGTGCCATTCGTCGCAGTCGCTCGTCTTCAAGTTTCAAAAATATAAAAAATTTTGAGAAATAGAGAAATTAATACTCTCTTATGCCGTGTGATCCCGGAAAGGCCAAAATAACCATCAGAGAAAGAAAAAGATAACTAAATTTTAGAGAATCAGAGATTTTTTGAATTTAGAGAATTACTCTGAACAAGGAAAAGATATAGTAAAAAGCAAAGGAACAACAAAATCAATATAGTCAATAATCAGTTCAAAAATGATGAATTACCCCATTTTTCCTCTTCAAAACAAAAAACTGACAAGCTTTTCTATATAAGTTCTAACTATGGCAACGTCGAAACGGTGGATAATGGCTGCTAAAAGGGAGAGGCTCACAAAAGGCAGCCGAAAGGCAGCAAAAAGGTCGCAGAAAGGCAGCAAAAAGGCTCAAAAAAGGCAGCAAAACGGCCGCATAAAGGCTCAAAAAAAGGTCGCAAAAAGGCTCAAAAAAGGCCGCAGAAAAGCTCAAAAAAGGCCGCAGAAAGGCAGCAAAACAGCTCAAAAAAGGCCGCAGAAAGGCTCAATAAAGGCAGCAAAAAGGGTTACTTTATCGAGTTTTCCAATTTTTTCTGGGATTTTTAAGGTCCAAGAAATGGTAGAAAAAAGAAAAGGCAGCAAAAATGCTGCAAAATAAGCGAGGGAATGGCGCAAAAAGGCAGCAAAAAAGGAACATATATCGCCTTAAAATGAACATTTTTATAGAGCCTTTTTCCATTCTTTCCGACTTTGCCTATGGATATAAAAAAATGAATAAAAATCAGCTTAAAAATAGTTAAAAAGTAGATAAATTTTTGTACACGAAAAAAAGCTCATTCCAGTAAAAATTCTCTTTGAAATCAATTCTGAAACTCACAAGGAAAAAAATGACTTTAAAAATTATTCCTACTGAAAAATCAACGTGAAATCTCTCAAAATAGTCATCCTTGATCACAACTTTTCATTTTTTCAGTTAAACTTCAAAAAACTTTTTGAAAAAATCAAGCTAAAATTGCAATTTTTCCTTTTTCTGAACAATTTTCAAGAGTTTCCCAGCACTAGTTCCCATTAAAATCCACTAACAACGTCCAAATCGGCCTTGAAAGTTCTCGTCGTCGTCTGGGTGTCATCGGAAGCATAGCCCGTGTTGGATTTGGTCGAAATTTCCCGTTTCGGCGGAATTTCTTTGGCGATTTGAACAGAATTCATTCGGGACAGAGGCTTGTGCTGTGGAGCAACTTTGTTGTTGTTGATATTGTTCATCGATTTCATTTTCCTTGCCGAATCGTTCGTTTCAGGGATGACGGCCTGGAAAATAAATAAATAGGGGTTTAATGGAAAAAGTAGGGAAATAACACTTTTTGAAGGCGCTTTTTATAACCATTCCGTACCGGTTTATCACTATTTTTTGTTACCCTCCAAGCTAAAAAATCATTCCGCTCAAAGCACGCGGTCAATTTCTGATCAGGCGCCTATAATTTGGCCTAAAAATTATCTTTTATTGAAGGCGCATCGAAAAGTAGGGTACTGTAGCTCTGAGGGAAACAAAAATTGAGCTGGCACGGAACAATCTATCCACTAAGAATAACTGACGAGATAAACGCGAGACGCTGGCGGTACATTGACGAGCTCGCAAACATCTCGCTTTTTTTCTCGCGCCGGTCTCGCATTTTTCTGGTCGCGAGCTCGCACTTTTCTAGGCGCGAGCTCGCATTTCTCTCGCAATCTGAAAATTTCCGAAATGCAAGATAAATGCGAGATGGCGCCAAGAAAAATGCGAGGTCGCGCCGAGAGAAATGCGAGATCGCGCCTCGAAAAAAGCGAGATGTTTGCGAGCTCATCAATGTACCGCCACCGACCTCGCGTTTATCTCGTCAGTTATTCTTAGTGTCGCCATTGCGACCAATTTAGTCACGATTTTTTTTTTGCAATAGAACTAAATAATCCTATTCATGCGCCTTTAAATAGACCTATAAGCTTCTTTTAATGGCGCATACCCAACAACAGGTCGTGAGTTTGAAAGCAAAGGGTTTTGTAGTAATTTAAAGCCATTGCGTCAAGCTTCGTCGCGATTTTCCCTGCCTCAGAGCTACCTAACCCTGCATGCGACTTTAATTAGGCTTATTAACTTCCTTTAAAGGCGCATACCCAAAAAACAGGTCATGGGTTTCAAAACGAAAACGTTTTGTAGCTGTGAGGAAAGGAAAAAACGTGACAAGCTGGTGCGGAATGGACTATAAATGGAAAAACTCCTCAAAAGTACAAACATTGGCAAAAATCAAAAAGTCACCCAATTCAAAACGACAAACCTTTCCACTTTTGACAAGATCAATGATATGATTAACATTGACGAGAAGGGCCAAATGTGTGGCTTTTATTGAAAGTAACGTCGATTTCTGGATCACTTGTTCATTGACGTTTTGTTCCAATATTCGTTCGATCGATATCATCTGAAACCAATGAAATTATTAATTTATAACCAAATAGTGATTTTTTTGAACCTGATCACGACACATGGTCCGATAAGCTTCCAATTCAGCAATGCGGGAGGAAAAATAATTGGCCATTGTCCTGGAAAAAAATAAAGTTTGTTTAAAAAAATCAAGGTGAAAGAAAAAAAGTTTGTTTCGCTTATATTTAAATGTTATTCCGAAAAAAAGCTTTCTTTAGTCTTTTTTTAAAAGGCGCAGGAAAAAAAGTTAAAAAAATATTTTGAAAAATTTTATAGTCCTTGAGAAACTAAGTTCAGTGACTTAATAATTTTTTTACATGAAATCCACTATTTTAATAGTACTTTATTATAGAAAAATTGAAAAATGAGCGTGCAAAAACGATTGAAAAAAATTGAAAAAAATCATTGAAAAACATTTTCAGATTGAAAAAAACGCGCTAAAAAAACCAAACTGAAAAACCCGCTGTGGCGCGAAAAAAAGGCTCTTCGTCTCGATGTTCCTTTAAAATTCACAGCCATGCGCCTTTAAAATTTCTGGTGATTATCAAATTTCGGCATGATCGCTGTTCGAAAGAATCTGAGTTTTGAAACTTTAAAGGCGTTGGGAAACTAAAATAAGTGATTTACGACCTTTCTCAATGTTTTAAGCGTGAAAACTTGCAACTTTAACAATTCTTCGAATAGATTTTACAGGTTTAAAAAGTTTTGAGTGAGAAAAATGCAAAAAAAAATTGAAAAAAATCTCTAAACTGGAACTGCAAACTCGCTGGGGCGCGAAAAGGGCCCTTTGTCTCGAAATTATTCCGAAACTCAAAGCTATGCGCCTTTAAAATTTCTCTGATAAACCTCCGCATTATCGCTGGTCAGAAGAACCGAAGAAAGTGACGGATTTCGGGAATGGCTTTTCGTGCTCGTGCTGCTGTAGTCGGAATCGTTCTTAAATTCAAAAATCAATAAATTTTGATCAAGTTTGAGAAAGTTACACTTTCGCGCCCTAGGGAACCGATCCATAGCATTTTCGACTGGGCATTTTCGGCCTTCATGTACCAAGTTACATCGTCGCCCATTGAAACCGTGAATTCGCATTCGTCGAAATCGTGAGGCTGAACATTCCTGATTTATTTGAAATAATGCAAAAAAAGAAGCGTGAAAAAAACCTTCAAGTTGATATTTTCTTCGTTAGAAAGGTTTAATAATCTATAAAAAAATCTAATAAAAAAATGAATGATTTAAAAAAATCTTCAGTAGTATTGAATCAGTATGTAAATTCCTTATTGTTCAAGAAGAGCAAAAAATTTGAACCTAAAGATTTTTTAAATAACATAGTTCACCAGAAATAAATATGATAAATATCTCTATAATTAAAGAAAATACTGAATTAAACAAGAAAGACCCCAGAAAATCAATAAAAAATCACCGTGACAACCGCATTTTTCAGCGCCATACTGCCACGACAGCCATAAGTTTTGTCGGCCTTGGATTTATAATAAACCAAGTTTCCTCCCACGATTTCGAAATATCGATCCTGCCAGCCGCCGACAAAATTCGTCCATTTTTTCAAGACGCCATTCGTCGGGAGAACACTAAAATCAATGAAAAAACATGCGCAATAAATGGAAAATTTGTTTCGAACTAGAGTTCTTAAAATTTTTACGAAGAGAAAGTTCAAGGAAGTACTAATTATTATCGATTGAAGCCTTCAAATTTTATTATTTCTAAAAAAATTTTTATTAATTATTATTACTAACTAGCGTATAAATAGAACGAAACAAGAAAAAACGTCATAAAGTTTTAAAAATGCTTCAAAACAGAAATCTGACCAGTTTCACGAATAATCGATCAATTTCAAAGTATTTTCCGTCTCTCTATATAACTTATCTCTTTGAAAATAACATAGAGCTGATAAACTAATAAACAGAAACAAATAAATAAAGAAAAAAAACTCACACATCACTTTCCATGGTCAGTTGAGTTCAGGGCAGAAAAAAACGAAATGAAAACTGCTGGTGACGGAGGAAAGTTGGGCAAACTTCGGTATAGTTTGTACCTTTAAACGAATCAGCAAATAGTTGAGAGATTTTTCTGTTTGCTCGAAGAAAAGTTTGCTTAAAACAACCCCGGGCAACCGGTAAATCGACAGCGAGCTTCGCCGTGGAGCGAATATTCCTCATCGTCATCGGAAGCCGGACGTCTTGTGACACAAATTGTTAAAACCGCGGCAAACGTGTTTCGAAACAAGTTTCAACTGATTACAAAAGATGTAATGACTCGAAAACGCTTCATGGATTAAAAATAATCATTTTTTGAGGGCAATCTTTGAGATTTCAGGCAAAAATTGAAAGTTTAAGCCGCCCATGTTTTTTTCTTTCAAAGCTCCAAAACGAATTTTTCTCGAAATGAAGCAGAATACCTTCAAAGGGTAGAAAAAGCTTCTTTTCATAGATTTTTTCGAGCGCTGAACAAACTTAATTCAAATTTTTGAGATAAACTGGTTTTTCATGAAAATCCTCATATTCTGTCCTTCAGAACCACAAAAAATGATAATCAAAAAGGTCAAAAACCATGCGAATTAACACAATAAATGCTGAAAAATATCTCAAAGCAGCAAAGAAAAATGATTTAAAAAGCTCTTTTATCACGAAAAAAATTATGGAGAAACAATAAATCTTCTCAAAAAAACGTGCAAAAAAACCATTTTCAAGAAAAATTTTATACCGAAAAAAATCATTCAAAAAAACGTTTTTTTTCAAAAACATGCATAAATCAAAAAAATCTGTTCCCAAATTCAATGCAAAAAAACCATTTTTATAAAAAAATTTTATACCGAAAAAAATCATTCAAAAAAACGTTTTTTTCAAAAAAACATGCATAAATCAAAAAAATCTGTTCAAAAAAATCCAGTGCAAAAAAACCACAATTTCAAAAAAATTTTTATACCGAAAAAAATCATTCAAAAAAAGCATTTGTCTCAAAAAAATTATTCAGAAACGATAAATCTTCTCAAAAAAACGTGAAAAAAACATTTTCAAGAAAAATTTTATACCGAAAAAAATCATTCAAAAAAACGTTTTTTTCAAAAAAACATGCATAAAGCAAAAAAATCTGTTCAAAAAAATCCAGTGCAAAAAACCACAATTTCAAAAATTTTATACCGAAAAAATCATTCAAAAAGCATTTGTCTCAAAAAAATTATTCAGAAACGATAAATCTTGTCAAAAAAATCCAGTCTCATGAGAATTTTATACCAAGTAACATGCAAGGCCGCGAAAAAAATTAATATAACTATTTTTTTCATGGCCTTCGGATTTATCGAGCGTTTCCTTTTCCCCGACATCGAACTCCTCGTTGTCCTTCTCGTTGTAGAACACTTTGGGCAGGATTAAAACATCATCTTCTTTTTTGGATTCGACTTCCAACTGAAAAATCATCCAATTCGTGTTTTCAATGCTTTTTACAGTAGAAAAATGAAAAACATCGAGCACTTTTAATAATTTGAAGCTATAAAGTCTAGGAAATGCTCAAAATTCGGGTACCTAAAACTAAAAAATCATTCGATTCAGTCTTTTGCAATGAAATTTTCATCAGACAAATGAAAAAATATCGAGTCTTAAGAAAGTTCAAATTTTAACTAAAAATCCAATTTTCAATTGAAATGTCATGCATTGTCGACTTTTTCAGTGGAATTTTCAGTAGAAAATGAAAAATATCGAGCGTTTTTGATAATTTTCAGCAACAAAATCTCAGAAAAGCTCAAAATTCGGGTATTTCAAACTAAAAAAATCATCCAATGTAGACTTTTTCAATGCAATTTTCAATAGAAAAACGAAAAATATCGAGCAAGTCTCAAAAAATTTAAAATTTGGACACTTTTCACTGTGAAATCGTCATAAAACTCTGCTAATTCTAACTGAAAACTCAATTTTCCACTGAAAAAACGTCCAATTCGTGTTTTTAATGGAATTTCCAGCAGAAAAATGAGAAATATCGAGCATTTTTGATAACTTTCAACAATAATCTCTCAAAAAAGTTCAAATTTGGACACTTTTCACTGGGAAATCTTCATAAAACTCTGCAAATTTCAACTGGAAATCCAATTTTTCAAGTAAAAAAATCATGCATACTAGACTTTTTTTCAGTTGAAATTTCAGCAGAAAAAAACGAAAAAAATATACAGATTTTTTTTGATGATTTACAGCTATAAAGTCGAAAAAAAGTTCAAATTAAGCCACTTTTCACTGTGGAATCGGCATAAAATCTGCAAATTTCAAGTGAAAACCCAATTTTGAACTGTAAAATCGTCCAATTCGATGGGATTTCCAGCAGAAAAATGAGAAATATCGATTATTTTTCATTATTTTCAACAATAAATTCTCAAAAAAAGCTCAAAATTTGGGCACTAAAACTGAAAAATCGTTCGATTAATTTTCTTCGATGGGATTTTGAGCAAGAAAACCAAAATTGTCTAGATTTTTTTTGATGATTTTCAGCAACTTAGTATCAAATTTAGAAAAATTTTCTCTGTCAAATTGGCCTAAAAAAATCTGCAAAAACCTACTGTTCCCCTGTAAAATTATCGCAAGAAAGCTCTAGCAATCAAATTTCCAGCAAAATGTGTCAAAAATTCAGGACTTCGAGCCAGAAAATTCAAAAAATCTCACTTTTTGGCATTATTAAATCAAAAAATCAGCTAAAAACTTCTTCAATCAAAGAAAATTCACCTGCTCATCAGTGACCTCTTTAGGGATCTTGATCTTTCCTTTTTTGGTGAATTTTGACGAGGCGATGTCGGCTTTTTCCTGTTCCTGAAAGGAAAAAAAAACCAATAGAGTACAGTTTTTTATCAAGTGTCCACTCAAGGGGTATTTAACCAATCCATAAATTATTTAAGGGCTCACTCAAGGGATTTCTACCAGCTGAAACATGGTGAAAACTGTAAAAAAAAAAATCATAATTTATGAAATTACGCAAATTTCAGCTATTCGCTGGGTCTCGAAGCGAAAAAAGTTACTGTAGCTGTGGGCGTGGCCTGATTCTCAACAAGCTCTATCGAAGAATACTATGGTAAATCCCCAGGGTACTGTAAAACCTTTTCTTGTCAAGACCATTCACTCAAAAACCTAACTTTTCCTTCAATTACTGAAAAAAAACTCTAGGGGCTACTTGAGAGGTTCCTCGAGGACACTAAAGTGGCTACTAGAACCGCCTCTATTTGCTCCAAGTGACCACTATAGTAATTTTAATGCTCAGTAGTACCCTTTAGACTTCAAAAAAGGTCACCAAGCTTTTTGGACACTAAAGTGGCCACTAGAACCGCCTCTATTTGCTCCAAGTGACCACTACAGTAATTTTAATGCTCAGTAGTACCCCTTAGACTTCCAAAAAGGTCACCAAGCTTTTTGGACACTAAAGTGGCCACTAGAACTACCTCTACTTGCGCCCAGTGGCCACTATAGTAACTTTAATGCTCAGTAGCGCCCCTTAGACTTCTATAGAGGCCAAAAATCTTTAGCCACTAAAGTGACCCCTAAAACCACCTCTATTTGCTCCAAGTGGCCACTATAGTAATTTTAATGCTCAGTAGTACCCTTTAGACTTCAAAAAAGGTCACCAAGCTTTTTGGACACTAAAGTGGCCACTAGAACCGCCTCTATTTGCTCCAAGTGACCACTACAGTAATTTTAATGCTCAGTAGTACCCCTTAGACTTCCAAAAAGGTCACCAAGCTTTTTGGACACTAAAGTGGCCACTAGAACTACCTCTACTTGCGCCCAGTGGCCACTATAGTAACTTTAATGCTCAGTAGCGCCCCTTAGACTTCTATAGAGGCCAAAAATCTTTAGCCACTAAAGTGGCCCCTAAAACCACCTCTATTTGCTCCAAGTGGCCACTATAGTAATTTTAATGCTCAGTAGTACCCCTTAGACTTCAAAAAAGGTCACCAAGCTTTTTGGACACTAAAGTGGCCACTAGAACCGCCTCTATTTGCGCCCAGTGGCCACTATAGTAACTTTAATGCTCAGTAGCGCCCCTTAGACTTCTATAGAGGCCAAAAATCTTTAGCCACTAAAGTGGCCCCTAAAACCACCTCTATTTGCTCCAAGTGGCCACTATAGTAATTTTAATGCTCAGTAGTACCCTTTAGACTTCCAAAAAGGTCACCAAGCTTTTTGGACACTAAAGTGGCCACTAGAACTACCTCTACTTGCGCCCAGTGGCCACTATAGTAACTTTAATGCTCAGTAGCGCCCCTTAGACTTCTATAGAGGCCAAAAATCTTTAGCCACTAAAGTGGCCCCTAAAACCACCTCTATTTGCTCCAAGTGGCCACTATAGTAATTTTAATGCTCAGTAGTACCCTTTAGACTTCAAAAAAGGTCACCAAGCTTTTTGGACACTAAAGTGGCCACTAGAACCGCCTCTATTTGCTCCAAGTGACCACTACAGTAATTTTAATGCTCAGTAGTACCCCTTAGACTTCCAAAAAGGTCACCAAGCTTTTTGGACACTAAAGTGGCCACTAGAACTACCTCTACTTGCGCCCAGTGGCCACTATAGTAACTTTAATGCTCAGTAGCGCCCCTTAGACTTCTATAGAGGCCAAAAATCTTTAGCCACTAAAGTGGCCCCTAAAACCACCTCTATTTGCTCCAAGTGGCCACTATAGTAATTTTAATGCTCAGTAGTACCCTTTAGACTTCAAAAAAGGTCACCAAGCTTTTTGGACACTAAAGTGGCCACTAGAACCGCCTCTATTTGCTCCAAGTGACCACTACAGTAATTTTAATGCTCAGTAGTACCCCTTAGACTTCCAAAAAGGTCACCAAGCTTTTTGGACACTAAAGTGGCCACTAGAACTACCTCTACTTGCGCCCAGTGGCCACTATAGTAACTTTAATGCTCAGTAGTACCACTTAGACTTCTATAGAGGCCAAAAATCTTTAGCCACTAAAGTGGCCCCTAAAACCACCTCTATTTGCTCCAAGTGGCCACTATAGTAATTTTAATGCTCAGTAGTACCCTTTAGACTTCAAAAAAAGGTCACCAAGCTTTTTGGACACTAAAGTGGCCACTAGAACTCGCCTCTATTTGCTCCAAGTGACCACTATAGTAATTTTAATGCTCAGTAGTACCCTTTAGACTTCTAAAAAGGCCACCAAACTTTTTGGACACTAAAGTGGCCACTAGAACTACCTCTACTTGCGCCCAGTGGCCACTATAGTAACTTTAATGCTCAGTAGTACCACTTAGACTTCTATAGAGGCCAAAAATCTTTAGCCACTAAAGTGGCCCCTAAAACCACCTCTATTTGCTCCAAGTGGCCACTATAGTAATTTTAATGCTCAGTAGTACCCTTTAGACTTCCAAAAAGGTCACCAAGCTTTTTGGACACTAAAGTGGCCACTAGAACTACCTCTACTTGCGCCCAGTGGCCACTATAGTAACTTTAATGCTCAGTAGTACCACTTAGACTTCAAAAAAGGTCACCAAGCTTTTTGGACACTAAAGTGGCCACTAGAACTACCTCTACTTGCGCCCAGTGGCCACTATAGTACTTTCAATGGCCTAGTAGTACTCCTTCAACTTCTATAGAGGCCAAAAATCTTTAGCCACTAAAGTGGCCCCTAGAAACCACCCCTACTTGCGCCCTGTGGCCACTATAGTAACTTGAATGCTCAGTAGACTTTTAGGAGGCCAAAAATCTTTAGCCACTAAAGTTCCTACTAACTCGACTGTCCTAGTGGTAACTAAAAACCCTAAAGTAGCCCCTAGAAGTACTCAAGTCAGCCTTGAATGAACTATATTCCAATTTTCCAAACCTTCTGCTTTTCGATAAACTTTTGTTGTTCATAAGTTGTGGCCTGAATTGAAGTTTTCGAAATACTTTTCGGAGCAGATTTCGCAATCGTCCCTTCAGCTTTTTCCATTGGAGGAACTCGTTTTTTAACTAAAAAATTAATTTTATTCGAATCTGAAAATAATAAATGAAGGTTAAAGGTAACCTAGAAGTATGAAAGTGGTCACTTGAGTGTTCTTAACTTAAAAGCGGGCCCAACAAGACTTCTAGTGAAGATTTAGATTTGCTTAAAAAGAGAAGATTGGAAATCTTTTTAGTGATCATTATAGTGTTCTGAGTGTCTTCAGCGGTCGCCTGAACTCGTTAGTGATTCCTTAAGGGCTTTAAGACGAGTTCTAGGACTTTTAGTGGCTACAGTACAAGGAAAAAACTTTGAGAAAAGCTTTGAGATATTCAAAGAGGTCACTTGAGTGTTCTAGAAACCTTTGAAATTATAAGTAGTCTCTAGAGGGCTAATTTTGAAGAATTGGAGCTTCTAGTGGTCCCTAGAGGAGCCTGAAATTTGAGATAAACTTCATGAATTTATAGTGATCTCCTAAGCGTTCTGAGCTTTCTCGAAGGCAGTCTGAGCTTCTAAGTGGTCACTAGAGGGCTTTAAATGAAGTTGTGAAAGTTCTAGGGCTCATTTAAAGAAAAGAGTTTTTCTAGTGGTCCCTAGAGTGTTCTGAGGTTATCTAGAGGTCCCATATGCTCCTACTGGACCTGTTAGTGGTCCCTAAAGTGAATTTTTATTTTCTTGAATCTAGGAATGTTGGACTTTCCAATTTCTATTAAATTATTCCAATTTTTGTTCATTTTTTATTTATTTCAATTATTTTTTTGTTTTTGTATTTTTTTTATCGCATTTTTCAAAAAATGGTCCTAAAATGTCCAAAATTCCCAACTCACCAGTGGCATACTTGCACTTGAACCAAATCAAAAAAGCGAGAAGAAGGGACAAAAAAATCGGAATACACGCAACCAAATACAAATTCAGTGAACTTCCTTTCGGACTGAAAATAATACTATTTATCAAGTTCAAAGCTGAAAAAATCACTAATTTCGGTGTTATCGAGCCAATAAAAGGCTAAAAAAGTCAACCTGCTGTTTTTCTCGTAGTCATCCCGGTAGGAGAGCATCTCGTCGCACAATCCAGGACATTCCCTGTACTTTGGGTGATCCTTAAAATCCATTATCTCATTCAAAAAAATTAAAAAAATCATTTTTCACACTGTTTGACAGCACAGGTTAACAGATTTAGTAATTCGCTCAGTTTTTGAAAAGAAGTCCAGTATTCAAAAATTTGTGGGCGTAAAGGTAGATTTTTTAAAACCTGTTATCTCCAAAAAAAAAATTCTAGTGAACACCCTAAATTATATAAAGAAGCTGGAGAATCATCTCATCTGAGTTTAGTTGACTTATAAAAGCTTTAAAAGCTTTAGTGACCACTTGAGTGGTTCCTCTAGGACTACTTGGAGAGGACACTAAAGAGGCCACTAAAAACACCTCTATAGAAGCCACTGGAAAGAGTTCGAGTGACCACTATAGAGGTCCCCGAAGAACTACTTGAAGAGGAAACTAAAGTGGTCACTATAGAGGTTCTCTTTGAACCAATTATGATCTATGGACCCCTAAAATGGCCACTAGAATTTCGAGTTTTTTAGTAGTACCACTAGAGACCTCTATAACAGGCACTGATTCGACTACTCTAGTGACCACTAAAACTTCAAAGCCCTATAGTGGCCTCTAAAAATTTTCCTAGACTCTGAGTCTTGGTGGCGGGTTTTTTTTAATGGTTGCGTAGTACCACTCAGACTCCTAAAGAGGCCACTTATATTCAGTCAATTGAGTGGTTTATCAAGGACTACTTGGAGAGGACACTAAAGTGGCCACTACGTCTATAGAAGCCACTTTTTCGAGTCCTAGTGGCCCCTACAGTGGTGTCCAATGGTCTAGTCGTACCACGTAGGCTCCTAAAGAGGCCACTAAACTTTTTTCACTTAAGTGTCCACTAATTCGACTACTACAGTGTCCACTAGAACGTCGAAACCCTTAAATGGCCCTAAAACCCCGAAAGGCCCCCTAAAATACATTTTTTGACAGGATCTTTTTCCAAACTTCCTTATGCGCCTTTAATTTCATCCTCACCTTGCAGGTCATGTTCGCTTTGTTAAGTGTATTCAATGCATTCGGCGCTGAAAAATCAGAAAAATCAATTTTTTCTTTAGTTAAATTTATTCTAATAAGATTATTAGTTAAAAAAATGAAACCTAATCATCCAAAAAAAGCTTGAAATAAAGTTACATGGCTTGAGCCATCAAAAAAAGGGTCCTGGCACGATAAGAAAAGAGAGACAGTGTATGATAGGTGGAGAGCGCAGAGAGGCCTTACCCTCCAAAGCTAGATGTGATTGGACTATAGTAATTTTCCAGAAAATGTGAAAAAATTTACCGGTTGGAGAAGCGTCTGGGGCAGGACGATTCGCGGTGTTGCCCATTTATCAGATTCTTGATCAGTTCGACAACCTGAAGATCAAAAAAAGTTGCAGGTTTATCCAGATTTCGAATGACAAGTCATCGCTCAAGCTCCGCCCCTAATGATGTCACAAACCAATCAGAAAGCGTTTACACAGAGCGTTTTCGAATGACGTCATACTTGTCACGATTTTTATTTTTCTCCGAGCTACAGAGCCCTTCCCTTGATGCATGCGCCTTTAATTTATCGCCGTAATATTAAAGGCGCATGCACACAGGCGGGCCACGCGCATCGAAGAGAAGCTTCCCGGAAGGGTTCTGTAGCTCGCTCCGAATAGGCTATGTTTTATTTCAAAAAAAGTTACAGACAATTCGTATGATTTTTGACGAATTTTCAATTTTTTCGAACTCAAAATTATCTCTGGCTCTCCAAAACTTCCATTATCTTTTTCATTCTCTGCCGAAATTATTTTGAACGCGACATAAAAAAAAACTTTAACATACAAAAATGAGCCATAGCCACGTGTCAATGTACTTTCACGTGAAAAAGAGTTTCAGCATTTTTTTTTTCCACATGATCATTTGTCTTATTCTAATCTCATCCCGTGAGGTAAATTTCTTCCAAAAAGCCTTTTCTCTCAAAAAAGTCGACTAATTTTGAATTTTTGACGAGTTCTCCATGAAAACTTTGCACGGTAAACTTCATCTCCCTCTTAAAATTCATCCAAAACTTTCTAAAAACTATAAAAAAACACATTACGATTTTTCAAATGTTCCCAAACAATTTTGAAACGTTCCCACCATTCCATTAGCCGTTCTCTTCTCGATCAAATCGAAAAAAACTCCATCCAATTCTCAAACTATTTTTTTCCAAGGACTTTCAGAAGTCCTTGGAAAAAACTTCAGAACACTTAAGTGATCCCTAGGAATGCTCAGGAAAGTCTGGGGATTGTCCGGTTTTCTTTACCTAGAAAAAGCCAAAAATCTCGCCTTGTAGACCTCCTGTGCCGATTTCAATCACAGACTGGTAATATATTATGCCGCTCCAGACCTCCCGCCCCCCTCGTTGTAAAGCCAGGGGGAAGGGGGTAGAGGGGGTTGAAGTTCGCTCCAAAAAAACTTTTCCTTGTACCTCCATTTTTTTATTCAATCTAGAAAAATTTCATCAAAAACACAGTTGATCTCGGAAGTATTTGCTGGAAAAACAGCCAGGGGGGTTTTGAAGATCGCTCCAAAAAATCTTCGAGCTTCTCCCTATGCCCCCCCATTTTTTTGTATAAAAATCCAGAAAAAGGCCATCAAAACACAGTTGATCTCGAACGTATTTTCTGGAAAAATAGTCGAGGGGGGAGGGTTTCTGAAGTTCGCTCTGAAAATTTTCAAGCTTTTCCTTGTACCTCCATTTTTTATTCAATCTAGAAAAGTTCATCAAAACACAGTTGATCTCGTATTTGCTGGGCGCTAAATAGCGGCTTTTGAGTTGATTCTTCCATGAGGGCTTTGGCAAGAGACAACGAGACGAGCACACACAACGGCCGGGTCGAGTTGAGCAAACGGAAGATTTTGGCTGTCGAAAAACCCCCAGGAGCACTCTTTTTTTCCCCCTTTCTTCAAGAGCTGCTCTCCCGATTTGTTGATCGCTCGATGGAAATATAGTGCAAAGCACACATTTTTGCCATTCTTTAATTGGGAATTCGGGAGGCTTGAAATAACTTGAGAAGCTCGTTGAAGGGATATTACAGGTAAAACAGGTGTTTTAAGATAATATTGCTCATGTTAGGGTCACATTGAAGCTTATTTTTTGGTAAATTCCTACTTTTGATAGAGGGTTGACTTCTTTGAGGCGTCATGACTCTACTAAAAGGCAAACGGCTCCCCTACCACTTAATAATTTGAGGAAAACTCATTGATAGGTACTCTAGAACACCTTAATCCGAAACCAGTTGAAAAAACTGCTTTTTATTGCCGTTTCTCGAACAAAGTCTTTCAGAGAAAAATAATTTTTGCAAGTTCTCCAACTCAAAGTCTCTTGCCCAACCAATAAATCAATTTGAAAGTACGGAAAGAAGGAACATGCTCAGGGTACCTAATAAAGCAATCCTCAGCTGCTCTTTGAGCTCAGATTTGGATTTAGTTGAAAATAACTGCTTCTAGTAGACCAAGTATTTCTTAAAGGTGTCACTAAGGCCATTTCTTTCGATCTCAACTTCTTCTCAGACAGATCCCGGGAAAGTATTGGGAAGGTAACCAGCAAGAGGCTGGAAGGTGCTTAGAAGCTAGAAATCGTTGAGAAGGCCTTCGGAAGGTGTTCGGAACGTAAAAATGAAAATGCCTGCCAGAAGACTTCTCAACTTTTACCTGAGTTACGTTGGGTATTTAATAAAGCAGTCTTTAGTTGTTTTCAAAACTCAGATCAGGATCTAGTTCAAAACAACTGCTTCTAGTGAATGAAGTCTTTCTCAACAATATCACTTCCCCCTGAGATAGTTCCTTCTAGTTTCACGCAAGTTCTCAAACCCAAAGTCTCTTTTCTGCCCAACCAATCAACCAATTTGAAAGAAGAAAAAGTATGGTATTACGTGTGTTTCTACGGCCAGCGCTCTGTTCAACTTCAAAAGATCATAACTTACTTCAAAGACCTCCTAGACGATTTATGAGCACAGATCAAGATGTAGTTCAATAATACAAGCTTCCAGCGGACCAAGTTTTCCGGAAAAATACCCCTAAGCTAATATCTTTCAACTTTTATGCCTTCAGCAGCTCCAAGTCTGTCAGAGAGGTGTCACTTCTCCCTGAGTCTTCCAATTTCTTGTCTTGTTCCAAGTTCTCCAACCCAAAATCTCTCTTCTGCCCAACAAATCAATCAATTTGAAAGAAGAAGGATCATGCTCAAGGAACCTTATAAAGCAATCCTTACCTGTTTTTTGAGCTTGTTCAAAAAAAATCCTAGTAGACCAGTCTGTCAGAAAGGTATCACTAAGGCAGTTTGTTTCGATTTCAGTGTCTTCCAAGTTAGGTACCTAATAAAGAAGTTCTTAATTAGGATCTGCTACAAAATGAATACTTCTAGTGGACCGAGTCTTTCTGAATGGTATAACTAAGCCCGTCTCTTTTAATTTTACGTCTTCAAGTCTTTCAGAAGCGTGTCCCGTCACCCTGAGTCTTCCAATTTCATGCCTTGTTGCAAGTTCTCCAACCCAAATTCTCTGTCCTACCCTTCCAATCAATCAACTTGAAAGAAGAAGAAGAAGAAGGAGCATCCTTAAGGTACTTATTAAGGCAATCCTTAGCTGCTCTTTCAAGCTCAGTTTAGGTTTTAGTTTGAAATAACTACTTCTAGTGGACCAACTATTTTTAAGAGCTATCACTCAGGCAGTCTCTTTCGATTCCAGTCCATTCTAAGTTGGGTACTCAATGAAGCGCTCCTTGCGGTGTTTCAGCACAAATTCGGCTCTAGTTCAAAAAGTAAGCCTTTACTGGACCAAGTCTTTCTCAACAGTATCACTTCACCCCGAGTCTTTCAATTTCATGCCTTGTTGCAAGTTCTCCAACCCAAAGTCTCTCCCTTTTGCCCAACCAATCAATCATTTCGACAGAAGAAGAAGGATCATGCTCAAGGAACCTTATAAGGCAATCCTTAGCTGCTTTAGGGCTCAGAATCGGTTCCATTTCTTTCTGTGAGGTATCACTACACCCCGAGTCTTCCAATTTCATGCCTTGTTGCAAGTTCTCCAACCCAAAGTCTCTCTTCTGCCCAACCAATCAATCAATTTGAAAGAAGAAGGAGAAGTCAAAGGGCGTGCCCGTCTTTCTGTCGTTGTTGGGGGGAATCGAAATGAGATCAATGATTGTCCTTTCGTAACGCCTCCAGCCAACGACCGGTCGTGTCTGTGTGTTGCTTTGAAGGAGGTCGAACGGCGGCGGCGCCAAATTTCGGCAAGCGAACAGAACGAGGAAAAAAAAAGAAAAGAACCAGGGAAATCGGGAAATTAGGCACGTTGCGCGGGCGGCGAAATAGCGCCTCGGTTCGTGGAGAAATCAGTGATAAAGGAATTTTGCGCGCGCGCGATCGGTTCTCCTTCGTCTTCTTTGTCCCTTTTCCAAAATTTCCTCACTCTTCCCTCGATTCAATTTTCCTCGTCTCTGGGATCTTCAAGGTATGTTTTCTGATTCTTGGGAAAACGTAAAATATCAAAATCAGTCTGATTAGTTTAATGAATTCCAATTTTTCAATCAATAATCACTGATAAAGAAATTCTCGCGCTTGGGCTCTTTTATTCAGATTTTCCCAGGTATGTTCCCCAGGATTTATACCTGGCGAAACATAACGTATAGAATAACTAAAAGGCCGGAAGACTCAAAATAATCAATACTTCAATTAATTTCTCACCCTTTAATTAAAATCTCCAGGTCTCAAAACGTAAAGTATAACACATGGAAAGTCGCAAGGTACACCCAATTAGTTGATTAATTAAAGGATAATCCGTTGTGGCCTTCCTAATGAGTTGTTTGCGGAGTTCTGTAGTTCCTTTTGATCTCAAAGTTCTCTTCTAATACTATATTCGAAATAGAATCAAAATATCACTACGAATACGTCTAAACCTCTCATTTTTACTTGCTATCTCGTCAATCGTCTCAGGGCCTTCACTGAATATATTTTAAGCTTTAGGACTTATATTACTCAAGGATTGAAAGAACCCAAATAAGCTTGAACCTCTCAATTTAATGTGCTATCTCATCCATCGTCTCAGGACCTTCATTAAATGTTTATTTAACTGCTAGACTTATATTAAATGAAAATTCAAAGAGCCCAAATACGTCTAAACCTCTCATTTCAACTTACTATCTCGTCAATCGTCTCAGGACCTTCACTGAATATATCTTTTTTAGCTTCAAGACGTATATTACTCAAGGATTCAAAGGGCCCAAATACGCCTAAACCTCTCATTTTAATGTACTATCTCGTCAATCGTCTCAGGACCTTCATTAAATGTTTATTTAACCGTCAGACTTATATTACATAAGAGTTCCAAGAATCTTAAACGTTTAAACCTCTCATTTTCACGTACTATCTCGTCAATCGTCTCAGGACCTTTACTGAATACCCAGAACGATCCATATTTAATTATTAGACTAATAAAATCCTAAAGTTTTTCATTTAGGCAAAAAAAAGAATAATTAGTAATGCTGCAGCTACTTTTTTTCGAGTGAAAACTTCATAGAAGGAATTTTCTACCCCTCATTAGTGCTAAATATGTCCCTAAATCAATTCCTATCAATAACTGGTCAACTAATCATTTTTTAGTATATCCGAGGACCCAAAAGGTTCCCAAAATCAGACTTTTTGAACCATATTCGATGATTTTTAAAGATTTGGATCTTTAGAGCCTAAAAAAATAGTACTAACTTTTTTTCCCTGGATGGATTTCCTTCCATTAACTTTCTGAGTCATCCATTATTTTCCAAATTTTCCAGTTTTAACAAATCAAATTTACTTGAACGGTTTTGAAAAATGTCCACCAGGAAAAAAATATAATTTTGAAAAAAATCCAGAAAAAAAGGTTCTGATCAATTTTTTAAAAATTCTCAAAAGCAGCGGAAAAAAACAATTGGCGATCGTAGACCGGAAAAAAATTTTTTTCTTTCAAAGACAACATTTATTTCCACAAAAGACATCAATTTCCGAATGAAATCGAAATTCCCTCGCGTTTATGGGTCTTGAGCAGAGCGATAAAATTTTTTGAACACTTGTTGGGATTCTTAAAAAGAAATCAAAAGTTTCTTCGAAAAGAAAACATGCAAAAGCTTATTTTTCACGTGATTTTGAGGGTGGAAAGTCAGAAAGATTTTGAAAAAATCGCTATTTTTCAAAAAAATGTCTAGCTATTTTTTGGTCAGAGGTACTTCATTTTGGATTCATTGCCTAATCCTAAAAAAATTTCCAAGCTTTTTTTGAAATTCTGATAGAATTTGGCTGTGATAAGCTCACGGAAAATTTTTTTAGCCCAAGAAAAAAATATTCTACTTTTTGACCCCCCCGACCCTTCAAAGCTCTCAAACTACCCAAATCAGATTCATTTGAAGCTTTCAAGGTATCCTAACTTGAAAAGAAACCTATCCCGAGAAATCTCAAAATTTTCAGTTTTCCTTGTCAGCGAATTCCAAAAGACTAGCTGAAGGACTCCCTTAAGGGGAACAAAGAAGATAGGCCCAAATTAATCACTGTCACTGTCAATTGCGGCCACGAAGAAGATACGATTCGGACAAATCCAAATATCACCCTGATTTGCCCTTATCACTTCCGTCATCACGTAGACGCGCAAAACCTTCCGAATGGGGTCGACGAAGATTGATTCCGGCCGTCCCGTCGCCCGTTATCGGCGCCAGTAATCGGGCCGTTTTTCGGGGGCCGATCACTGGCCTTCCACCTACCAAACTACCGTACACACTCCTTATTTGGCGTGCAGCGGAAGTTGGGACGAGAGAAAAAAAAAACGATCGCGGGGTTGCAAATTGTAATGGGTGTTGTCGCTTCAATTACTCGAGTACTTTAAAATTTTTCAAAGTACTCGAGTAATTGAAGCGACACCCATTACGGGGGACTTGGCTGACGCCAGGCTCACTCATCCCATGTACGTTTGAAAAAAAGGACTTTTCTGCCTTTTTTCTGACTAATGCGCATTTTAAAACTTGAAAAATGACTCAGTGGTTCAAAGTGCATCGTTTTGACTTGAAAAAGGCGCTGCCAAGAAATTTTTTTTATCGATTTTTGGGACCTATCACTTTTACCTACCCAGTAAGCGTGCAGCGGAAGTCGAAAAGGAAAAAATATTCCCTCGATTACTTTGAAAATTACATTCGTAACTCAAAAAATGATGCAAAGCGCCTCTTTTTGACTTGAAAAATTCCGAAAAAGGCCCTGTCAAGATAATTTTTTGTCCTTAGGTGCTGCCAGAAATTTTTTCATCGATTTTTGAGACCGACCTTAAGCCTTCCACCTTAAAATGAATAATCAAAAAATAAATGCAAAGCGCTTTTTTTCGACGTGGAAAGTCTATAAACACGAAAGAATGGATAAAATTCGAGAAACAGATTTCCAAGCGCTGTCAAAAACTTTAATCGATTTATGCCGAAAATTTTTCAAGACCGATCACTTCTACCTACCCAGCAATGTACACTCTTTAATTGGCGTGCAGCGGAACTCGAAAAAGAAAAAATATTCCCTCGATTAGTTTAAAATGACATAAGTAACTCAAAAAATGATACAAAGGGCCTCTTTTTGACTTGAAAAATTCCGAAAAAGGCGCTGCCAAAATCATTTTTCCATCGATTTTCGAGAACAATCATTTATACATACCAATCTACCGTACACCCCTTATATGGAAGTTGGAAAGGACAAAAAACGATCGCGGCGTCGCTGATTGTAATAGGTGTCGCTTCAATTACTCGATTACTTTGAAAAAAAGGACTTTTCGGCCTTTTTTTGACTACTTAGTATTTTGAAACATAAAAAAATGATGTAAAGCGCTTTTTCTCGACGTGGAAAGTCTAGAAATATGAGTGAAGTGATAAAATTTGGAAAACAGCTTTTTAGGAGCTGTCAAAATATTATCAGGCGCTGCTAAAATGTTTTTAGGCGCTGCCAAGATTATTGATCGATTTTCGTAACCAATTATAGTCCTTTCCGCCCCAGATTGTCACGATATTTACCAACAGAACTTTTCCTGGAAGCTTCCCTTCGATGGCCGCGACCTGCTTCTATGTATGCGCCTTTAATACCGAAATTTTAGGCTGGATAGAAGGCGCTTGAGCAAAGACAAGCCGCCGATGAGAAGCTGAAGGGTTCTATAGCTCGGAGGAAAATAAAAATCGTGACAATCTGGCGCGGAACGGGCTATACTTGCCTTCTACCTCTTAGTCCTTTCCGCGCCAGATTGTCACGATATTTACCAACAGAACTTCTCCTGGAAGCTTCCCTTCGATGCCCGCGACCTGCTTCTATGTATGCGCCTTTAATATAACCGAAATTTTAGGCTGGATAGAAGGCGCTTGAGCAAAGACAAGCCGCGCGCATCGAAGAGAAGCTTCCCGGAAGGGTTCTGTAGCTCGGAGGAAAATAAAAATTGTGACAATTACCAAACTACCATACTCCTTATTTGGCGTGCACCGGAAGTTGAGAAAAAATTCCGCGGTGTCTCAAATTGTAATAGGTGTCGCTCCAATTACTAGAGTCCATTTCAAACAAAAAACTTGTTGGAGTGTGTAAAAATAACTGTGTTTCTCACTCCTAATTGTTTCGAAACTATAGCAGAATGATGCAAAGCGTGCCTTTTCAATGAGAAAATTTATCGTTTTCGGCTTCTCATAACAAAATATATACTCAGAACTTTTTTTCTGAGCAAAATCACAGCTTTTGACTACATTCAAATGAATATAGATCCACATATTTCTCTATTATTTTCTTCAAACCGAATAAAAAAGCCAAACTTTTTTGCAACTTTATCAATCAAGGAAAACAATAGATTTACGGGATTTCATCCTTTTCCTCGCTTCGAAAAAAAAGCAGTAGCTCTTTTACAAAATTCTCCAGCTAGAAAAAATGATAAAGATCAGATATTTATGGGAAAAATCGATTTTTGAACGCTTAATCGAAACCTCAGCACTCTCCCAAATTTATCACGCTAGAAAAACGGTTGAGAATGTAATTTCCATCGATATTTTCATTTTTCTCAAATTTAAAAAGAGCAAAAGCTCATTCGAAACTTTGTAAGGCTAGAAAAAGTCATCAAGATCCAAAAAGTTCTGCAAATTTTCATTTTTTCAAACTCAAATAATATCTAAGATTTTTTTGCAGCCTGTCCAACTGATAAGGCTGCAAAAGGTTATAAAAAAATCAAATATTCTGTCATAAATTCATTTTTTTCAGAAGCTAAAAATACAGTCTCAACTCATTTTTTTGAAAAAAATGGATGAAAAAAATGATAGTTATCTAGCATTTCTTTGATGACTTCTCTATTGCCAGCACTCAAAAATGTGATAAAACGGATATTTTTTTTCAACATTTCTACATTTACTTCCAAGCTTTTCATTTGATCCTGTTCAAAAAGTGATAAAATGATTATTTTTCAATACTTCACTTTTTAAAAAGGTCTGTAAGATCCATAATCGTCCGTGAAATTGGAGTTTTCCACAATATTGATGGCTTGGGGTGATCAAATCTCCCCCTATCAAAAATTTTAAAATTGTTCAAAGAAGCTTGATGATTTTTAGTAAACAAATTTCAACTTTATCATTTCGAAAGCCGTCCAAAAAGGCATGACGGATACGGAAAAGGGGGCGTGGCTTATCGATATGGTTGGCGGAGGCCACGCCCACGGCGGCATGGCCCCCTTCGAACCGCGCGCCGGTCATCCGCCGACCTGTTTTACATACATACGGGCCCCCGTCTGCATTCTCCGGTGGTCGGCCCTGCGGTCGCCTCCCGAAAAAACTTCGTCTTATTTCTATTCTTCCTATTCTCGACTGTCCATTTGCTTTGATATTCCCCGAATACTTTATATATCTCTTCATTAATATAGTTTAATCTAGTGAGTATCTTAGATCAGCTACCGTTTTCTAGGCGATAGATAATAATTAAGTTGACAAAATCTTCAAAAAATGCTTAAGCTTCAATGACTAAGATTAAAAATCTTTCAAAGCTGACCATTGATTTTTTTTTTCCCAGGTAAACTTACCTGTCGCTCTAATCATCAAATTCTACTATTCCTTGACTCATAATGGGGCTTTAGATAATCTAAAGCGAAAATTCGGTAAATTTTGGCCAATTTCGATCAATTTTGGCAGCGCCTAAAATATCCTTTTAACAAAGTTTTGCGAAATTACGTAACGTCTCGAAATTCGAGTTTCTTCCTTTATTTTTTTTTCTAATAAGGATATTATTTAATTAATCTGGACAATATTATAACAAATTTCTTGAAAAGTGCCTTTGTCTCAACATGGAAGCCATAAAAGACCATTTGGGATAAATAATTTGATTTAAAAAAAAAAAAGTTCATTCATCATAGTGTAGAAAAAGTTTAGTTAAGTCCAGATATTCAGAACGGGCCCTGTAGGTTATTGTTTGAGGGACCCAAGTTCAAAATTAAATAAATATAATCCAAAACCCTAAATTTCATTTATAAAAAAGTCTCACAGTAATTCAGTTTCAAAAAAGCAGAATGAATGAACCTCAAGATTTAGATTGGCCTAAGTCAAGCTTTTCTAATCTTATAATCAAAATTTGAAGGTTCAAAAAAATAAGTCCGTAGCTCTAGACTTGATCTACAACACAGAAAAGTTACTTCAAGATTTCGAAAGACTTAAAAAAAAATAGAAACTTCGAAAAGTCCATTCCAAAAAGCTTAGAACTAACATGAAATTTATTTGAATAAGAACTTTTTGAACTAAGTTTTTGGAGTTTTCTAAAAATAAAATAATCAGTGAAAAAAACGTCTTATGAATATTTTAGGGGGTTTTGGAAACATATAGCATAATTCTCGAGTTTATAATGGTCTAAAACTAAAATTTTACGGTTCCAGTCATTGAAAAAAGCACTTTGAAATCTTCCCGAAGCTTAAAAAATTCATAAAAATCTTCTTTACCATCCAAAAGATTTTCCACCTTCCCAAAAGTTTTTACAGGTTCTTTACCTTCCTAAAATATATTACAGGTATTCCCATCCAAAAACTATTATTCTTGCTGAAAATTCTTTACACCCCACTGCTACCCTTCATCATTACCAGGTAAGTTACACTTTTTTAAATCTCAATTTTTCCCCCGATTTCTTGCTTCCCTTTGGTGATTTGGCTGTATGATCAACATATGGCACTCATAAAGCTAGGTTACCAAAGCTAAGCGGAAAATCCGACATTTTCCCCTATTTGTACCTTTTTTTTGATAAGGTTAAGAAAGTCTGACCTTACAATCCTCATTGTTGCTTGAAAGAATCCGTTTTCAACCTTAAAAAAATTCAAAAAAACTCATTAATTTTATTCAAACCAAGTACAATTCTTTATGATAGTCATCAAATTTCAGGCAAAAAAATCAGACGAAAAACTCTACAAATTATTTATTTCCCAATTTGAAACTATACAAGAAGGTTATATAGACAATTCACAACCTAAAAAATTCTGAATTTTCAAATTTAAATTTGAGCCAATGCCCGGTCGAGGTCCGCAATGATGTCCTTGGCGTCTTCAACTCCGACGCTGGAAAAATTGAAATTGAACATTTTTATTGATTTCTAGGGGGGTATAGTTCCAATCTAACAATTTCAGATGCCTTTACTGAAAATTGGGATTTTAGGCTTGAAAAAGATATGGAAGAAAACCTATTCCAAGCTGACAAAATTCGAAAAAAAGCCTTGAAAGTTTAGGATTCTATAAACCTCGACTCAATTATCCCCCTGAACTTGAAAGCTTAAAAAAATCAATTTAGATATTTTAAAAACTCAAATCCAAGATATTTCCCTTGATTTTTCTTCTTCTCCTGGTAATCTGTACTTTTAAACCAATTTCCAATCGATTTCCCATCTTTCATAACCCTTTCAAGTCAAGATTTCAAAAAAATCAGCAAAAAAGGAACCTTTTTTAAACCATAAAGTCAGATAATCCTACCAAAAAGGTAGGTATCCAAGGTCACAAAACCGAAAGATTGTTGGAAAAAAGAGCTGATCGACGCCTTCGATTAGATTTTTATCCAAGTGGTTTTACGAGGGGCCGCCGAATAGGCTCTCCCCCTTTTTTTGGCATTTACGGTGTTTTTGGGTCGTGGGATACCTGGGTAAGATCCCAATCTCGGCATTATGGTTATGACCATTAAAGGCTAATATAAAGGTTTTTTTTTTGTTATAAATACCAACTTTTAAAGCATACACTCCCTGTTACAAAGACCCACTTACAAGTGAGGTCATTTTACTTTGCGGCTGGGGATTTTCCTGAAAATTGGCCGGGATACTCCTTGATGTACCAGACAAAGATTCATGAAGTCTCAACTTCCTAATTTTCGAGAAATATGGGCTTAAAGCCTCAAAATAGCCTATTTTTTCATATATTACTCTGACTTTGAAGTTTCTTAGGAAGTTTTGCAAGTTGCGGCTTCCAGGATTTCCGTTTGGTACATGGAGAAGTGTTCTGACCAGGTTTCAGGAAATTCCCAACCGCAAAGTAAAATGAGCTCCCCTGTTAAGACTTCACAGAAAAAAAAAATCAAGTTCTTTTTTGAAAGGTTTTCTTTTGTTGAGAATGAATTTAACAGTTTTAAAATTTTTCGGACAGGTTTCAGATGGAAAAATGAAGCCTTGAATATACAACTCTGAAGGAAAACCATCGAAAATCGAAGGTCCCTTGAAAAAAAAAAAGTTTTCGACCGAATTCAAAGATTTCTAAATGGTTTTTACATTTAATCTTAGGAAAGACATGGTTTAGTTTTTTTAAAACAAGTTGAGATTTCAATTGATCAAAAACATCATGTGTGAAAAGGTCAAATTAAACACTGGAAAAAAGAAAAGTCATCAAAAATCGAAAGTTAATCGGTCTCTTGGCAAAAAAAGCCGTTTTTGATCAAAATTAAATGTTTTCATAAGGTTTTCAGGGTTAATCTCCAAAAGGACATGCTTTAGTTCATTTTAAACAAATAAGGAGAGAAATTTATCAAAAAATCATGTGAAAAGGGTCAAATTAAACGCTGGAAAAAAAGGAAAAAAATCAGCAAAAAAATGGTAAGTTAATCGGTCCCTTGGAAAAAACGCCGTTTTCAACCGAGTTCACATTTTTCTAAACGGTTTTCAAGTGTAATCTCAGAAAAGACATGGTTTAGTTCATTTTAAACAAATTAGGATTTCAAATGATCGAAAAATCATGTGAAAAGGGTCAAATCAAACGTTGGAAAAAAGGGAAAATCAGCAAAAATCGAAAATTAAAAGGTCCCATGGAAAAAAAAGCCGTTTTCGACCGAGTTCAAAGATTTCCAAATGATTTTCACGGGTAATCTCAAAAAGGACATGTTTCAGTTCATTTTAAATATGTTAGGATTTCAATTGATCGAAAAATCATGTGAAAAGGTCAAATTAAACACTGGAAAAAAGGAAAAATCATCGATAACTGAAAATTAATCGGCCCTTGAGCCATTTTCGACCGACTTCAAAGATTTCTAAATGGTTTTACGTGCAATCTCAAAATGGACATGCTTCAGTTCATTTTTAAACAGTGAAGTGAAAATTTATCAAAAAACCATGTGAAAAGGTCAAATTAAACACTGGAAAAAAGGAAAAATCATCAAAAATCGAAAATTAATCGGTACTTGGTAAAAAAAAACCGTTTTCGATCAAATCTAAATATTTCCAAATGGTTTTCATGGACAATTTCAGAAAAGACATGTTTTAGTTTATTTTAAACAAGTTAGGATTCCAATTCATTTAAAAAAACCATGTGAAAAAAATCTGGAAACCATCAAAAAAATTGATAAAAAAATTCTTGATTTTTTTAGATTAATTTCTTCAAATTTCATAAGAATAAATTCAAACCTGAAGCGCAGAAGTCCCGGAGCCACGTGAGGTACTCTGATTTCTCCTCTCATCAGCTGGGGTCCATGGGAAATCGACAAAGGATGCTCGATGAGCGATTCTGTTCCTCCAAGAGAAACGGCATGGACGATCAGTCGGAGGTTCTGAAATGATCATTTTAAAAAAATAAGCCGTTATTCTATGCATTAGAGTGAAATAAATATTCAAATATTCGACCCCTTGCAAATTATTAGAAGATTTGGAATAAAAAAAGCTAACCGAATCAAAAATCATCAAAAAGAGTGGAAATCTTTGAGCAAACTGTGAAAAAAATCTGAAATATTAGAAAAATTGGTCATTTTTTTCAGCTCAAAGTCTCTCCAATAAATGTAAAATTGTCAATAAAATCGATTATTCGATAATCAATTTTTTTGAGTCAAAGAAAAATGAAATTGAATTTCGTGGAAATTATTTTTACTTTCTTAAATATGGATCAATTATTAGATAGAAAGTAGAAATTATAAAAACCTTGTATGGCGAATTGTTTAATAAGTTCTAGGAACTAGAAAAAAATAATGTAATTCAGATTATTTCTAAATCAAATTTAAAAAAACTTCAGCAAAATCAATTTGACTCAAATCTACGCGAATTATTTTTCTACAAAAAGGACCAAACAGATAGAAAAACCGCGGAAAAAAAAACTAGAGAGTCCAAAATTTAAAAACTTTAATTTTTTTAGATTCTTCACTCTCTCTACCTTTTGACCCAAAATTATATTGAAAATAAAAAATTCATTCTCTGCAAAAAAAAAAAACAAACGTGAGAAAAAAACGTGAAACCACGTGGCAAGGCATTTTTTTCTATATCGATGCACGTGACCGCGTGTCATTTCTTCTTTTCAAATATCCTTCTAGCTTTCTTCACGACTCGTCTCGCTTCTGCATTTTAACGTCAAGATAATTATTTTTTCGAACTTTCATGAAAATTCAAAAAATGAGATTCTGACTTGTAAGCGCTAGTAGATTAGGCCCGCGGGACTCCCGGAGTGCCGATCCTTTTCGCTTGCGAATTGGATACGCAAAGTCACGCCGAAGCCCATTCCGGTGGCGGAAGCACCAAACTGTTGGCAGCGCGATGCTGACAAAGCGATGATGGGACCCCCGCGGAAAATGCCGTGGCCTTCGGCGTCTAGGATACTTAGTTTTGACAAGGCTGAGCGGAGCTCTAGCGCACCGCCTAGGTAGTTCTTCTTACAGATTAGTGCTTCCCTGATTTCCTAACGACTTTACATAGCTAGTCAGTAAAAACATTGTAATAATAATAGTGCAATCGACTCGATTTTTTTCAATCTTGAAATTGCAGAAAGCCTTCAACGAACTTGTCCTGATCAGTCCATGAAGAACCGACGACAACTCCAAATAAAGCAGTTTGATATCTAAGAATTTCTTTTTTAATTACTTACCTTCAGAAAAAAACGTCTCATGATTGAAAATTGGAAAACAAATCTGCCGACTGCTACTGGAACAATTGGTGAGGTTTTAAAGGTTTTCGTTTCGAAAAATTTCATGATGAGGAAAAAAAAAGTTTGACCTTATTAACACTGAATCAAAACCAAAAAAATCTTGATTCGATATCATGGGCAAAGTCGGAAAAAGGCTCCATAGACATTTTCCTTTCACAAGCGAGGTCATTTTACTTTGCGGTTGGGAATTTCCTGAAAATTGAGCAGAACGCTTCTTGATCTACCTGAAGAAGATTCTGAAAGTCTCAACCTGCACAACTTCCTCGTTTTTGAGAAACGACGCCTCAAAGGCAAATGAGACCCTCACAATCAAATGGGCTATTTTGAGGCTTTGAGACCTTATTTCTCGAAAACTAGGAAGTTGTGCAGGTTGACACTTCCCGGATCTTTATCTGGTACATCAAGAAGTGTTCTGGTCGATTTTCAGGGAATTCCCAATCGCAAAGTTAAGTGACCTCCCCTGTTAGGGTGAAAAAGGCTCCTTTTTGCTGCCTTTTTAGGCCATTTCATCAGCTCTTATGCACCATTTTCGCTACCACTCTCTTTTCCACCGTTTCTTGAGCCTTAAAAATCTCAGAAAAAACGAAGGGCTCGATAAAGGCATTTTTTTTGCTACTTTTTTGAGGCTCCCCTTTTTAGCGGCCATTATCCACCGTTCCAACGTTACCCGAGATATATAAACATTAAAAAAATGCGGTTGTTAGAAGCTCTCTCACCAGATTCGGCGGTTTTATGTGTTTGTACAAATTTTTCAATTTTTGGATTTATGGTGGTATGAAAAAAAGACCAGCGAAAATTCGAACGGCGACTTTTCCGATTTTTTCGTATCGCTAGGTAACTTTACGACGGCCACCTTTCCGCCGAATCTTTTTCCGACTTTTTTCTCTTATATTTTCGATTTATGAAAAAAATCTATCAACATTTTTTTTCCTATTTCTATATATAGGAAGATTAAAAACGAAAAGTTCATTGAGAAAAAAGTCGGAAAAAGTTTCGTCGGAAAGGTGGCCGTCGGAAAGTTCCCTGGCGATATGAAAAAATCCGAAAAGTCGCCGTTTAAATTTTCGCTGGTCTTTTTTTCATACCGGATTTATATCCTCTCTTTCCGAATTTGAAAGTATTTTATCTTGGAAACTTCAGTTAATCACGAGGCAAGAAGTCCGCCTTCCCCAATCAGCGACGACTTTTTCGAACTACAGGCGGACAGAGCTCGATCACCTGCGAGGCCGACTAGACAATACCAGGTACCAGCCCAATGCTCTTAAAAGCAGTTGAGGGCTTTTTGTTCTGTGTTAAGTTGCAAAGGAGACAAGAAACAACAGTGGTTCACAAATTCTATTGAACAAAAAATGCTGAAGCCGCTGAAGGAATTATTAGAAATGCTCAGAAGCGGCCGGGGCGTGTACGGTTTTCGGTACCGAGGTCGGGACTTGTGCGTTTGGCGAGACTGATTTTTGCGAAGAAACCTGCGCGGGTCTGGGCCAGGCCAGGCAGAAAAAAAGATTTGAATCCAAACTCAGTTTTCTCACCGAAAAAAACGCTTATTTTAAAATTCGTAGTTTCTTTTTGAACTTGAGGTATATAAAATAATCAAAAACACGATTTTTTATTTATTATTTTTATTAAAAAAACCTGATGTTCGACTTGAAAACTTGAGCTTTTTGGGCCTGTTTTTTTGCTTAGGGCTTGGCTCAGCCTCGCCCGGGCTCAGAAACTGACAGGGCACATCGCACACCCTGTCTCGGACCTCGGTAACAAAATGGAAAACTCTCAAAATTAAGAAAAACAAACCTTTTCGATTCTTTTTTCTATGGCGTGTTCATCGTACAAAACGTAAATTGCTTCGAAACGCAAAAAACTTGCTCCAAAACAAAAATTAGTACTGTTTTGAAGCAAATTTGGAGCGCTGATGAACACGATTTTTCGTTTTGAAGCATGTTCCTTTTTTCCGATGAACACGCCAATACTATCTTCTCGGACATTGATAACGCGAAACGGACGTGTCGGGGCATTCCTAGTGACCGCTTTAGTAGCTTTAGCACTCTTAAATGATCCCTAGAACTGCTCAGAAACGTCCGGAGCACGTTCGTTTTGCGTTATAGTCTGTTCAGATTTTGAATGTCAAGTCGATGCTCAAGCTCCGCCCATAAAGGTGCGATAAACCAATCAGAGAACGAGCCATCCACAGAGTGTTTTTGAATGACGTCATTGCACTTGACATTAAAAATCTGAACAGACTATACCAATGTCCGACTCGGCCGTGAAGATAGTAGAAAAAAAAAAGAATCAAAGAGGTTTGAAAAAGAGCGCCCCAATGAAAAATCTCTTGTCAATATACGCGAGGCTCCAAAACAAATATGAAAGCAGCACTTTTCGGCAAAATTATGGAAAGTTGATTTCTTCCTGTATGTCGACAAAAAATTAATAAATTTTTGCGGGTGAATCGATCGAATGAGATAGAAATGTAAGATCGTATATAAACAAAATGAATAAAAAATTCGAAAAAATATAGGAAAATGCACCAAAAATGCCTGCGCACCAAAAAGACGCCAGCGTCCAAAAGCTGGCGTAATTTTTGTACTCGTTTTTATAGTGTAATTTTTCGAAAAACAACCTCAATGAGCTTTATCGCATCATCAGCGTCTCCGACGTCGAAAGCAATCATGCCGGAGAACTTTTTCATTGTCGCTTTTGCAAATCTGTGTCCTGGATGAGACTCGAGGCCGGGGTAGATGACTCTGACGACCTGAAATTCGTAATTTCATATTCATAACAAAAAATTAAAAGACCACTCTAGGTGCCACTTAAGCTTTAATGGAGGGGTAGCCAGTTTAAAATGACCGTGTGGCGGATAATCCGGTTAGGGGCCACTCTAGGGGAGGATACCTATCGTCCCTATACGACTTGATAATGCATCTTTATAACTTTAAAATCAGAAAAAAACCTAAAAGACCACTTTAGGTACCACTTGAGCTTTAACTAAGGGGTCAGCCAGTTAAAAATGACCATTTTACGGATAATCGGGCTAGTGGCCACTTTAGGGAAGGATACTAGTGAACCATGTGTCTTTTCAACACATCTTTATAACTTTCAAAGCAGTACAAAAATTTGAAATATCACTAAAGTTACTACTTGAGCTTCAACTAAGGGTCAGTCCGTCATTATCACTGATATCAGGATAGGATAATTTGAAATCGACATAGGGCGTCGCGCCAAGGAGCACAAAAGCCCAAGAAGAAGTACCTTCTTGTGTCCCTCCAAGAACTTGGCGACGGCCAAGGCGTTGTTCGAGATCTTCTCCACCCTCAGCGCCAACGTCTTCAGTCCTCTGGCCAATAAAGCCGCGTCGAACGGCGACTGAACCATTTTTTGTCCCTTTTCAAAGAAAAATGATCTGAAACCAAGGCGCTTCCAGTGGTGAGTTGCTGTTTCTTGAGCCGTTCCCAGTTGGTTTTGGTAGCCGTCGTCAGGACCCCACCAATGGTATCGGTATGACCACCGATGTATTTTGAGCTGAAGAGATACCTTTTTGAGTCCCGATTTTTCAGGGTCTTTTCCTGATTTTCTTTTAGTTTTTCAAACCCTATTCCCGATTTTAAAATTTCAGTTATTTTTCTATTTTTCACTTATCAATTTTTAACAACCTCTGTCCAAGAAAATTACGAAAAGATCTATAAATTCCACAAAAAGGCCTAAAAATTGAACTATATTGTTCTAAAAGCTACCGTAACCTTTTTCGCTTCGAGACACTAAAAAAAATACAAAGAAGGTTCCAGAGCGAATATCAAAAGTAGATACGTATTTCCAGCAGAAAAGACGCGAAATTTCTTGAAAATATCTGACTCGGGACTTTCCAAGGGCTTTTTGACTGCTTGGGAAAATACGACTATTTTTTCCAAAACCAAAAATCACCAGCTATGCATGACGATATCAGCTCCGAGCTTGATTGGCTGAATATTGTAGGGCGACGAGAAAGTGGCGTCGACCAGGGAAAGAATCTGCAAAATTCAGTTCAAAAAATACTCAAAAAACGACATTTTCAAACTGTCTGACCTGTCTGCGCCCTCTTCTCTCTCACCGGGAAGATCATACAGTTATAAAAAGAGCACATAAACATGAGAGAGCTACAGAGAAAAGAAAGAAATCCGAGGCGAAACAAAAACTTGAAAAAATTCTGATGATCTCTAACTCATTCGCCAGCGTTTTCAAACAGTCTGACCTGTCTGCGCCCTCTTCTCTCTCACCGGGAAGATCATACAGTTATAAAAAGAGCACATAAACATGAGAGAGCTACAGAGAAAAGAAAGAAATCCGAGGCGAAACAAAAACTTGAAAAAATTCTGATGATCTCTAACTCATTCGCCAGCGTTTTCAAACAGTCTGACCTGTCTGCGCCCTCTTCTCTCTCACAGGCTAGGCCAATAAGTTATGAAAAAAGAGCACGTAATTAGGGGAGAGTCACAGAGAAAAGGAAGAAGGTGAAGTCGAAAGAAATAATTATATAATTTTCTATCTTTTTTTATTACCATATTCGCCAAGCTTTTGAACTGTCTGACCTGTCTGCGCCCTCTTTTCTCTTACCGAGAAGGTCATACAGTTATGAAAAGAGCACATAAACATGGGAGAGCTACAGAGAAAAGAAAGAAACTCAAGACGAAACAAAAACTTGAAAAAATTCTGATGATCTCTAACTCATTCGCCAGCGTTTTCAAACAGTCTGACCTGTCTGCGCCCTCTTCTCTCTCACCGGGAAGATCATACAGTTATAAAAGGAGCACGTAATGAGAGAGTCGCAAAAAAATCTAGTCTGAAGCTTGAAATTTAAAGTCACAATTGTGCCTATCAAATCGGTTTATGCTCCATTTTTTTTGACAGTGTTAGTTGAAATTTTTGAGTTTTAACCTTGTATTTTTTCGCAAATTTGAGGGTTCCAGCAATGTCAGGCACGGCCATCGACGGATTTCCAATCGTTTCGAAGAAAATGATCTGAAAATCCTTGAATTGGATCCAGGCTGTGGTACTGTATTTAAAGGCGCAGAGAGGACTTTTAAAACGGGTACTGGCACGAAATTTAGTTTAATCGTTTTCTGCGCTCTATAATATTCCAGAAAGTTGTCTTCAACAATTTTTTTTCTGTTTTGCTGTCAATTCAAAGCCTGCTATCATTAAAGGCGCAGAGAGGAGCGTCAAAATGGGTCCTGGCACGAAATTCGGTTCAATCGTTTTTTGTGCCTTCTAATCGTGTAGAAAGTCATCTTTAACAACTTTTTTCTGTCTTGCTGTCAATCCAAAGACCGCTCTCATTAAAGGCGCAGGGGGGTCCTAAAGGGGCAGGGGGGTCAAAATGGGTCCTGGCACGAGATTTGGTTCAATCGTTTTCTACGCTCTTTTATATTCCAGAAAGTCATCCTTAACAAATTTTTTATCGTTTTGCTGTCAATTCAAAGCCTGAAACTCTAAACTTAAAGGCGCAGAGAAGCCACTCGAAAAAAAGGTCCTGGCACGAAATTTATTAGAATTTCTTTGCGCTCTTCAATCCTAGAAAAAAAAAATCCATATTCAACTTTTGTTTTCGTCTACAACTCATTAAAGGCTTAAAGGCGCATAGAAGCCTTTCAAAAAGGGTCCTGTCACGAAATTTACTATAATCTCCTCCTGCGCCCTTAAATAATTTTTTTTTCAGCTTTATCCTTCAACCCGATTTTTCAATCATTAATTCTCGCACCATAGGTCTGTTCATAGTCTTCTGAATTATTTAAAGGCGCAGAGAAGCCTTTCAAAAAGGGTCCTGGCACGAAATTCAATATAATCTCCTCCTGCGCCTTTAAATAACCTCTAAAATTGTTTTTTTTGAGCTTTATTCTTCAAATTAATTTTTTTAATCATTAATTTTTCGCGACATAGGTCTGTTCAGAGTCTTCTTAATTATTTAAAGGCGCAGAGCCAAATTTTAAAAAAATTATTCAAAAATCTCCATGCGCCTTTAAATGATTCAGAAGGCTATGAATCGACTCAAAAAAATCACAGAAAATGTGAAAAACGCAATTTCAAGCCATGCGCCAAAGAGCGGCCGCAGTTTACAACTGTTTTCATGGGGTCAAAATTATATATTATACGATCCTCGCGGCGCCGTTTTACAGCCCATTTTGTAGCGGAATTCTCAAGGTTTTCCCCGAAATCCAATAAAAAAATAAGGCACCAAATCTATTGGGGCACGGAAATCAAGAATTTCTCGAGTAATTCAAAGAGAGAAATTCAAAAAAAGTAACAATTTTGAACTGAAAAAAATTGAACTTTTCAAGTTCTCGGCATGTAATCTTCACATTAGAAAAACTTCTTCTAGGTTCCAAAAAAACCCTAATTTTTTTCTAGATATTATTTCAACAAAATTTTTTTCAGGAAAATATGAAAACTTCGATTTTCCCCATGTAATTCTATCATTGTGGAGATTCTCCAAAGTTTTGAAAATTCCTAAATTTTTCCCAAAACCTATTTCCAAAAAATTTCAAGGGAAATATTCAAGCTCCCTGTAATCTTATCACTAAGAAGCTTCTGCAAAACTTTGAAAACTCTTTTTTTAGAAAAAAATGTCAAAAAAATTGTAATTTTCCCCATGTAATCCCATCATTTTGAATCTTCTCGGAACTTAAAAAGAAATCCTAAATTTTTTTCAAACTCAATCCAAAAATTTTTCCAAGAAAAATATTAAAAATTTGCAATTTTCCCCATGTAATTCTATCATTGTGGATCTTCTCGGAACTTAAAAAAATCCTAAATTTTTTTCATCAAGAAATATCTGTAATTATATGACTGAGAAGCTTCTTCAAGACTTTGAAAAATCTCTAATTTTATTAAAATTTTTTTGGAAAAATATTAAAAAAACCACAATCCTCCCCATGTAATTCTATCATTGCCAAGTTGTTCCTAGGCGTCAAAATATTCAAATAATTCAAAAAATCACTCTAGTCGCGTCGCGGATGCTGTTTTCAAGGGCGTCGATCACGTCGGGCTCCTCTTCGATGTTGATGAAAGTGATCTGAAAAATTCATTTTGATCTTGATTTTCTTGGGAAAATCCTCACCTCAACCCCGAATCGTTCCATAGTCTCAGTGAGGAAAGAATAAGTTCCGCTGTACAACGGGCACAGTGCGATCTGAAGGAAAAATGACTTTTTTTCGCACCCGACTTCAAAAGAGTTGCGCCTAGGGGTACAGAAAAGCATCAACTTCAGATTATCTGCTTTGAGCCATTCCAAATGCGATCAACGCAAACTTATCGCTTTAAAACGCGCCCGACTTCAAACGACTTGGCGCTTGGGGAAGGGGGGGGGCTAAATCAAACTTTTAAGTCTCAAAAAGGTTCACAATATCTGCTATAACTCATGCAAACAGTAGAAAAATTGTTCTTGGTCGCAGTTGGAATGGCTCAACGCAAAGCAATCGCTTCAAAACGCGCCCGACTTCAAGCGACTTGCGCTTGAGTTCATAGAAAAGCATTTAATCAAGCTTCTAAGTCTCAACCCCTTCAAGTACCACCTCTACGCGGTGATGGGGAGGCAACGCCATTTATGGCGGCTAACGGTACACCGGTCACGCAGTTCGGCTTGCTTCTGCTAACAGAATGGGCGGTCTTTTTTAGCCCTGGCAAGGCAAAAAGGATAATCAGACCAAAATTATGCTATAACACGTTCAACACCACGGATGGAACTTTTTCGCAAGAATACCAGTCAACCAGGACAACACTGGATGACCGATTGCATAAGACCTCCTGGAAAACGTGTGGTCCACGCTTCGATCAATAAAAGGCAATAAAAGATCGAAAGCGAAGATGGACCATCTAAGTATCTAAGTAAGTAAGTAAGTAAGTATCTAAGTCTCAAAAAGGTTCACAATATCTGCTATAACTCATGAAATAGTAGGAAAAACTGTTATTTGTCGCAATTGGAATGGCTCAACGCAAAGCTACCGCTTCAAAACGCGCCCGACTTCTCGGCAGATACCTCGGCCCAGTGCAACCCCCAGATTTGCTCTCTTTTTCCCATCTTTTGCACTTTGCAAGTGGTAGTGACAAACCGTAACATTTTCGAGTCTTTTTCGTGCGAAAGGAGAGGCTGCACAGTGCTGACCACGAAATTCAACTTGCATGGGAACAAAAATAATTATTATCAACGGGGCTTAACCTATTCCCATTGGGCGCAAATAAGGTGCGGAAAGTAAGCTATTACGATAGAAGGAGTTTCTATTCAATTTCAAAAGATCTACTAAATAAAACTTTAGAATTGAATTTGAGAAAATTACAGATTTGAGATTCGCTTTTTTCGCTCGCTTTCTCCCCTGAAATTGCACTGAATTGACTCGGAATTTTGAAAACTCCACTCTCGAGGTCATTGCGCAAAAAACTGACTCCGCGCTCGGTTGTGCCCCTGAATGTGCGAGAAAAAGCACCGAAAGTTTGAAGGCCGCATCCCAGATAGGGTCTGCCCGGAGCATAATTCCTGCCGAGTTCAAACGACTTGCGCCTAAGGGCACAAGAAAGCATTGAATCAAGCTCCTAGGCTCCAAATTGGCTTCAAAAAACACCGCGACGCTTCGAGCCATTCCAAGTGCGGCCATAACTTTCCAAATGAACTATCAAAAAAACCAATATTCTTGTTTCAATAAAGCTTTATCTTCAACATCAAAAGCCTTCTTTTTTTTTTGAATTTAAAAGCAACTTGAAACTGAAAAGTTAGTTTTGATTGATATTTTTTTCCCAGTGCAACTACGACTTTCTAACAGACCTACACCCATTCTAAAAATGAAAAAAAGCCAAATTTCAAATCAAAATAATCATTATGATGATCACCCCTTACCATATGAGTCCTGGACCCGAGGAACTCGAGAAAAACCGCACTGAGGGCGGCCAGACCAGAGTTGTAGAGCAGAGAAGCGGCTCCTAAAAATTACTCATATTTAAAAAAACCTGCTCGAAGAATTTTTTTGAAGGCGCACAGCCCAATTTATATATATAATAACCTCCTTCCAGTTCATTGATGATCACTTCAACGTTTTTCCGTCGTCGGATTTCCACAACGGCGGTAGACGAAGTTTTGGCCCTGGAAAAAAATATTTTAAAAATAACTTTTTTTGAAGTTAAGAAACTGTCAAAATGCATTGAAATGCATAGAAAAAAAGGCTATTTTTCTTTGATTTTTGCATCAAGTTGAACTAAAATTAGCGCTGATCGAGCAAGAATCACATCATCAAAATTTCTTCTCCAGTTGTTTAAATTTCTCTTTGAGACAGAAAAACTGTTCTAATTAAATTCAAAGTCAATAAGTCTAACGATTTTAGATTGAAAAAAACTTTTTCTTCGAGCCTTTTTGCGGAACAACGCAAAAATTTTCAGCAGGGTGGCTTGAAATTTCAACGAAAAAAATAAAAAGAAAAAAAGTGGGGGGTAAAATAGAGAGAAAATTTTTAGAGGCCCCTGAGCTTTGTTTGAACCCCTTTAACAATTCGAGGCTCTAATACTGGTAAATTAAAAAAATTGTTCAAGGGAAGTTGTTTGAAAGAGTAAGGGACCTACTGGGTGCGCAGAAATTACGGACGCAAACTTTGACCCGCCCGGATGCCTCTCATCCCTATTTTTATTTGTTCTTTTTTTGATGATAGGGTTTGTTGAACCTTTATGCATGTTTTGATATAAAATTATTGAAAAATTTATTACGATTATACAGAAAGACGAGTCAAAATTTCATGCGCCCTGAAACTCTGAAATTTCATCAAGACGGTCACAGCAACTCTTTCATCTCTCAACAACTCGACGTCCACTCGTCGTTGGTGTCCAAGATCATTAAACGTTTCAATGTGCTTGGCATAGGGACCGCAGACGAATTTTCAAAAAATTTTTTTCAGCATCGAGTTTTGTATGGTTTGATAGCTGTTTCGATTTAAAACTCAGAACCGTTCAGTTTTTCGAAAAAGATTGAGGTTGAAAAAAGTTATGACGAAAAATGTGGCGCGCCGCGCACCATTTTTTTAGTACTGAAATTTTGGTATTATCCATTTTTGACATTTTTCTCGATTTTTCTTCTAGAACAAGTTTTGATACTGGTTTATTATGATGTAACAAATCATAATAGAGTGTTAAAATAATGAAAATTTGCTAGTTTGCCGAAAAAGTCGGTATTTTCCAGAAAACAAAAGACTGACGCTTGCGGGTATCGAACTCGCGACCTCAAAATGAAAATTCGCAGCGCACGCGCTGCGCCAAGCTGTTAGGTCTGGCGAGGGGAGCTTCCACCCCCTTACCCTTGAGCCGTTTGGATAGCACAGATTGCCTATTTTAAAAAAAGAAAAAGTTTGAAGTAATTTAGCTATTTTTTTATCAGAATATGTTCGCAAATCTTTACCTAAACTTTCCGTGGAAATTCACTTCGAAAAAAAGCTGTTTTTTTAGTGCTTTTTTTGCCTCGTTTAACGATCGCTGCATTAAAAACGGCCCCGTAAATTTTTTTGGCAAAGACGAATTTTTTTATTTTATTCTTTTTAATTGAAAGATTTTTTTACTAATAAATGTATATAATCGTTTGAAAAAAACCTGCGTTCGACCGCTTTTTTTGTGATAAACGCCGCTAATTTTATTCTCTAGTTTCAAGAGCATTTTTTTGTGTATTAAACAACTTTTTTTCAAGCACATATTCTGTGGAGAAATATTTAAGTAAGCCCATGGTCTAAATTTTGAAAAAACAAAAACTCGATTATATTCGCTTATTAACGATATTTTGAATTATGACTTTCGGCACTCCCTAAAATTTTTGGCAAAGACGAATTTTTTATTTTATTGTTTTAAAAATTTCCGTTACTTGAATCAAAATCATTTTAATAAAAAAAGAAAGAGTGCGTTCGACCTGAAAAACACATGAAAAAAAGCAAAAAAATGACAACATTTTTTAGTTCCATTCACGTTTTTGTACGAAATTCCGCGAGAACGCATCAAAAAAGCGTGAAATATTTTTCAAATGAAAGAGGAAGCTTTTCTGTACATGTGTGTCAAATTTTATTATCCAGTTCCATATATTTTGCAACTACAACAAAATGAAAGTTGAAAACCAAAAAAAAGCCACTTTTTCTATCGCGAAAAGGGGCGTGGCTTTGCGGTCCCTAGCTTGGCACAACAGAAGACCACTCAAGGAATGGACGACCGGCCACGGCTACATCTGCAGAAAATAAAAAAAGGTCCGCGACTTCTTCAGTCAAAATCCGAGGTCTGTCAGGAAACTCGCTGAGAAGATGAATATAAGTTGCACGAGCTTGCGGATATGAAGCAGCTCAAGATACAGGAAGCACAAATCCTGATGATTAATCCGGAGAAAGCCACAAGGGTCGATCGAAGTCCCAACGTCCACGCTTTCAATTTGAGTGAAAAAATTGTCAGTCTCATGAGGCCCATTTTAATTCAACCCCTAGAGGGGGCCCTATACCAGATTTTCGGGGCCCCAATAGGGGTTAAGTTAGAGGCCCCGGAGGTGAGACCACATTCGCCCCCCCCTAATAGTAATTATTGAAAAAAAGAGTTTGCTTGAATTAAAAAAACCAAAATTTTAGGTTGAATTTTTTTGAGCTCATATTGAGATGACAACAAGATCCAAGAAATGTTCACAACACTTTCTCCGCCCCTTTTTGTTAAATCCCCCTACTACGACACTTTCCTAACGCATCACTGCTCGAGTATTGTCATTTCGCGAAGGGGGAATTTTCAACAACAACAAAAATTTCAGGTTGAATTTTTTTGAGCTCATATTGGGATCACAAGACGGGCTCCGCCCTTTTTTTGATAAATATCCCCCCTCTATTACTACTATTAGACTTTTTCGAACGCGTTACTACTCAAGTACTGTCGTTTCGCAGGAACGAGGGGGGGATTTTCAAAAAAACACCAAAATTTCAAGTTGAATTTTTTTGAGCTCATATGGGGATCACATCAAAAAAATTGTTTACAAGACTGGCTCCGCCCCTTTTGAAAAAAATCCCCCTCTACTACGACACTTTCCTAACCCATCACTGCTCGAGTACTGTCATTTCGCGAAGAGGGGGGGGAGAGAAACAAGCCACCGGAAAACCGAGAAAAAAAACCTTCAAAATCAGTCAAAAAGGCCATTTTGGGGGGGGAGGCTTCGAGCCCTTGTTTCTCAAAAACTAGGAACTTTTGTAGGTTGAGACTTTCAGGATCTTCTTCTGGTACTTCAAGGAGTGTTCTGGCCGAGTTTGAGAGATTTCTCTATTACAAAGTAAAATGACCTCCCTTTTTTATATACCTCCCCCCCCCCTCTATCACTACTACTAGACTTTCTCGAACGCGTTACTACTCAAGTACTGTCGTTTCTCAAGAACGAGGGGGAATCGCCCCAATGATGCCCCCTTTTTGGACTAACATGATTCGCCTGATTGTAGAGGTTGACGGTCTTGAACCGGTACGTGCTGGTGTGGTAGATGGGCGTCACGACGGGGTCTACGTTTTTCAGGGGGATCGCGTGGGACGTCGAGAGTTGCGTGTCCACATGGAGCTTCGAGAACCTTCAATTTTCTCCTTTTCGGGAAGAATTTCTGAGGATTTTAGGAATCGGACACAACTTTTTAAGCCATTCCCTCTTACTGTAGCCGGGTTACGGTAGGTGGGTGGTCACCTGCGTATCTAAGTATTGGTGATTTTTTTCATGGGCAAGTTGTATATCAATCGATAGGTAATGCAATTTCAGAAACTTTTTCAGTACATACCATATTAGATTACTGTAGAAATTTTTCGAGATACGGTACTTTTTGTGTTAGGGGAGTTGGTTTTTTGGTCACCCTGGGCACAAAAAAATTATTTTTTTGATTTTGATGAAAATTTATCCAGTGTGATAACTCTTTATCAGAAACTTTTTGAGCCATTCCCTCTTACTGTAGTACGGTTACGGTAGGATCTCTACAAATACAGAAAACCCGTTTTTGAAAAAGCTGTGAAAAAGTTGAGAATTGATGAAAATTTTTAAATTCCTACTCTGCAAAAGTGATACGATAAAACTGAATTTTTCTCTTAATCATTTCGAAAAAATGACCTCGAAAAGGCAGATCTTATCCGCTCCACGGACAATCTCTCTTTTCTACTTCACTTTACGGATTCAAATCAAGTTCTTGATGCATTTGGTAACATATACGTTTGATTGTATCCTCCGGAATCGCCAAAATACTTCTTGATGTACCAAAAAAGGTTCCTGGAAGTCTCAGCTTGCATAATATTCTAGTTTCCTAAAAAGGACACCTCAAAGTCAGAAAAAACCCTCAAAATCATCAAAAATGGGCCATTTTTGGGCTTTGAGACCTTATTTCTCGAAAACTAGGAAATTCTTTAGGCCGATCCTTTCAGAATATTCTTTCGGCAGAGTGGTCTCTATAGGGGTCAGGCAAAAAACAGCCCCTATAGGGGTAAAATTCCGGTTTTCCTTCCAAAGGTTTGGGTTCTGGCCTCTGCCCCCTTGAAGCTTAAGTGGCCCCTATAGGGATCTTCCAATTTTTTGAGCTTTATGCATAGAAATGCTTTTTTCTCATAGAGTTTATGACAATAAACGACTAGAATGCTCCCCTAGAGTGACCACTTTTGCAAGCTTTAGTAGCCCCTAGAGGGAACGAAAATTGATCTTTAGAGGGTAACCTTCAAGGGCCCCTATGGTTACCTTTGAAGGTATAGGTCCTCAAAGCTTGAGCGACCCCTATAGGGGTATTTTAACTTTGTTTCTGTTAATATTTAAAATTTGATGAAGTGATTACTAGAGGGGATTTTTCAAGGACCCTATAGGGGTCACTCTGGCGTTCCTAGAAAGGAATTTTCTGGCTGTTTTTCAAAAACTTCCCGACTAATAGTAAGACTAGGAAAAATTCGAGTTTTATCTTCAAAAACCTCAACTTTTCCCCCAAAACTCACTCGTCACCAAACGTCTCCCTGGCGGCGTTGCGTCCTGGTGGCCATTCACTGAAAAAATTCCATCTTATCATCAAAAATATCATCCAATAGGTCTAATTATCAGCCCAGAAAAGGTTTATCAGCACCCCGGCCGTTCTTCTTCGTAAACAAGTTTTTTATACCTTTGAAAATGATGATTTTCGGCTTTATTATGATATGAAAACGATAAAAAAGCCATTTGTCGAGTATTCTGAACAGGGAATGTTCTCAGATCACAGTGGGATTCCTCACTAGAGGTAGTTTTTCACGCTGATTCCGAATCTGGGCTCAAAAATTGCATTCGAGGATTGTGAAAAAAGTTAGAGGCTCTCAAAGTCGAAAAAGCTCCTTTTTGAAGGGTATTTAGTCCTTATCACGAAAAAAAAATTGATTTTTTTTTAGCCTCAACTTTTTTCACAAGCCTCAAGAGTAACTTTTGATCACAGATTCGGAATCAGCGTAGAAAAATGAAAAAAAAACCAATTAATTTTCCGTGACAAGGACTATATACCTTTCAAAAAAGAGCTCATCGGAGACATCGCATTTTCCGACTTTGAGAGCCTCTAACTTTTTTCACAGACCTCCTCGGCAGTTTTTGAGACCAGATTTGGAATCAGCGTGAAAAACTACATCTAGTGAGCCTCATTCAGAAGTCGCACTGTGAGCTGAGAACATTCCCTGGTGGGAAAAAACTCTGGCAGGAAATAATACGTTTCTAGAAATGAATTTAAGAGGATCAAATTTCAATTATTTGATCGAACCAAGCGTATTTTTCCTTATTGATGAGTTGCAATAAAACTAAGGCCCGCATTTGGAATGGCTCGGCGCGTCATTTTCTTGAAAAAAATTGAAATTTTTTTGGAAAAATTTTTAGTTCTAGTTGATCATTTGAGTGTCCAAAAAAATAATAATTTTTCCAATTTTTTTCTCAGAATATTGAAGTTTTCATTGGTTTTTTTCTCTGAACTCTCAAGTTTAAGTATCAAAAATGAGCCGCGACGCGACCGCAACGCGTTAAGCGATTCCGAATGCCGACCAGAAAGCTTTTACGTCAGGATTAGGAAGCTTAAAACTCGGAAATAACCGTTTTTTTTCAATAATTTTCCAATAAAATTTTGAAAAAACGCTATGATGATTCTTCCGTAAACGGAAATTCGGCTAAAAATTCGCCAGTACTTCGTGATTTTCGATTTTACAGCTTTTATAGGAAGCCTAGCTTCGGAGCTTGAAAACGTTGACTGGAAAATTAGGTTAGTTTGAATATCTATAATGAGCCGCGACGCGACCGCAACGCGTTAAGCCATTCCGAATGCGGCTAGAAAGCTTTATGTGAAGCCAAGGAAGCTTGAAATATGAATAACCGTTATTTCCAGTAATTTTTTTCGTATAATCACGGAAATGGAAGGGAAAAACGGACCCCATGATTTTTGCCGAGAAATTGGGGGCTCATGATTCTCAATTTCTGGTTTCAGACGGCTGAATAAGCTCACAATTTGAAAAAAAGCGCTAAGCTTTTTTTCATGTCAAAAAAATCAGACCTTTGTACGAAATATATCCCGTTTGAGAGGGGGGCGGGGGCGGCCTAGCCTGAAGCACTTGCAAGGGGGGAGGCAGGCTGAATAAGCTCAAAATTTGAAAAAAACCGTTATATCCATAGAAACTTTGGAGGTTTCCACGCCAGGGGGAAAAGACGATCCGTGAGCATATACCCCCCAGGTCATTTTCTAAGCTCAGCTCGAAAAGCGCTAATTTTTTTCCATGTCAAAAATCAGACTTTTATACGAAATATATCCCGTTTAAGGGGGCGGCCTAGCCTGAAGCACTTGCAAGGTGCGGGGGGAGGGGGGCAGGCTAAGGAAGCTTAGAACTCGGAAAAAAACTTTGCTGTGAAGTTCGGCGGGTTCTATTGAGCTCATCATGGATTTTTCCATCCAAGACCCGAAAAAAATCCAAAAAAACTTGTTATTTCGAGTGAAAAATTCCGGATAAATATTTTTTTTCGGCTCAAAATTCTAGAAAAATTGTAATCAGCACACTTTTTTTACATCTAGTAAGTCAAAAATTTTTTTACAGAAAAAAATTTATTGAAAAAAATATTCCCTATAGAGCTCAGGAAGCTCAAAACTTGGAAAAAAACCTTTATTTCCATAAAAAAATTTTCTGATAAAATCCTAGAAAAACGGCGGAAAAACGAACCCCATGATATTTTTTTGCCGAGAGGGAAAAAAATGGGCTCAAAATTAATTATTTTCCAAATCCAAAAAGTCCAAAAAAACTTGTTAATTTCGAGTGAAAAAAACCCGGATAAATATTTTTTTCGGCTCAAATCTTGCAAAAATCGTAAAATCAGCACACAGTTGGTCATTTCCTGAGCCGAAAAAGAAAGAAAAAATTTTTTTCAAAAATAAAATTCATTGAAAAAAATATATTCCCTATATAGCTCAGGAAGCTCAAAACTCGGAGAAACCTTCTTTTTCATAAAAATTTCTGATAAAATCCTAGAAACAAGCGGAAAACGAACCCCATGATGAGAAGGGAAGGTCGACTGGAGTGACCGGCCGTCGGCTGGCGAACTGACTGATATCGTCGCCGTCGCTGATTATCATTGACGGCGACGGGCTGATGTAACAACCAATTTTTCAGCGAAACGTCTCTTCTTGTCAATTTTTCTGTTTTTTTTTTCTCTTTTTCGGGTTTCCAAAAGATAGGAGACGGCGGGTCGTACTTTATTCCCACTTAGTTGAGACAAAAATCGTTTTCGCTTCAAAATATTTTTCGACAAAAGGTCATGCTCCTTTAAAAAAATGTCACGATTTTCTTGAAATTTACTGTTTTTGTGTGTTTAATTTGCATATGAACCAAAAAAATTCATTTTTTTGAAAAAAATTTCAAGTGCTACTCCCAAAAAAGGTCTCGAAGCGAAAAAAATTGCTTTTTTTCTTAAATTTCCCATTTTTTTAAATTATATTGAAAAATGAATACATTGAAAAACCTAAAAATAACTTTTTTTATGGAAAATTCGCTCCATTGATAACTTCTATACGTTTTTGAACAACGTTATTTTTTTGAATTTCCACTACTTTTTAAAGGCGCAGACGATTTTTCAAAAAGCCGCCCTGCGCCTTTAAACTTCATAAAGTTCTGGATGTTTTTTTCGCCATAATTTTTTTTCGAAAAAAATAAATTTTTTTGTGTTCAATTTTCACATGAAATGAAAAATCCCGGAAAAACAAAAAACCAAAAAATTTTTAATTTACTGTCAACTTCCGCTCAAAAAAAGGTCCCGAAGCGAAAAAAATTGCTTTTTTTCCTTTTTGAATTTTCTGTTCTTCCCACAACAATGACGATGAATACATTGCAAAAAAATTCCTGTGGAAAAGTTCGCTCCATTGATAATTTCAACACGTTTTTTTTGAAAAAAACTTCTTTCTAAATTTCAATAATTTCACTATTAAAGGCGCAGTCATTTTTTTAAAAAGCTACCCTGCGCCTTTTAAACTTCATAAACTTCTGAATTTTTTTCGACACAAATTTTTTTAAAAAAATAACACTTTTTATGTGTTCAATATGCACATGAAATAAAAAAAGAACCGTCAAAAAAATTACGAAAAAAATAAAAAAATTTTTTTTGAAAATTTCAAAGTGCTGCACCAAAAAAAGGTCCCGAAGCGAAAACTTGCTTTTTCTTTTTCCATTTGTTACACCATAATGACATTGTAAAAAAACCTTCGAAAAAAACAAAACTAGTCTGGAAAAATTTGCTCCATTGATAATTTTAATACCTTTTTCAACAACTTTTTAAAATTTCATCAACTTTCACTATTAAAGGCGCAGGCAACTTTTTAAAAAGCCGCCCTGCGCCTTTAAACTTTCACAAAACTGTTATGAATGAACTATGAGTCGTTTGGGGCTTACAAAAAAACCCATTTAAAAAGCTTAAAAACGAAAAACACAATTTTAAAAATTTCAAAGCAAACTTTCAAATATTCTGATCAAAAATCGAACATTTACCTGAAATAAATCTCATTATTTTTTTGAAATCTTTATTATTATTCGAAAAAAATCGATCAATCAATAAAAATATAATACAAGCACTCGTCATCTGAGCAAAAAAATTTGAAAAAAAGCGTGAAAAAAATACATTGACTAGACGCATTTCTACAGACATATAAGCATAGGGAAAAAAATGAAAAAAATGTGAAAAAATAGGCACCGGGAGGAGAAAAAAAGGCATTCAAGTATAATTTTGGACATAACATTGCTTAAAAAAAGTAAAAATGAAATAAAATCAGCCCCAAGCAATTTGAAAGAATTATCCGTCTCAAAAGGACCTGAGCATCAGCTGGGAGACACAAAAAATGGCTTGAAAAGTGGTCAAGATGAAATGAATCAGAAAGTGGTCTCTTAAGGGTTCAGATTGTAGTTTCAGGTACTCCAAGTTTAAGCTCGAATCTAGCTCTGGGAAAGCTCAAAAAGTGGCTCCTTAAGGGGTCAAAGCTATGACGAAATGATGTTCGAAAAGAGGTCCCTTAAGGGGTCAAATTTCTGACAAAATGAAGTTTAGAAAATAACTCATTGAAGTGGCTCCTTAAGGGGTTGAGCTTATGGAAAAGGGAACTTTAAAAATAGCTCAAAAAGTGGCCCCTTAAAGGGTCGAATTCCTGACAAAATGAAGTTCAAAAATAGCTCGAAAAGTGGCTCCTTAAGGGGTCAAAAATATGGAAAAGGGAATTTCAAAAATAGCTCAAAAAGTGGCTACTTAAGGGGTCACATTTCTGACAAAATGAAGTTTAGAAAATAGCTCAAAAAGTGGCTACTTAAGGGGTCACATTTCTGACAAAATGAAGTTTAGAAATAGCTCAAAAAGTGGCTACTTAAGCGGTGAAAACTATGGGAAAGGGAACTTTTAAAATAGCTCGAAAAGTGGCTCCTTAAGGGGTTAAATTTCTGACAAAATGAAGTTCAGAAATAGCTCAAAAAGTGGCTCCTTAAGGGGTCAAACCTATGACAAAACGAAAATTCGAAATTACTCAGAAAGTGGCTACTTAAGGGCTCAAAATCATGAAAAATCAAAGTTCAAAAGCTCAAAAAGTGGCCCCTAAAAAAGCTCCATCCTCCTTTAAAAATCACAATTTTTTTCGTCACGATTTTTTTGAAAATTACTGTTTTATATGCAAAATTTGCACATGCAATGAAAAAGAACCCAAAAATTATAAAACCAAAAATTTGAAATTCATTTTTTTGAAAAAAATTTCAAGTGCTACTCCCAAAAAGGTCTCGAAGCGAAAAAAATTGTTTTTTTCTATAATATTGCAAAAAATTACTGTGAGAAATTCGCTCCATTGATAACTTCTATACGTTTTGAACAACGTTTTTGAATTTCCATTTTTTTTTACTTTTTAAAGGCGCAGACGATTTTCAAAAAGCCGCCCTGCGCCTTTAAACTTCATAAAGTTCTGGATGTTTTTTTCGCCATAATTTTTTTCGAAAAAAATAAATTTTTTTGTGTTCAATTTTCACATGAAATGAAAAATCCCGGAAAAAAACAAAAACCAAAAAAATTTTTTAATTTACTGTCAACTTCCGCTCCAAAAAAAGGTCCCGAAGCGAAAAAAATTGCTTTTTCCTTTTTGAATTTTCTGTTCTTCCCACAACAATGACGATGAATACATTGCAAAAAAATTCCTGTGGAAAGTTCGCTCCATTGATAATTTCAACACGTTTTTTTGAAAAAAACTTCTTTCTAAATTTCAATAATTTCACTATTAAAGGCGCAGTCATTTTTTTAAAAAGCTACCCTGCGCCTTTAAACTTCATAAACTTCTGAATTTTTTTCGACACAATTTTTTTAAAAAAATAACACTTTTTATGTGTTCAATATGCACATGAAATAAAAAAACCGTCAAAAAAATTACGAAAAAAATAAAAAAATTTTTTTGAAATTTCAAAGTGCTGCACCAAAAAAAGGTCCCGAAGCGAAAACTTGCTTTTTTTTTTTTTCCATTTGTTACACCATAATGACATTGTAAAAACCTTCGAAAAACAAAACTAGTCTGGAAAATTTGCTCCATTGATAATTTTAATACCTTTTCAACAACTTTTTTTAAATTTCATCAACTTCACTATTAAAGGCGCAGGCAACTTTTAAAAGCCGCCCTGCGCCTTTAAACTTCACAAAATGTTATGAATGAACTATGAGTCGTTTGGGGCTTACAAAAAACCCATTTAAAAGCTTAAAAACGAAAAAAAAAACACAATTTAAAATTTCAAGCAAACTTTCAAATATTCTGATCAAAATCGAACATTTACCTGAAATAAATCTCATTATTTTTTGAAATCTTTATTATTATTCGAAAAAAATCGATCAATCAATAAAAATATAATACAAGCACTCGTCATCTGAGCAAAAAAATTTGAAAAAAGCGTGAAAAAATACATTGACTAGACGCATTTCTACAGACATATAAGCATAGGGAAAAATGAAAAATGTGAAAAAAATAGGCACCGGGAGGAGAAAAAAGGCATTCCAAGTATAATTTTGGACATAACATTGCTTAAAAAAAGTAAAAATGAAATAAAATCAGCCCCAAGCAATTTGAAAGAATTATCCGTCTCAAAAGGACCTGAGCATCAGCTGGGAGACACAAAAAATGGCTTGAAAAGTGGTCAAGATGAAATGAATCAGAAAGTGGTCTCTTAAGGGTTCAGATTGTAGTTTCAGGTACTCCAAGTTTAAGCTCGAATCTAGCTCTGGGAAAGCTCAAAAAAAGTGGCTCCTTAAGGGGTCAAAGCTATGACGAAATGATGTTCGAAAAAGAGGTCCCTTAAGGGGTCAAATTTCTGACAAAATGAAGTTTAGAAAATAACTCATTGAAGTGGCTCCTTAAGGGGTTGAGCTTATGGAAAAGGGAACTTTAAAAATAGCTCAAAAAGTGGCCCCTTAAAGGGTCGAATTCCTGACAAAATGAAGTTCAAAAATAGCTCGAAAAAGTGGCTCCTTAAGGGGTCAAAAAAATATGGAAAAAGGGAATTTCAAAAATAGCTCAAAAAAAGTGGCTACTTAAGGGGTCACATTTCTGACAAAATGAAGTTTAAAAATAGCTCAAAAAGTGGCTACTTAAGGGGTCACATTTCTGACAAAATGAAGTTTAGAAATAGCTCAAAAAGTGGCTACTTAAGCGGTGAAAAACTATGGGAAAGGGAACTTTTTAAAAATAGCTCGAAAAAGTGGCTCCTTAAGGGGTTAAATTTCTGACAAAATGAAGTTCAGAAATAGCTCAAAAAAAGTGGCTCCTTAAGGGGTCAAACCTATGACAAAACGAAAATTCGAAATTACTCAGAAAGTGGCTACTTAAGGGCTCAAAATCATGAAAAATCAAAGTTCAAAAGCTCAAAAAGTGGCCCCTAAAGGGCTCAAGTCCATGGAAAAATAAAAAAATATATAGTTCAGGAAGAGGGGATTTCATTTCTCAATACAAAAAGTTCAAAAATCACACATTTTTGGTTCAAATTCATCAGATTTCAGTACAAAAAGGGCCTTTCAAATCATGTTTCTCATGCCGGATTTCAAATCGTGGGCGGCCGTCGAAACGCGCATCACGCTGTCGACCATCGCCTGCATGCAGCCGATGTCGGGGTGCTAGAAAAACCTTATTTTAAGAGAAATTTATGAGGAAAACTCGGTATACTCAACGAGAGATCAACTAAGTTAGGAGAGACGCCAGACGACGAAAATTTCTTTGATGTCTGGCGCCTCTTCAGACCGCTGTTATCTCTCACTTTCAACTATTCTAACCACGGTCTCCCATTAAAAAAATCTCAACGACAAAAATTTTTGGCTGTTGAGAGATCAGCCAAGTTAGAAGAGACGCCAGACGGCATAAACTTTCTTGAGTGTCTGGCGTCTCTTCAGACCTTTATGATGTCTCACCTCAAAACACTCTAACTCATCTCTCGTTTTGAGTAAAAATAATTGCTCCTAACATTCTCGATGACAAAAGTTTGTGGCTGTTGAGAGATCAGTCAAGTTAGAAGAGACGCCAGACGACAAACAATTCTCTGATCGTCTGGCGTCTCTTCAGACCGCTATTATCTCTCACTTCCAAGCAATCTACTTCGAGCTCTTTCTCCCATTACCTATCTTCCGCTCACAAAAAACCCAAAGCACGAAGTTTGGTAGCTGTTGAGAGATCAACTAAGTTAGAAGAGACGCCAGACGACGAAAAATCTCTCTGATCGTCTGGCGTCTCTTCAGACCGCTATTATCTCTCACTTTTCTAACCTTGGTTTTTCTCTCCTATTACCTATCTTCCGCTCACAAAAATCTCGTTTCTAAAATTCTCAGTGACAAAATTTATTGTCTGTTGAGAGATCTGTCAAGTCAGAAGAGACGCCAGACCGCGAAAACTTCTTTGATGTCTGGCGTCTCTTCAGACCGCCATTATCTCTCACTTCCAAAAAATCTGTTTCGGATCTTCCTCCTATTACCTATCTCTCGTTCACAAAACAATGAGTGATAAAATTTTGTGGCTTTTAAGAGATCACCAAAGTGAAAAGAGACGCCAGACGACAAACAACTCTTTGAGTGTCTGGCGTCTCTTCAGACAGCTATTATCTCTCACTTTCAACCCCTCTAACCACAGACTTTCAAATCTTTCACCCAAAGCCCTAAATTTCCATTTTTCTGAATTCTGAAGATATATGAACTCAGAAAAATCCTGATATCAGTTTTTTTGCTTTTTGAATTTTCACGACGGCTCCAAAGCCCCCCCCAATGAAAGAGAAGAACTTTTTTTTCGAAATCACCTCATCGGCGGCGACCTTGGTGGCCTGGACGCACTCCTTGAGGTACTCGCAGAGCCGGTCGGCGGCCTGGCGAAGTCGCTCGGCGCAATTCACGTCGTGGAGACATTGCGATACCGAGTCGCCGATGTAGATCAGCTTGTGGGCCGCGAGAATGATCTGGAAAGGGAAAATTCGGCTTTAAGGTACAAATAACTTCAGAGAAAGTTCGATTTAGCTTCCGAATCTTACTTAAAGTTCACTCTAGCCCTATTAAACTCCAAAAAATCGTTTTTACACGGTTTTTATTATCCATAGGACTTACCGAAGCCTAAAAAAATCCTTTCCAACTCTTCAAAAATGCTCCAAAATCTTAACTCCTTTAAAAAACTTCAAAAAGACCATTTTCAAGCATCAGAGTATTGGGAAAGCTCTTAAAATTTGGAAAATTCAAGCTTTTCGCGTTCAAAAAACCTTGATAATATGCCTATTTCTAAAAAATCACATTTAAAGATACTTTTAGAAGTTCCAAAAAAACTTTTTCTTTTATTTTTCTACCTTTGAAGACCTGTAAAAGTCTAAAAACCACTGGAATTCTTTCTAATAACTAACCCAATTACTTCCAAAAGCTTCTAGCACCTTCCGTTTCCTCAAAAATCCTCTAAAAACCCACCAATTTTGCCCTTCTGAACGAATTCCCTGGGCGGCAAGTTCATCTCGACGGTTTGGAGGAACTCCTCGACGGCGTTGGTCAACGAGTCCGTGTGTTGGTCGAGTTGGGGCAGGTAGAACTCGATGACCTGCTTGTCCTGGAAATTCGTAAAATTTATGGGGTACTTGGAGGAAATTTTCAACAACCTCTTCCGGGATGAACTTTGCCGAGTTGTTTGAGCGTCCCGGCACGACGTCGTCCAGGTAGGCGTAGTCCTGAAAAAGTTCCTGATTGGACAAAAAAACGTCATCAGGAAGTTTATGGTATTATGTTTTTGCCTATATTCGGCCCCACTTTAGGGGGTTGGCCGCCCTTTTTGAAGGGGGAGGGTAGCTAGCAGTTTGAGGGGGAGGGGGAGGGGGTGGCTAGCAGTTTGAGGGGGGGTGGCTAGCAGTTTGAAGGGGGTGGCTAGCAGTTTGAGGGGGTGGGGGTGGCTCGCAGTTTGAGGGGGGGGAATCCAGCCGACGCATGGAAAAAAATTCCATTTTTCAAAAAAATCAATAAAAATCGATTCCCTTCAAGTCCTTTCCATCCATTGTAAACTTATTGAATTCCGCTAAATTTTAGTTCCACTTCAACTTTAAGCCCCGCCCTTTTGAAAATCCTAGAAAGCTGATTTTTGGCTTCAAAATGAAGCATTATGATTCAAAATAGCTTTAAAGCTGGATATCGACTGCCTTGAGCCTTCAAAAAAAAGGTCCTGAAACGATTTTAAAAAAAGAGAGAGTGTATGGTTGGTGGAGAGCGCAGACAGGCCACGCCCCTTTTTTCTCAAAAAATTCCCAGCAACCTGTCTTCAAGCTCATGTCAAAGATTTTCAAAAAACAGGATGCGAAAAAAAGGGAGAGAGAGTGACTGGTTGATGGAGAGCGCAGACAGGCCGGGTCGAAAAAGTTCCTAGCAACCTGTCTTCAAGCTTATTTCAAAGATTTTCAAGCTGCAACCGATTTTTTCGATTTCTAACCTGGAAGAGGCTCTCGCGATCGCTGACGACCGACTCGAGGTCGTCCTCCTCGATGATCCTCGACTCCGGGACGACCTGGCTCAGGATGGGAGTCTGAACGACGGGCTGGGGCGTTTTCCGGATCGGGGAGTATTCCAGGGAGCTGTTCTCGATGGAGGAGCCGGTGGAGGATCGGTCAGTCTGCTGGAAGGCTCAAAATGATCGCGGAATCGAGAATCGGGCCTAACTTCGTCGGCGAAGGTGACCCGGCCACGTTGAGGCTTCTCGGCGCGATTCTGTTGGGTGACGAGGATGGAGGAGGGCTGAGAAGCGTCGGTTCCGGCTCCGATCGTCGAGGTGGACGAGGTCGACAGCCGCTTGTCCTCGTAGGTCGGAGTTCTGAATTTTAATGGTCAAAAACGCGACGCGACCGCAACGCTTTAAGCCATTCCAACTGACCAAGAAGCGTCAGAATAGTAGTCCCTAGAGGGGCAATCTTTAGGGACTCTAGACTTTGCAAAAGTGGCCACTTAAGAGGATCATTTATCGTTCATTAATAAGCTTCTCTCTAGGGACGCTAAATTTTGCAAAAGTGGCCACTTTAGGGAATTTTTCATCGGTTGATGTAATGTTTAATTGTAACTCTATAAGCTTCCCTATAGGGGAACTAAATTTTTGTAAAAGTGGCCACTTAAGGAGAGAATTTATAGTTCATTTATAAGCTTCCCTCTAGGGGCCCTAATCTTTGCAAAAGTGGCCACTTAAGGGGAGAATTCATCGTTCATTGTAACTCTACAAGGAAAAAAACTTTAAAACTCAATAAATTAGCGTCATTTAAAGGAAAAATATTAGCAGAGGATTAATCGATCAAGTTTTAAAAGTGGAAAAAAACCCTTTAGGAATCCCTTAAGCCTTGAGGACTTAGGGGTCAGACCCCTATAGTGACACCTAAGACACCCAATCACTCTATGGATCACTCTGGCGCATTTTTCAAAAAAACCCCTATAGGGATCCCTCAAGCTTCAAGGGCTTAGGAGCCAGACCCCTATAGGGACACCTAAGACACCCAATCTCTCTAGGGACCACTCTGGCGTTCCTAATAAATTCAATCAATATTTCCTTACAAACCCCTTTAGGGATCCCTCAAGCTTCAAGGACTTAGGGATCAGACCCCTATAGGGACTCCTAAGACACCTAATCTCTCTAGGGACCACTCTGGCGCGTTTTTTAGAAAAAAAAGCCTTAAAAGGGTCCCTTAAGCTTCAAGGGCTTAGAAGCCAGACCCCTATAGGGACACCTACGACACTCAATCTCTCTAGGGACCACTCTGGCGTTCCTAATAAATTCAATCAATATTTCCTTACAAACCCCTTTAGGGATCCCTCAAGCTTCAAGGACTTAGGGATCAGACCCCTATAGGGACTCCTAAGACACTCAATCATTCTAGGGACCACTCTGGCGCATTTTTCAGAAAAAAACCCCCTAAAGAGGTCCCTTAAGCTTCAAGGGCTTAGAAGCCAGACCCCTATAGGGACACCTAAGACACCCAATCCCTCTAGGGACCACTCTGGCGTTCCTAATAAATTCAATCAATATTTCCTCACGTCGCAGTCCTCTGAACCCTGTCGAAGCTCCGGTCGAGCAGGGATTTTGTGGGCGTGGTCAGGAAGGGACTCGAAGTGTGGGGAAGTCTCGACGTCGAAGAAGGACTCAGGAAAGAGGACGCTGTTGGACGGGACCAGCATCTGGGTCCATTGGACGATTCGGCGACAGTCCGTTGGGACCTGAAAATGACCATGAATCAAATTTTTCTTTCAACCAGGTACTAGTTTGACTTCTAGCACTGAAAAAAACCATTCAATGAGAATAAATAAATTTTTTTCGATGAGCCTTAAAGTTTCCTAGAGCCTTTTAAATGATCTATTTTGAAGCCCGTTCTCCAGGAACACTAAAGAAAGGCCATTCCTCCGATAAACGAACTTTTTAACTTAAGGAACACTTCAAAAAAATCCTTTTTCAAAAACCCCTTACAAGATAAAAAAAGTCCCAGAAAAACTGACTGAAAAACCCCAAAAACCGTCAAAAATTCTTTTCGATAAACGAACTTTTTGAGTTTAGGGTCATAAAATCACTACAAAAATCCTTTTCAAAACCCCTTAAAAGATAAAAAGTCCCAGAAAACTGACTGAAAACCCCAAAACCGTCAAAATTCTTTCGATAAACGAACTTTTTGAGTTTAGGGTCATAAAATCACTACAAAACTCTTTTTCAAAGGCCCTTACAAGATAAAAAGTCCTAGAAAACTAACCGAAACTCCAAAAAATGTCAATATTTTTCCGAGTAAGGAACTTTTTGAGTTTAGGATCATAAAAACCCATTCAAGACCAATTTTCAAGCCCATAAGAAGATTTGAAGTTTCAGCAAACTAGCCAAACCCCCAAAAATGGTCTTTATTCTTCCGATTAACAAACTTTTTCGTGGCTAGATGCATAAAACCTTTTCAAAACTCCTTTTTCAAGCTCTAAAAAATTTATCTATGAGTCTGCATCCTAGTATATAAGCCGTACGCGAGATGCGTCCAAAATGTTAAAAAAAAACGCATTTTTTCATCTTCAAAAGTTCGGAAACTGGTTTAATGTGTTATCAACTCGATGTTAGGTAATTGTAGATTCAGAATATTTGAATCAAAAAATGTAGAAATCAGATCAAAAGTCTTAAATTAAAATAAATCAGGAGGGAGGGCCGACTATATTTTCACATTTACCACTTACCAAGCTCAATCGAAGATGCTACCTTTTGAGGATCCATAACTTTTCTCACAGGCCTCCACGGCATCTTTTGAGACGAGATTTCGGAATCAGCGAGAAAAACTACATCTAGTAAACTTGGTCTCATTCAGGGGTCCCACTCGGAGACCATTCCCTGGTTAGAAGCTGAAAACCGACGTGTTTGGCAATGGAGATGAAGTGCTCGAGGTTGTCGGGGGAGACGCGCATTTCGTCGCGGTCGCGGCTGAGGACCGCCACCGTCCATCCGGCGCTGTCCAGGGTCTTTCCGGAGCGACGCCACCATGGGTCGGTACTCGCTGACCGGCGCCAGAAGGCGGTTCAGCTCTGGAAAATGATCTCCTGCGTTAAACTTATACTTTCAGAGTATCTTAGTTCCATCTACAAAAAGTTCAGAAAATCATATTCTCCATGTTTCTGATCTACACTTCAAAAAGTCCTGTATTTCGGGGCCGACTTGGAGCCCAAAAGGGGCGTGGCCTGTCTGCGCTCTCCACAAACCATACACTCTCTCTTATTTTTTCTTTCGTATCGTGTTTTTTGAAATATATTTGAAAACAGGTCACTAGGAGTTTTTTTTTCTGAGGGGCGTGGCCTGTCTGCGCTCTCCACCAATCATACACTCTCTCTTATTTTTCATGAAAATCGTGTCAGGACCCTTTTTTTTCCTCAAGCCAGTCGCGGAAGCTATAGAAGTGTCAGAAAAATGCTCAACTTTTCGAAAATCCTCGAAAAATTTTTTTTTCTTTTTTTTTATTGATCTTTAGCCATACCACGCCGAATAAAAAAATTTTGTCTTCCTAAATTTTTTTAAAAAAATCATTTGAAACGTACTTGGCGCTTTGAAAATTACGTTTTCACGTTTTTTTAAACTTGATTTTGTTTTTTTCTAGTGACTGGCCTTGCGAAAAAAACGTCAAACAATAAAAAAATAATAATTCAAGCCATTTATTTGAATTTTTTTCTGAATTTTTTTCAGATCTTAAAAATTTTCAATATGGTTCCTTCTCAAAAAAATTTCGGTTCTAAATAAGAGAAAAAAATTTTTTTCGATTTTTTTCAGATCCTAAAATTTTCACTATGGTCCTTTGTCTCAAAAATTTCAAATCTCATAGAGAAAAAAACTTTTTGATTTTTTTCAGATTTTTAAATTTTTTTATATAGTCCTTTATCATAAAATTTGTATTCTGAAGAAGAAAAAAATAAAATTTTTTTCGATTTTTTTCAGATCTTAAAATTTTTCAATATGGTTCCTTCTTAAAAAAATTTCGGTTCTAACTAAGAAAAACAATTTTTTTTCGATTTTTTTCAGATCCTAAAGTTTTCACTATGGTCCTTTGTCTCAAAAATTTCAAATCTCATTGAGAAAAACAACTTTTTTTTGATTTTTTTCAGATTTTTTTATACTTTTGATATCATTCCTTCTCATAAAAATTTCAACTCTTACTGAGAAATAAAAAAATTTTTTTTTGATTTTTTTCAGATCCTAAAATTTTCACTATGGTCCTTTGTCATAAAATTTCTATTCTAACAAAGGGAAAAATTTTTATTTCGATTTTTTTCAGATCTTAAAAATTTTCAATATGGTCCTTTCTCCTAAAAATTTCAAATCTCATAGAGAAAAAAACTTTTTCGACTTTTTTTCAGATCCTAAATTTTTTTAAATATAGTCCTTTGTCCTAAAAATTTCGAATCTCAATCAGAAAAAATTTTTTTAGATCTTCAAATTCTCAATATGGTTCCTTCTCATAAAATTTCAATTCAGACTCAGAAAAAAATTTTTTTATTTCAAATTTTTTTCATATCTTAAAAATTTTTCGATACGGTCCTTTGTCTCAAAAATTTCAAATCCCATGGAGAAAAAAACTTTTTTTAATCAATTTTTTTCAGATTTCAAAATTATCACTATGGTCCTTTGTCTCAAAAATTTCAAATCACATAGAGAAAAAAACTTTTTTTATTTTTTTCTCAGATCCAAAAAAATTTTCACTATGGTCCTTTATCATAAAAATTTCAATTCAAACTGAGAAAAAAATTTTTTTTTGGTTTTTCAGATCTGAAATTTTCACTATGGTCCTTTGTCATAAAAAAATTGGATAAAAAATTTTTTTTTTGATTTTTTTTTCCTAAAAGCCCATTTCATTTTCTCAAAACCCACCAACGTATTTGATGTTACTCCTGTCGATCGAAATCCTTCCAGTTGTATCGATGAAATTTTCCAAGGAGTCGTCGATCGCCGCGACGGCTTCCCGGAGCGATGGGAGGTTTCCTGAGAAAAATCGATAAAAACTTGCAAAAATTCAAATTTTTCCCACCTTGAAGGATATGAGGGACACGCCAATGCTGGGCGGCTGTGCACTAAAATATTTATTTTTGATCAATTTTTCGATTTTTCCAAAAACCTTGGAAATCAGAGACATGGCCTGATCGATGGTTCTGAGCGATTCGGTGAGTTTATTGCAAACGACACGTTTTCTGGATTGGAGCTCATCTTCCAGGATATCACTGGAAATGGAGAAAGTAAGGATGATGATGAGATTACTCGGGCAAAGTCGGGATGGTGGATGATGGCCGCTTAGAGGGAGTGGCTCAAAAAAGGCCGCAGAAAGGCTCAAAAAAGGCCGCAGAAAGGCTCAAAAAAGGCCGCAGAAAGGCTCAAAAAAGGCCGCAGAAAGGCTCAAAAAAGGCCGCAGAAAGGCTCAAAAAAACCGCGAAAAAAGGCTCAAAAAAAGGCCGCAAAAAGGCTCAAAAAAGGTCGCAGAAAGGCTCGAAAAAGGCCTCAGAAAGGCTCAAAAAAGGCCACAAAAAGGCTCAAAAAAGGCCACAAAAAGGCTCAAAAAAGGCCGCAGAAAGGCTCAAAAAAGGTCGCATAAAGGCCGAAAAAATGGCGAAAAAGGCAGCAAAAAAGGAGCCATTTTACACCATTTCCGACTTTGCCGATGTAATTGAAACCGGCATTGAAAGTTTCTTAGATCTAGGAAAAATTCCGAAAACCTTCAAAAGGCCTAAAAAAGTGAACCTAAGCTCCTTTTTGAGTTCCTAAAAAGCTGCCAAAAGTTCCTCGGAGTTTCCCTTTCCACCTTTTTACCGCCTTTTCTTTTTCAACTCCTCAAAAGGTCCTTTTTCAGAAAAAAAGGCTCGATTTTTTTCCCAAAAGTTCTTTTTGTGACCTTTCGGACTTTGCCCGTCTAGTTTCAGACTCATTTTTCTTTTTAAAATCGCAAAATTCTCTTCCTACAATGCACTGATGACCATAGGAACACAAAATGCGAACTTTTTGTTTTTGAATTTACCCCAAATGCTGCTGAAACTATTGAAATGAGTTGAGAAAAATATATTAATAATCAATATTTGTTCAGCATTCAAAAAGATGGGGACAAGTAGTGAAAAAAACTCCAAAAAAATGTTTTTTTCGATTCCATTCGAATATCTGACCAAAATGGCGACAAAACATCATCAAATGATAAAATTTGGTCTCAAAAATCTTCAATTGAACTTTTTGGAGCCCATTCCATTCGAAACTTCGAAAAAAAGTAATATCTTTATAACTAATAATCATGAAGCTTGAAAAAAGCAAAAAAAGGCTACTGTAAAAATCGAGAAAAAGGGTCTCGAAGCGAAATGAGGTCAAACAAATCCGATTACGGTATTTTCGGCAGGAAATAAACGTGACAAGCTGAATTAAAATATTGCTTTTTTTCAGACTCTACAGATTTTATAAAGGCCTCAATTACTCTCTGTTTCTTGTAGAAAAATTTTTCATGATAAAACCTCTTTCGGATCAATAATCGACAGTACTACTGGGAATATTTTGAGTGACCACTTTAGGGGTTTCGACGTTTTAGTGGCCACTTAAGGGGTTAAAAATTAGTGGCCACTATAGAGGTCTAAGTGCTACTACTAGACCACTTAGTGGTCACTTTAGGGGTCAATGGATCAACGTAACTGGTCCAATCTGTTTGTTTTAAATTTATCAGAGTTACTGGAAGGAATCCTGGATGAAAAAATGCTGAAGTGGCCACTAAAACGGAAAATAGTGACCACTAAAGAGGTGCGTTAGCGTCCTCTCCAAGTAGTCTTTGGCGAGCCTCTATAGCGACCACTTAAAATTTTCCCAGCACATTTTACTGGACTTTTCGCTTTTTGGAAACATTAAATACGGTAGAACATTTTTTTAAAAAACTCTAATATAATCACCCGACGGAACGGGGAAAAAGTAGTAGTGGGTCGATCCGGGATGACTTTCGTCGGGACATGATGCCAGTCAGTCTCCTGATTCCGACGCATGTCTTCCTCGACCGTTTTTTTGGCATGGCTGCCGACCAATCTCTTTTCGAGCCGTCAAGGCGTTCTTCAGGCCGGTAGGGGGTCTGAAAAAGTATGTAGTATAGAATAGAAAAAAGTTTAGAACAGTTTGATGGAAAATCCATGGTTCTAATGTTCAGAGGATCATTGCACAAGAGTCAAAGAAGTTTAAAAAACTTTGGAAAAGTGCTTAATTTATAAAAAATGAGATTTTACAAAAGCATCACATAGGGATCAAGATGATTGGAAGCCTGAAAACTTGAACAAAAATTTTTTTCACCTCAAAAAAATTCTTTAGAACAGTTTCATAAAAAAGTACATGATGCTGATGTTCAGAGGAGCATTAAACTAGATTCAAAGAGAGCCTGAAAAAGTTTTTAGAAAAAAAGTTCTTGAATTTGAAAAAAATAGTGTCCACAGAAGGATCATGTAGGCATCAAGATGATAGGCAGTCTGAAAACTCGAAAAAAAAAACATTTTTTAAGACATCCAGATTTTAGAAAGGCCTAGCCGTGAGTGTTCAGAAAAAGCATAAAAAAAGGAAAAAAAGATGCTCCAAATTAACTAAAAATATGGAAAAAAATGCTCGAATTTTGAAAGAAAAAAAGGTCAAGAATTGAACTTTTTTTAAAAAATCCTATCAGCGGGTATTTCAAAAAAAGTATCAAGTAAGAATCAAGATGACAGGGAGGCAAAAAAATCATTCAAAAAAATCTTGATTTCGAAAAAAAGTCAAAAAAATATAAATTTTGTCGAGAAAAACCTTGCTGCACTTGTTTAAAAAAAGCATAAAAATCAAAAATCAAGATAACAAAAAGTCTAAAAAAATGTAAATAATTTGAATTTTTTTAAAAAAATTAGGATTTAGAGAAGCATCACAAAGGCATCAAGATGATAGGAAGTCTGAAAATAGGAAAAACCGTAAAAAAATTTTTTTGAACAGTTTTTTTCGGAAAAATTCAAGGTTATGAAGTAATAAAAAGGATCTATAAAATGAGTCGGAAAAATTTTTTTAAAAAAATAATTTGAATTTTAAAAAAATAGTGTGTTTAAAGGAGCATCACATAAGGAGGCCAACAGTATGAAAAAAAGTATTTTTTTAAACTTTAAAAAAATTCGAAATATCTAGTTTGTTCAAAAACCCTTGCTGCACGTGTTCGGAGGAGCATAAAAAAAGAACAAAAAAATGCTAGGAATTTACTAAAAAAATGGGAAAAACCGTTGAATTTTTGAAGAAAAAGATGGTTCAAAGGAACATCATATAGGTATCAAGAAGCTTGGAAAAATGCATGAAAGTTGAAAAAAAGGTATGAAACTTGTTGGAAAATCCTTGCCATGAGCTTTTAAAGGAGCATCCATGAAAAATATTTTTCAGTATATTTTAGGCTCCTGCGCCTTTAATAACAACAACAATGGCTTCTAAACGGAATCTATGTGGAAAGTCATCAAAAAAACCTGAAAAAAGCTTCAATATCATCAGAAAAGCTTGTCAAATCGAAAAAGGCAACACTTTAAAGAAAAATATGAGAAATACTGATGTAAAATCCAATCAAGTTTGAAAAATGAAAAAAAGAACTCAGATCACATATCAATCAGGAAATGGACAAAAAACAAAAATAAAAAAATATGATTTTTTTATGAATTTTAACCTTATTAATATATCAATCACCTGTCTAAACTCCGTTGGCCTCTCATTTTCGAAGGAATTTGGCGGGAAGCTGGTCGATGGGACTTGTGGCGTCAACCGCGCCATGTAAGGCTGATGAGCGATTCGGCCGATTGGGACTCTGAAAAAAATTAAAAAAATTATATAAAAAAATAATTAATGAAACAAAGAAAAAGAAAAAAATTGAAAAACCTCGAATCTTCATTATTATCAGAAAGGGAGCTGTTCTGATCGGAGCCGCCCGACAGGGATGAGATATCACTTGTGCGCTGTAAAAATTATTTTATTATGAAAAATATTAGAGATGCAAATACAAAAGTGGAAAAGAAAGGTCTTGAAGCGCGATGGGGTCAAAACAGATCCGTGTACGGTATTTTTGGCAGCTTCTCCGGGACGGGCTGATAAATTTTCTTTCCCTTTTCCAGGCTCTACAGATTTCATAAAGGCTACGAATACTTTCTATTTGGTATAGAATTATCGTGGTAAGACCTTTTTTTTGGATCAATAATCTACAGTACTACTACTGGGAAAAATTTCAGTGGCGAATATAGGGTTTTGACGTATTAGTGGCCACTATAGTAGTCAAATTAGTGACCACTTGAGGGGTTTAAAATAAGTGGGCACTATAGAGGTCTAAGTGCTACTACTAGACCACTTAGTGGCCACTTTAGGGGTCAATGGATCAACATAACTGGTCCAATCTGTTTGTTTTGAAATTATCAGAGTTACTGGAAGGAATACTAGATGAAAAACTACTGAAGTGGTCACTAAATGGAGAACCTCTATAGTGGCCACTAAAACGAAAAATATTGGTCACTATAGTGGTGGGTTTAGTGGCCCCTTAAGTGTCCTGTCCAAGTAGTCCTTGGCGAGCCTCTATAGTGGCCACTAAACATTTTTCCCAATAAGTTATTTAAATAATAAGAAAGAAAAAAACATTTTCTCGTGCTTCCAGCTAGTTCGCTCCACTGACAACCGTCATGTGGAGCGTCGTAAAATTACTATTTTAGGTTGTTTTTGCGTCTTTTTTAGTTTTTTTTTTTTTTGAAATTTTGGTAAAAACAACATTGTGACTCATTCTAACTAACTCAAAATAACGAAAAACTAATTATTTTCGGATTTTTTTCTCAATAAAGAAAATGATAATTTGTTCGAATCTCAATGGATTTCCACGAACTTTCTCCTCGTTAGAAGACTGGTCGGTGATATCTGCGCAGATCCCGCTGCTGCTCGGGCTCGGCGTTCTCGGCTCATCTTCCTGCAAAACATATCAGAGTCACAAAAAACTAGGGAACGTCACAGTGACCACTAGAGGGGTTGACGTTTTTCCTTATATTTCGGTCCGAATCGAGGCTTACCGCAAAGAGAATTCGGATTGGTTTTTTGGAAATATTAAAGTATGCATCCAAATTCGCTGCAGGACCCTTGATGCGCCTTTAAATCTCAACAAGTCGTGAATGGACTATATTGAAAAATGTGCTAATTTTTCAATTTTTCATTCTAAATTCTTGCTAAAAGTGAGAAAATAACCTCAAAAAAGTCGTTTCTTCTGAAATTTTCCAAAAAGTTCCACTAGATCCATCAAAAATCGGCGTCTCTTTCGACGATCAGAGTGACCATTAGAGGGTTTCGGTGGCCAAATAGTGCTCCCTAGAGGGCTTAAATTTAAGTGAACTCTTAAGGGGTCCTCTAATCCACTCATAGAGGGCTTAAATTTGAGTGGTCCCTATAGGCTTCTAAGTCGCTAAAGCTTGAGTGGTCCGTCTAGTGGTCTTCTAAATTTGTTCTGTCTGAAAAAAATTCTCGAACCACAAAAATCTATCCTATTTTCTAACAGAACCATTTATCAAGGTCGATTTTCTTAAATTTAATATTTTGGAACTCACCGCGAATTTCTTCGGTTCGAACGTCTTGCCATTCTCGGCGTTTGTCGGGCTTCCAAGGCTTCGGAACGGCTTACCAGCTGGAAAATCGCGAATTTATCTAGATTCTTGCGTTTTTTTAGATTCTTGTGTTTCCTTCACGATGAGCATTTTGATGAAAATCGGCAGTTTACATCAATTTTTACGGCTTCTAAGTTTTGATAAAAGCAAATAATTCAAACGATTATTACTGATGGTAAGAAATTTTCTCACAATTTTCGAAAATCCGATTTTCTTGCTTTCTAGCTGATTCTGAAGCTCAAAACCCCTTGAAAATCCAAAAAACCTCATTTTTCTAATGCAATAGTGAATTCCGAAGACCATTTTCGGGGTCTATCATTTTTTTAATCATCATTTTCAAACAAAATTCGGTTTTTTTCTAGCCCATTCTGAAGTTCAAAAATTCGCTGAAAAATCTAAAAAAATTTCTCCTATTTTTTTGAATAAATAGTATAATTTTCGAACGAAAAATTCGATTTTTTTCTTGCTTTCTAGAAAAATTCTAAAGCTCAAAAACCCCTTGGAAATCCAAAAAAACCTCATTTTTTTATAATGCAAAAGTGATCTCTGACGACCATTTTCGAAGTCTAACCATTTTTTTTATTCACAAATTTCAAGCAAAAATTCGATTTTTTTCTTGACTTCTAGCCAATTCTGAAGCTCAAAAATTCGCTGAAAAATTCAAAAAAACCTCATTTTTTTCTAATGCAATAGTGAATTCTGAAGACCATTTTCGGGGTCTAATCAATTTTTTTTTCACAAATTTCAAGCAAAATCCGATTTTTCTAGGCTTCCAGCTGATTCTGAAGTTAAAAATCCGCCTTTTTTTTTTGATAAAAGAAACAAATTTTTAAGCGAAAAACCCGGTTTTTCTAGTCTTCCAGCTGATTCTGAAGCTCAAGATTCGCTGGAAATCCAGAAATTCCTTCTTTTTTTGATAAAAGAATCAAATTTTCAAGCAAAAAAATCCGATTTCTCTTCTCTTCTAGCGCTTTTTTTAAAGCTCAAAACTCACTGAAAAATCCAAAAAAATATCTTTTTATTTATTAATCAAAAAAATGAAATTTGAAACTTATTATCACAATTTTTCGAGTGAAAATCCGATTTTTTTCTAAGCTTCCAGCCAGTTCTAAAACTCAAAAATTCGCTTAAAAACCCGAAAAAAACCTCATTTTTTTCTAATGAAATTGTGGCTTTTTGAAGAACATTTTTTTGGAGTCTACTCATTTTTCACAAATTTCAAACAAAACCCAATTTTTTTCTAGGATTCTAGCGATTTTAAAAAGCTCAAAACTCACTGCAAATCTGAAAAATAACTCTTATTTATCAATCAAAATGAAATTCAAAGTTTATTATCACAATTTTCAAGCAAAAATCCGATTTTTTTCTTGACTTCTAGCCGATTCTAAAGTTCAAAAACCCCATGAAAAATCCAAAAAAATACCTATTATAATCCATATTATCAACTTCCAACTGTCTTTCCATTCCAACAAATGTCTCAAATTCCTCGAGAAAACTCCCATTTTCCTTGTCAGTCCGACTGACATATGCAAAATGGGGAAGGTGGCCATAAAACGGGGGACGAAACGGCGGAAAAAAAAGTTGGTCCACGGCTATTTGCATAATTTTATGCGTTCCTTTTGCGACGTTTTTTCCTGTATTTCGGTCCGAATCGAGGTTTACCGCAAAGAGAAGTCGGATTGGTTTTCTTGGAAAAATTAAAGTTTCCATCAAAATTCGCGTCGGGACCCTTGATGCGCCTTTAAATCTCAAAAAATCGTGAATGGACTATATTGAAAAATGAGCTAATTTTAGTCATTCTCATTCTAAATTCTTGCTAAAAATGAAAAAAAACCTCAAAAATGTCTTTCCTTGTGAAAATTTCCAAAAAGTTCCAATAGATCCATCAAAAATCGGTGTCTCTTTCGACGATCAGAGCAACCACTAGAGGGGTTGACGTTATTTCTGTATTTTGGTCCGAATCGAGGTTTACCGCAAAGAGAATTCGGATTGGTTTTCTTGGAAATATTAAAGTTTCCATCAAAATTCGCGTCAGGACCCTTGATGCGCCTTTAAATCTCAACAAGCCGTGAATGGACTATATTGAAAAATGTGTTAATTTTCAGATTTTTCCTACTAAAATTGAAAAAGTAACCCCGAAAAAGTCTTCCCTTCCGAAATTATCCAAAAAGTTCCAATAGATCCATCAAAAATCGGCGTCTCTCTCGACGACATCAAACCAAAAACGGCCAAAAAAAGAAAGCGCCGTAATAATACAGCAAAATGCATTGTCACACGTTCAAGTTCCTCTTTCAATCCATCAAGAACGGACCAAAAAGCGAAAAAAAAAATGAAGGAATTTGCTGATTTCCATGGTCTGTACATCTGAACTTTGATTTTGATTTGGAAAATAAGTGATCTAAAATCTAAGAAATCTCGAAAAAAATGGGTCCTTTCCTCGAAAAATGAAATTAAAAAAATAACTTTTTTCTTGGGGTGCACCATTTTAAAGGTGACCATCGCCATTTTCAGGGTGGATCGCCTTTTTGTGAGTAAAAAACGTTTGACTGTTAATTTCACACAAAAAATGTCCTAAAACGCTCAAATGTGCTCAAAAAAAAGCTCTAAAATTGTCTGCATTAAAATTTTGAGCTTTCCAGGGTGCACCATTTCTGAGGTGGAACGCCTTTTTTGGGGTAGGAGATCGCCTGAACCTCTTCCTCTTGTAACGCGGGAATAAATGTTCCCCTCATTTCCGCGTTATTTTGTTTTGCGAGGTTAAGCGACTCGGCTTGAATCTTTATTTCGTGGCGCACGCTAGCAGTGCGCCATGCCAGAGTGATGTTGTAATCAATAGAGAGGGCGAGTGCCTCAGGCACCGCCTCTCTTGGCACATGTTCACAAAGCATGATGAAATGTTGCGATGATAAAAAGGAGAACCATTACATCCAACCCCTGGACAAAAGACTCGTCCCGAGGCTTTAAAAAGAATGATGGATGATACTTAACATAGTAAATTACTAGAGCAATTTAAGAGAAAAGCACCACATCCCGGGCGTCGACGAAAGTCTCGTCCTCGAGGCTTCAAGATCTTAAAAGAATGGTTCTCAGGTGAACATGTGAAACAAAAATCAGATGGAATGTGCCGGACTTTGGCTTGCCTAGTTCGCCTAACAACTGAAGTTACAAATACAGATTCAGAAACAATATCAAAACGATGGCAGATGAATAATCTTCAAAACCTAGCTCAGTTTACACTATTTACCCAATAATCAGGTACTGAGCTTAAACAGCCAATGAGATAGATATGAAAGGAAGTGAAGATAAACATTTTGGTAAACTAGATCGGGCGGCAGAAACAATGACGTAGATTTAGAAAAAATTCTTCAACAATTTCACTACTCGGTCCAAATAATCATTAGCATTCAATAATATCTATAAATTCAAGGCTTCTTGGCCGGTACTCTCACAGTTTGCTTTCCCACCCCCCATCCGATGAGTACAATAATAATAATAATTCAATTAACAATATTCAAGGACGCTCAATAAAATTCAAATTTTTCGTTAAAATTGCCTCACAAGTTCTGCTTCATCTGGCTGCTCACGTCCTTTCCTTGTAGTAGTTTCTGCCTCGCTCGTACCCGAACACGATAGTACGAAAACTGCCAATCGTAGAAATAGTTGAATATGAATAGGTGTAGCGGTAAAAGTAATTCAGAATCCGAGAGTCTGTCGTAGTTCGAATAGGGGAATGACAGGAATTCACCTTCCACCGGATGGAATATGGTGGAAGTTCTCGGGACCTCCATGTAACGCGGGAATAAATGTTCCCCTCATTTCCGCGTTATTTTGTTTTGCGAGGTTAAGCGACTCGGCTTGAATCTTTATTTCGTGGCGCACGCTAGCAGCGCGCCATGCCAGAGTGATGTTGTAATCAATAGAGAGGGCGAGTGCCTCAGGCACCGCCTCTCTTGGCACATGTTCACAAAGCATGATGAAATGTTGCGATGATAAAAAGGAGAACCATTACACTCTTAATATTGTTGAAAATGACCTTTTGGCGCTTCTAGAAGTTTCAATTTGAAAAATAGAGAAAGTTTTCGGAATCTAACCAAATCTAAAATCTTCAAACCGCCCATGGATAAATCATCTTTTGCGCATAGAAAATGTCCAAAAATGTTCAGAAAAGCTCAAAAAAGCTAAAAAAAAAAACGCTTAAAGATGCTCAAAAACAGCTCTAAACTTGTCTGTATTAAATCTTTGACCTCCGAGGGGGTCCACCATTTCTAGGGTGATCGCCTTTTTTGGGGTAGGGGTGCGCCTGGAATTTCTGATTTTTTAAAACTGAAATCTAAAAATTGAAAAAAGAGAAATTTATTGGAATCTATGCTCCCTTGACAATTATATTCATTCAAGGGTCATTTTCAATAATTTAAAAATTCATTTTGAGTCGATTTTGAAATTTTTTCCAAAATTTTTGCCGACGCTCTCAAAACTCCAAATCCAAACAAGGACGTAAAAAATCGGGCAGAGAACCATAAAATAAAGCATACAAGAGAGGGAACTTTTTTTCAATGGTTTTTTTTTCCATTCTTCTTCACTTTGGTTGGTATGAATCAGAGCGTCGTCGCTAAAAAACCGACGTCAGCTTGATTCCTTTGACAAACATTTGTGTGCGTGTGTGTGTGGTGGCCTCATCTTCCCTCCATTTCTATCTCGACCCTTTCGAATGGTTATCGATTACTTGTAAGGTGACTAAGAATGTGTACTTATCGATTGAGGGTCAGGAAAAATTCGGAATTTTTGAAGGTCAATAAAGTCAATTATCCCTTTTTACACAGCAAGTTTCGAAAAATGCCCAAAAATGCTTGAAAAAACCTCTAAATTTGTCTAAATTAAATTGGATTTTTGGGTTTTGAGGGGGTGCACCATTTCTGGGGTGGATCGCCTTTTTGACAGTTAATGAAGTCAATTATCCCTTTTTACACAGCAAGTTTCGAAAAATGCCCAAAAATGCTTGAAAAAACCTCTAAACTTGTCTAAATTAGGATTTTGGGTTTTGAGGGGATGCACCATTTCTAGGGTGATTCGCCTTTTTGAAGGTCAATAAAGTCAAATTATCCGTTCCACACAGCAATGTGTCGAAAAATGCTCAACAATGCTTGAAAAAACCTCTAAACTTGTCTAAATTAGGATTTTGGGTTTTGAGGGGGTGCACCGTTTCTGGGGTGGATCGCCTTTTCGGAGTAGGAACCCAGAAAAAGGTCCGAAACTTTCAGAGCAGCTTTTAAAATGACCGAAAATATGTCAACTTTGAAAAACGATAAAATTCAGCTCTAAAACCACAGGAAAAGCCAGAAAAAAGAGGAAAAGGGCTACAAAAATTGCAAAAATCAGCTTTAAAATCAGAGAAAATACCTCAAAATTCAGCTCTCAACCCACACGAAAAACTTCAGAGACACTTTTCCAAATAAAAAAAAGAACCAACCCAAGTTTCTGAGCCTCTGGGTGAGCTTCTCCATCTGCGTCTGGTGCTCGGTGGGGCTCCGCTCCGAGCTTTTCCAATCGGGCTGCTCGGAGGTGCTCCAGCTCCTTTCTGACTGTCGAGCCCGCTGCTGGGAGGGCATCCCGTTGAGAGTCATGGAGCCGCCGAGCGGAATCTCGATGGTGCGACCGGGGACGGAGCTTGGGAGGACGAGGGTCCGCTGTTGAGCTGGAGGAGGTTGACGTCGTTGCTCGTCTTCTTCGGACGAGGAGACGTGCTGATGGTGGGACGTCGGCGAGTCGGCGCCGAACGTCGTCGTGATCGCCGAGGCTGTCGTCGTCGGCAGCTGCTGCGTGCTCACGTATTTTCGGACGGGAGCTGGGGGAGGTGTCGACTCCATGAAGGGCGGCGAGACGCGGCCGCTACTGAAACATTTTTGTCGTCATGCTCATCAAAAATGATTTCATTGATTAACTTTCTAGCCCGTCTGCGCTCTCTTACCTCTCGACTTGGTCATAAAAGCGTCATATTCATCAGAACTCTAACTGTCGAGGTTATATAGAAATGAAGAAAGATAAGAGATCGCAGAGAAGTCAGACAGTTCCGTGAAAAAATTCTTGAGCATCATACTACACTCCTCTCTAGCTTACGGTAAAATGCCCCAATTTTTCGAAATTCTGACCCCCATTTAAAAAAAACCTGACCCGTCTTAGATTTTCCAGAATGCAAAAACCCTTGAAAATCCGAAAAAAACTCTCTTTGATGGAAAACTCCTCAACTTTTCCAATACAACTCTAATACACATAAAGGGCTCCAAAGTACAAAACCCCTCAGAAATTCCAAAAAAAAAAAAATCTAAAGCTTGTCTTTAATTTTTCCAATACCACTGTAACACACAAAAAGCTCTCCAAAAATATTAAACCCCATAAAGATCCAAAAAAACCCTTTAAACAGTTTTTTTCAATACAACTTTAACACACAAAAGCGTTCGGAAACTACAAATTTCTTAAAAAAATCCGAAAAATTCTTAAAAAAACGTCCTCAGCTTTTCCAGTACAACTCTACCACACAAAAAAGGTTCAAAATAGTAAAATTCCTCGAAAATCCGGAAAAAATTCTTTTTGATAAAAAATCTCTCAACTTTTCCAATACAACTCTACCACACCAAAGCTTTCCAAAATGTAAAATCCCTTAAAAATTAAAAAAAAAGCCCTGAAAAATCTTTCCTAATACACCTCTAACACCAAAAAGTCCGGAAACGGAAAAATTTCTGAAAAATCCGAAAAAAATCCTTTAAAACAGTTTTTTTCAATACAACTTTAACACAAAAAAAGGTTCAAAATAGTAAAATTCCTCGAAAATCCGGAAAAAATTCTTTTTGATAAAAAATCTCTCAACTTTTCCAATACAACTCTACCACACCAAAGCTTTCCAAAATGTAAAATCCCTTAAAAATTAAAAAAAAAGCCCTGAAAAATCTTTCCTAATACACCTCTAACACCAAAAAAAAAGTCCGGAAACGGAAAATTTCTGAAAAAAAATCCGAAAAAAATCCTTTAAAACAGTTTTTCAATACAACTTTAACACAAAAAGCGTTCGAAAACTACAAATTTCTTGAAAATTCGAAAAAAAAAAGCCATTCAAAAGTTCTCCAATACAACTCTAACACACCAAAACCATTCCAAAAACAAAGTTCCCTTACAAAAACCAAAAAAAAAACCCTCCAAAAAAGTTTTCCAATACAACTTTAACACACAAAAAGCGTTCCAAAGTCCGAAAATTCTTGGAAAATCCAGAAAAAACCCCCTAAAACCCCTCAAAACTGCCTCACCCTCGATGGCACCAGAGCTTCTTGATCTGCATCTTTCCTGGAGATTCCAAATAAGGCAAGGAAAAAAGAAAGAGTTCGATTGGAAGGGCGAGGCTGGTAGGTAGGAATAAAAAGGGTCGATATGACTGTGGGGGGGACGTGCCTCACGACGCTGATAAGAATGGTATTTCAGGCGGCTTTTATCTTGCCAAAAATGAAAACAAATCGAAAAAACACAGTCATCATAAACAGAATAATTGGATTATGGGGAGGAAAAGCTCAAAAAATTGGGAATTTGTCAGCCGTTTTTGGTCACGTCGCTCCAATGACAACACCGATGGGAAAAAGAGGCGAGGAAATCAAAAGTGGGCGTGGCTTCGAGAAGGGAAAGAGTTTCTCTCTTTTTTTTTTGCAGGAAGTTTCATGTATCATCTAGGGAGTTTTAGAGTGGTCCCTATAGGGATTAGGGGAACATACAGCTCCTATAGGGGTCGAAAAAGTGGTCCCTATAGGGGTTTAGAGTCTGACGCCTTAGCCCTTAACTCTTTAGTGGTCCCTATAGGGGTAAAGAGAAGAAAAAGCTCCTATGGGAACCGAAAAAGTGGTCCCTAGAGGGGTCTAGAGTCTGAACGCTTAGCCCCCAAAGCTTGAGTGGTCCCTATAGGGATTAGGGAGAGAAACAGCTCCTATAGGGGTCGAAAAAGTGGTCCCTATAGAGGTATAGAGTCTCAGCCCTTAGCCCCTAAATCTCAAGTGGTCCCTAGAGGGGTTTAGAGTCTGATCTCTGAGCCCCTAAAGCTAAAGTGGTCCCTATAGGGGTTACAAGGAGAATCAGCTCCTATAGGGGCAGAAAAAGTGATCCCTATAGGGATAAAATCAAGGTGGCCCCTATAAGGGTCATTCAATTTCTTTCAAAAAGGTTTCTACCACGTTTGCAAGCGTTAGTGGCTTCTTTAGAGGTTGGTAAAGTGGTCCCTTTGGTGTTCCTTAAGGTTGCCCCTATAGGGACCACTCTGGAGTTCCTAGGAGTTACTTTTTTTATAGATGAGGTCTTGCTAAAAAAATGACTTTTTTTCGATTTTTTTTCAATTTTAAAAAAATTTTTTTCCTCGTTTTTCATTTTTTTAGGGAGAAAGGTCCTTTTTTTCTTCAAAAATTAATGAAACTTTTTTTCAATTTAATAGTAAAAAAATATTAACAGAATCCATTTTTCAAGCTATTCCTATATTTTTTGGGCTAAAGCATCCAAAAAAAAGGCAAAAGGTCTAAATTTGGGCTGAAAGTACACTCCGAAAGTTTCAAAAAAATCAGCGAAAATTTGGTCAACCATGAAATAGCATGAATCAGACGCTATTTTCGGACTGAAAGACGAATTTTCATGAAAAATTCTGGTTTTTTTACTCGCTTTTTGGATGAAAATATACCTCAAAGATTTTTGAAAAAAATTTTTTTAGGAAGAAAAATTTTAAAAAAATTCAATGAAAAGGGGCTCGAAGAAAAATGAATGATAGGAAAAATTTCAGAAAAAAATTTCCGAAGAAGGATATTTTCTTTACTTCCAGGCCTTTTTATACCATTCCCAAAAAGATAAAAAGTCCCTATGACGTCACTCCTCACGTCACAGAACACCTATATCTATTAAAAATTTCAGTGACCAAGGATTAATTTCATTTAAAAAAATAGTTTCAAAAAGTTCAAACTAATGTAATTTTTCGTAAGAAGGATACGTCACTCAAGTGAAATTTTTCTTTTTCCATTTTTTTCCAGTTCATATTTTTTTAAATTTTATGAATTTATCAACGAGTTCTGAAGCTTCAAGCATCAAATTTCACTATCAAAAACTCTTTTTTTGGAAAAATTCTGAAATTGTAAAATTATCATCAAAATTTTTTTCAATGAAATTGAAAGCTAGATGTATCAAATTTCATTATCAAACATTTTTTTCGGAAATTTTTTTGAAATTTAAAAATTTTTTTCAATGAATTTGGAAGCTTCAAGTATCAAATTTCTTCATAAAAAAATTTTTTTTTCGAAAAATTTTTCGAAATTTAAAAAAAGTCATCAACAAATTTTGAAGCCCCAAGCACAAAAATTTCATTATCAAAAAGTTTCTTTTTTTCGAAAAATTCCTAGAATTTCAAAAATTTATCAACCAATTTTGAAGCTAGATGTATCGAATTTCTTTGTCAAAAAAATTTTTTTGGAATTTTTCTCCCATTTTTGAAATTTTGGGATTTCAGGAAATTTTTTTCATTTTCCTGGAATTTTTTTCAAGCTTCTTCTATTTCCCGTTAACTTTTTATGAAAATCATCTTTTTTTCCAAATTAATTTCCTAGCTTTGTATTTTTCTTATAACGCCTCATAACTTTCCAATTTTGGCCCCAGTTCTGATGAAAACCCATTTTTTCTAGGTGGAAAAAAATACCTGTTCCACCTCACAGGTAACACAGATTACTACAGAAAAACAAACCCGAAAAATGTTATGAAACCGGAAATTCTCGACCAGAATCAAAACAAACATACACCAAAAGAGATACGAAAAGTGCCGCCGAAAGTTTTTTTCCAATTTTTTTATCTAACCGTTCAATCTATAGTTTTCACGGGGGAGGGGGTGACGCCCTAAAATGACCGGGGAAACGCCCTTTTCGGAGAAGATTCATCGATTGGCGGGATGATTTAGGGACTTTTGAGGGAGTGAAATTGATTGGAAACTTAAAAAATGGCTGGAAATTTCGATGATCTGGAAAAATTTTTAGTGGCCCGCCGAAGACTACTTGGAGAGAACACTAAAGTGGCCACTAAACCTACCTCTATAGTGGTCACTATTCTCCGTTTTAGTGGCCACTATAGAGGTTCTCTATTTAGTGGCCACTTCAGTAGTTTTTCATCCAGTATTCCTTCCAGTAACTCTGATAATTTTAAAACAAACAGATTGGACCAGTTATGTTGATCCATTGACCCCTAAAGTGGCCACTTAGTGGTCTATTAGTAGCACTTAGACCTCTATAGGGGCCACTAATTTTTAAACCCTTAGGTGGCCACTAATTTGACTACCATAGTGGCCACTAAAAATTTTTCCAGGTGAGCTGATGTGTGTCACAAAAATGCCAATTTTCCATCATTTTTATGGATTTTTTCTAAATTTATAACTGAGTAGAAACAGAAAAACGTTCTTTTATGACAATTTTTATCGATTGGGCGGAAAATTTCGAAAAAAAAATCCTTTTTTTTTGTAAGCTTTACATGAAGTGCGACACAGGAAAAAAGTCCTAAAATTCTCAAAAAATAGTTTTTTTTACACATTTCTTACCACTTTCGAAGCCAATTTTGCTGCAAAACAATTCAAAACTCAAATAATATCATCCTGATTTCATTATCACTGGAATCAATGATAGGAGCCGATTAATCAGGTAGAGAGAAAGGCGTTATCAGTTTCCTGCTACATGTTCCCATTGATTTACAACTCGTCCACCTTGTTTCGATACGGGAAGAATGCGGTAGAGTTGGAAAATATTGTTGAAAATATGAGAAATGAAAAAAACCTTTCAGATCTCTCAAAATTTTATTTTTCATTATTTTTTCCCTAGTGACCCTTGAGACCCTTAAACTAGCCGAATCATTCGAAAATCTAGGTATCCATCCAAATTATCCATAGAGCACAGAAGATCAACAAAACGAGGCTGTTTTTGTATTCTAAATTTCCTTTGTGTTCAGCTAACAGTCCAGAAAACCCCATCCAGTGGAAAAATCATTGAAAAATATAGGTTTCCTTATCAAAATGTCCTAAAAGTCCTTGAGACCCTATCACTTAGCCAAATCAAGTGTCAAACACAGATTATCAATGGAGCACATAAGATCCCCACAGCGAGGCTATTTCTTCCTATTCACTTCATCGCATTTTCAGGCTTTTTTCTAACAAAACTTTCACTTGACAGCCCTTGAGACCTCGTGAGTTACATGAATTATTGAAAAAAGGGATCATAATCAAAATTATCCATAGAGCACAAAAGATGCTTCTAACGAGGCTATTTTTGTACCATATTTTCATAATTTTCGCCGAAAAACCAAAATATCCCGGTTTCCTAATCATATTATCCATGGAGCGAAAAAGATCCTCATATCGAGGCTATTTCTTCCCATCCAATTTATCTCATTTTCAGGCTTTTTTTCAAGCGTTTGCCTATTAAAACTCTCACCAGCCTTTGAAAAACCATGAGAGAATAAAAAAAAACAAGAATCATACTCAAATTATCCACAGAGCACATAAGATCCACTCAACGAGGCTATTTTTGTACCAATTTTTATATTTTCCATTCATTTACATTTAAAGACTATAAAACCCCAACAGTATGCCGGATCATTCAAAAATCTAGGTATCCAATCCAAATTATCCTTAGAGCACAAAAAATCCATCTAACGAGGCTCTTTCTTCCTATCCATTTTCTCCTATTTCCACCTCATTGTCACGTTTTTTTCTAACCAAAATCTCACCTAACAGCTGTTAAAACCCCATGAGTTACAAAAATTATTGAAAAGAAGGGATCACACTTAAAATTATCCATAGAGCACAAAAGATCCCCAAAGCGAGGCTATTTCTTCCTATCCACTTTATCTCATTTTCAGTCTTTTTTTCAAGCTTTTGCCTATATAAACTCACACTTAACAGCCCTTGGAACACCATGAAAAAAAAGGAACCACACTCCAATTATCCATAGAGCACATAAAATCCCGAAAGCGAGGCTATTTCTTCACATCCATTCTCTCCTATTTCCAGCTTATTTTCCAGGCTTTTTTCTAACCAAACTCTCACCTAACAGCCCTTGAAAAACCATGAGTAAATAAAAAAACAAGAATCACAATCAAAATTATCCATAGAGCATACAAGATCTGAATAAAAAGGCTATTTTTTTCAAATCCAATTTATCTCACTTTCAGGCTTTTTTTCAACCAAAATATCACCTAATAGCCCTGAAAACCCCATGAAAAAAAGGAACCACACTCAAATTATCCATAAAGCACATAAGATCCCCATAACGAGGCTATTTCTTCCCATCCATTTTCTCCTATTTCCAGCTCATTGTCACGCTTTTATCTAGCCAAATCTCACCTAACAGCCCTTGGAACACCATGAAAAAATAAAAAACAAAAATCATACTCGAATTATCCATAGAGCACATAAGATCCCCACAGCGCGGCTATTTCTTCTCACCCAATTTCTTTTATTTTCAGGCTTTTTTTCAAGCTTTTGCCTATCCAAATTCTCACCAGCCTTTGAAAAACCAAAAAAAAAAAGAAATCATACTCAATTTATCCATAGAGCACATAAGATCCGCTCAACGAGGCTGATTTTTCGCACTCCATTTTTCTCATTTATCGTTTTTTTTCTGACAGAAGCCTCACCTAACAGTCCTGCGGATCTCTCGGGGCTGACTGGCCGGAAAATCGCTGAATCGACGGCCGACGTCATCGAAAAACCTGGCGACGGGCGGATCGTTCAGCGGCGTGCTGAACGACGACGTCGGCGGCTCCGGGGTCTTCTGAAGGTTTTCCAAATTACAGTAACAACATGAAATTCCTGTTTTAAAACGTTTCCTCTTTATTGTAGTGATAAAAAAAATTCATGGTTCCAAAAAAATGGCCTTAAAGTCCATACACGTCGCGTTTACCCATTCCAAATGCGGCCTAGAATTCCAAATTATATTCGGAACTCAGTAAATATCCTTTTGACGTCATATTTTCATTATGTTTTTCAACTTTTGCACAATTTTAGAGTTCCTACGTGGACCGCAACGCAACCGCGACGCGTCTCACCTTCTAACCATTCCAAATGCGGCTCGAGAATTTCAAATTGGCTCAGAACTCAGAAAATATCCTTTTTGGCGTCATATCTTCTTTATATTTTTCAAAATGTGCCCAATTTTTGTCATTTTAACGTGGTCCGCAACGCAACCGCGACGCGTCTAACCATTCCAAATGCGACCAAAAGTCGTCGTAATTGAATTCAAACATGAATAAAATCGTTTATGACTCATAAAAACCAAAAACCATTCCAAAGTCACAAGTTCAAGGCCCAAAATTTTCCCATGATGTTGATTTTTTGGGCTGAGAGGCTTGAAAAACCAAATTTTTTCGAAAATATCAGAATTTTCGTCACTCAAAGACATCGTGATCGTCACAAGGTAAAATTATTAGAATTCCTCGATCTGGATTATTTTTTATCCCTATTTTTTTAATAATTTTGTTTAGTATAGTACACTAAATGCAGTTTTTAACGTTGGTTTCGAATCTGTATTCGAAAAACTGTTTTTCAAAAATAAATTCGAGGGTTCAAAACATTTAATTGTCTTAGTTTTTTTGGAATATAGATATAGCCCCGCCCCCCGTGTAACTATCTTGGTTAAGGACCTTCTAGTTCCAGAAGCGTGAAATTTTACAGCGTTCTTAGGATCTTTCAGGTCTTTTTTTTTACTTTGAAACGTTCACACCTTAGAAACCTATGGGTTAAGATTCGAAAAACTGCATTTTTTGATTCTAGTGCTATTTTGAAACCCTAAAGATCATTTTTTCGGATCATTCCAACCTGTTCAACGATCCGAATCGGGATGTTTCTGACGACGCCGACGTTCTTCAAAGGTTCATCCAGACTGTTGACTCGTCTCAGGGGGTCTAGCCGATCTCGCATCGACGACGGGAAAAGTCGGGGGCCTGAGAGCTTTTCCGTTCTTCCTTGATCTTTTTTTCAGAAAAATTATTTTTAGAATAGCTCTAAATTTTCTAGAATCATTGAGGATTTTTGCATTTTCCAAGGGAAAAGCTCAGTCCTAAAGAAACCTCGGGAAACCTAGAAAACTAGCTAAAAAAAGCGTTTCAAAAATAAGGGAAAAATATTTTGACTTTCTTTTTCAGTTATAGGACTTTGGAAAATTTTTCAGTCGAAATCGTCTGTGTTTTTCGAAAAAATACGATAGAACATTATTTATCATTTTTAAAGCCCCCTTAAAGTCAACATTTAATGTTTCGGAGTTATTCCTAAACCTCAAGAGAATAGGTTAAACAGGAAAAAAAAAAGTAAAATCGAAAATTTTGGAATTGTTTCCGAAAAATTTTTAACATTTGGAAGTTCTTCAGAAAATAAATATCAATCCAAAAAAATCTCAAGAAAAATAAATAAATAATAAATCAAGGGTAAACCTCGGAAAAAAACTTGTCTTCAAAGGGTGACTCGACATGGCCGAACATGAAGAAATCGCCGAAAAAGCGGGTTGGCCACTTCGAAGAACTGCAAAAAGAGTCATATTAGTGATATATGATCAATATTTGAACAGAAATTCGTTCCAATCATTAAAAAAAAATGAATGAAAAATGAAAATAGAAGCCATGAAAATGCCCAAACTTCGATGAGAAGCTCAATAATTAGTGGATAATTCAATATTAGTTCGTTATGGGGCATCTAACAATAGTGAATTTCACCCTTTGAACGGTATTTTCCGTTCCATCTTCAAAACTTCATCAATTTTTTTCGAAAAACTTCATGACAAAAAAAATTTTCACCAAATCGAACCTGCATCTTAGGTTCCAAAGCAGAGGACGCTAGCCACTACACCACGGCGCCTGCTGGCAGTGGCAGTTAGCCGCCGCGAGATATTCCCTCCTTCCATTCAATGCATTTTTCGCGTGCAAACTTCGAGATGCCATAACTCGACTAAAACCAAAAAGGCGCACTTTTTTTCAACTTTATTGGAATCAGGGCGTCCTAAAGTACCTATATACCAAGTTTCATCAAATTCTCAACCCACCACCTTTTGCACTCCCCGTGTAAGTGAAGTCCAAAACTCTTCAATTCAAAATATCAGCCCATACTTGAAACTTTCAAGACTATAAACTGAATATAACCAATTTTTCAACAGAAAGGTACTCAAAAAGTCGTTCTCATCCCAAAAAGTGAACAAAAATCAAAGCAAAACCCACAAAAAAAGCCCAATTTTGACGAAAAGCTCAATAATCAGTATCTATCTTTCAAAACAAGGGACAGAGGAAAATTCGTGACATCTTAGTAATTTTTTAAAAAGCCATTTTTGATGATAAGTTTAATAATAGTTGATGAGAGGCCCAGCTGAAAAGCCCAACCTCAAAACTTCAAAAAAATTTCGCTTCTTTAGATTTCCACTCAAAATTCCAAGGAAAAACCAATTTCAAAAAAAAATTTTTTTTGCCAAAAAAGTTCTAGACTTAAAACAGACCCATAAATTTTAAAAGGAAACAGAAACCCAATGCAAAAACGTACCAAGAAATGCTATGGAAAAGAGAAATTATATCAAGATTTTGAGGCAGGAGAGCTCAAAATGCTTCAAATTCCTTGAATTAAAATGCAAAAACTTGTCAAAAATGGGCCAAAAGTTCGAAGATACACTGAAATTGTACCGATTTCAACCAAAACTCAAAAAATCCAGTAAAAGTATGGAAAAATATGCAAAGATATCAAGACAACAGCTCAACTTAAAGACTCCAGAGTGATTCCTATAGAAGAAAAGTTAGGACCACTTTGGCAACCCCTATAGGGATCACTTTTTCGGCCCCTCTAGAAGCTGTTTGTGCCCCTAATCCCTACAGGGAGCACTCTGGAACTCCCAAGAAAATGTTTCAATTTCGTTGGTTTCAAGCCAGAACTACTTGTCCACTCGAACTTGATCAAAACTCAAAAAATCCAGGAAAAAAATCAATGAGGTGCAAAGAATGCGTGTATATGTAAAGAGAGGAGTTGGAGGTCGCCTGACGACCAAAAAAAAAGGCGAATTCCGACGTCTTCTTCGTCGGTTCCACACACACACAACAATGTGACTAGGACGATCATTTCGAAGAGAAGAAGAACAGTCAAACGGACGGAAAAAAAGCAGCGGGGAAAAAAAGAAAGGAAAATGGCGGCGACGCCCTTCCGCCATTCTTCGATCAAGTCTAATCGGATCTTCGGCTTCTTTTAGTTTTTGCGATGATAGGATACCAATGCCTTTGAAATATTATATTGTCAATAGAGCACATTTTCCTCTACAAAAAAGGCCTTTCTATTTTTCAAAGTTGCAATTTTCGTTTTTTTGATCTTATGACTAAATATGATTAGCAAAATATATTGGAAAATGATTTTGGTCTGCATTGTCAAGAGGGCACACTTTCCTCTACAAAAAAGCCTTCTCATCCATTAAAATCATCGCATATTTTTCTTTGTTCTTATGAATCCTCAAAATATAAGAAATCACAAAAGTCATCCATTTCGGAGCAATATTATCAATGGCGCGCAAATAAGTTTTTTTAAAAATAGCCTTCTTGACCTTGAGAGGTGCGTTCCTATTCATTCAATCCTATTTACGAAAAAAAACATGTTGACCTCAATTTGGTCTATTTTATCAGTAGGGCGCATCCTACCTTGAAAAAATGGCAAAATTGGGAATTTTTTTTTTCTTATGCATATTTTGGGAGCTCTGAGCAAAAAGTCTAGAAAATGTTTTTCGGAAAGATTTTAGATATTATTATCCGTAGAGCGCAGTTTCAGTACCCAAAAAAAGCCCTATGTGATTTTTTTAAATGATTTTTAGAGAACCGGTACAGTTTCTCCGTGAAGAGTACTTTCTAAATCAAAATTAACTATTTTACCTAAAAAAATCGTTTTTTTCGAATGAATTTATACATGACTATCCGTGGAGCGCGGTTTCAGTATCGAAAATAGCTCAACCTGAATTTTTTTCTTGAATTCCAGAAATCCGATTTTGATACAGTTTCTCCTTAAAGAGTACTTTCAACATCAAAAATTAACTATTTTAATTTAAAAAAATTGTTTTTTTCGAATGAATTTATACATGATTATCCGTGGAGCGCAGTTTCAGTACCGAAAAAAAGCCCCCTTAAAATTTTCGATTTTTTTCTGATTTTGGTACAGTTTATCGACGAAAGGCACTTCCTACATCAAATTGAACTTCCTAGAACGGAAAATAATCATTTTAAAGGCCAGGACTATGAAAAAAATTCGCCCAAAAGTAGTTTTTCAGCGAATTTTAATTCAAAAAGTAGACAGAAAAACGGTTCTTCGCGACGAAAATTCCATTAAAACGTCGACACGACGGAATCCATGTTCCCCTTCGTTTTGCGACCTTTTTTGTGAACGAATCAATTAGCGGCAAGGGGGCTGATTAGTGATCGCAAAGTGACTGATTAAGGCGCACTCAGCAGACGATCGAAGGAATTCCTAATCAGTGATCATGGAAAAAAACGGTACAGATGGCGGAACTTTTTGGTGGAAATTATAAAGAAGAAGAAAATATCAAGTTCAAGAAGAATGAACACAAATCGACCGGAAGTCAGAAAAAGGTATTTTTTTACAATTTTTTTGTTCTGGCTACGGAATGTTTTCGCGCTTTCCCCCGCCCTCGGTTTTTTTCTTTTTGCAAGAGGTTCTAAACTACCTTCAGCAAATTTCCATCAAAAAAATTGAACCGGGGGAGATAAAAAAAGTAGAAAAAGCCGGAAAAAAATCGGCAAAGAAGTTCAAAAATCCATATTCTTGTTCGTTAAAATAAAAAAAATACTTTTCCCGAAAAAAAATTTTTTCTCTTTCTGTCTCAGAGTACAAATCCGGTCAATGGTCGCATTCAGAATGGCTCTGTATCAGTTTTTCTGGGATGCAACCGACCCAAAACGACTTACGCGTGTGGAAAAACAATTGGAGCTAATTTCGCCTTTTGAGCCATTCCAAGTGCGACCCTAGTTTTTTTTTCCAGAAAATCAAACTTCTCTTTATTTATTTTGCCGCATTCAGAATGGCTCTGTATCGGTTTTTCTGGGATGCGACCGACCCAAACCGACTTACGCATGCGCCAAGATTACTAATCTGAACTACCTTGGGTTTTGAGCCATTCCAAGTGCGACCCTAGTTTTTTTTTTCATAAAATCTCATTTTTCCTTTTAAATTCCACTTCAAATTAATCTTAGAGTTCAAAACTTTAAAATTTCTTAAAAATAATCAAGAAAAAAACAGAAATCGACACACTTCAAAACAACATTTTTCAGGATTCTTTTTTCCAGAAAATCTCATTTTTCTCCATTTTTTTCCCTTCAAACTTGTCTTTCAAGCTAAAATTTCGATATTTCTTCAAAAAACAACCAAAAATAATATTAACCGACGAATTTCAAGGCATACAAAAAAACCATATTTCATAAAAAAATGTTCTCTTCAAACTTTTTCTCGGCTTTTTCTCAAAAAAATCTCATTTTTTTCCTCATTCATTCCACTTCAAACTTGCCTTAGAGGTTCAAATTTTCGAATTCCCTAAAAAAAACCAAAAGACCTAACTTCCTAATGGAGAAACAATCAAAAACAAAGGGAAGCCGACAAATTCCACGCTATACAAAACGGCCGTCGGGGGGCAAATAGCCCCCGGGGCGGCCAAAAATGAAACGAAATGACAAAAACCAGTTCGATCAGTCATTCAGTGTTGGTATTTCGGCGTCGGCCAACGCCCATCATTTCAGGGAGGAAAACGACGAATCATCTGGTCACTCTTTACTTTGGTTTCTTAGAACAACATGTTACGGGATCAGATTAAAAAAAAGGATCCTAGCAAATTTTTAGTGGCCACTATAGAGTTTTGACGTTTCAGTGGCCACTATCGTAGTCAAATTAGTGGCCACTTAAGG